AAATCTCAGTTTGTCTCTAGGCAGACATTTGAATGGGGTTTTAAGGCTACTCAAACAATACATTCGAGAAAGTTTAATAATATTTCCGACCACTTGTCATAATATGGCAGTATGTAAGGTTGTATTTCTCAGTAGTTGCAAACGTTAGCAAAACCTGACACTACATTTTACCTGACAATACGTCAAGATACTGAAGAAGTGCAGCTAAAAATTGTAATCCGTTCAATTCACGGTGGACACGAAAACAACATCTGATTCCTGTTGTATCATGACATGAAACTACTCTCATTATTATCATCCATATTCAGATGCTCAAATATTCTCACACACAAGTTCTGATTCCATGGTCAACTTCCTGTTCAATGTACCTGTATTAACCTTAAAATGGGTAATAATTTTCATTCATTTCCGATTCATAATTGTTTTCAATTTTTGACAGGTTTCCGCATAGATAGACCAATGTGGATCGTTATGATTTAAACAATCAATTTATCGAGTTTGCGATAGTTATAATTTACACATTTCCCATATTTTTACGTTGCACCTCTCCAGTCCGTTATCCTGAGGAATAATTAATTCAGAAGCGGAAAGAGGGAAAAATCATGAGAGGGGCGATGTGAAGATCAATTAAAAAGGAGAAAACTTCTCGGTCTCGTCGTTTCTGACGTCATCGTCTCGACTCGACGTCAGCTTGCATATTTTGTCGATACTATAGGTCAGTAATTTTTGACGTTTTTATTAATTTTTATTTTATACCTAAATGTTATATTAGCTTTAAGGATATGCTCCTAATTGAATGTCAATATTTAAGGGGGCGATTTTTGAATCTATTTTATGAAGAAAACTTCTAAGCGACTTAGCTTTTGAGATGGAAAAAGTTTTCTGTAAATATAACATTAGATATTTTGATGAAATTTGGCATACATGTACTCTGTATCAAGGGGATTTTTTAATGCACTACATTTTACTTCGTATGCCAAAATTGGCGAGGAAGTATTGTAATCGCGAATAATTTCGAAATTAAACTTCGTTTTTTTGACGATTCAGAGGCTCCTGATCATTTTCGGAAAATTATTTGTAGGGGTTGTGGGGGGTACTGGGTTGTGAATGTAGCGTCTTTAGTATTAGTTAAAGACGTTCTACGAGGGACGTCTTTTAAGTTTTGCAAATGGAATTAAAACAACACGGTAGGTAGTTTTAAATGACTTTATTGTTTTTCGAAGAATTCTCCACGAAGATTAATACAAATCTGCATGCGCTCGAACCAATTTTCGAAGCACTTATTCCACTCGTTTGCTGGCAGATCCAAAACGGTATTTTTGAATGCGTCAAGTGCTTCTTCTGGTGACTGGAACCTTTGACCACGCAGTCTGTTTTTAATTTATTGACACCAATTAACCCTGGCTGCTTTCTGCTTTTCAATCAACAGGTGGGGTATCCAACGAGAAACTAATTTTCTTACTCCTAATTCTTCATGTAAAATTTTTTGAATTGAGGTCTTTGATATCTTCAAGGACGCCTCAATCTCGCGATATGTCACATGTCTATCTTCGGTGATAAGTTTGCGCACAGCAGGGTGCACCCACCCTGGGATCGTCGCTAAGACTCACCTGTCCACGTTTGAATTCTCCATACCAACGGGACATTGTCGACTGATGTGGCGCTCCGTTGCCGAAAACAGACAGTAACTCAGCAAGGCATTCTTGTTGCGATAATTGTCTCTAAAAGTTGTAATAAATTATGGCGCGAAAATGTTCTCAGATGAGTTCCATTTTTCTAATGACTTGGCGACACTTAAAAATTCACTGTAGTGAGAACACTGCATGCACGTATTGTTGTGAAACTTTGAATTTAAGTTTACCAAAGAGTGAGGTTAAGATTCAGTACTGACGTTCGATCCGCGCGGCCTACTGTGTTTCTATACGCAAAACTTAAAAGACATCCCTCGTATCAATGAGAAGCCTCCGATCCCGGTAACAATAGGAAAATTGAATGATAAAAGTCCGATGTTATAATAATTCTAAATAACTACAATCGGTGTTGCGTGCATGGCACGATGATGCATCGTCGTTGAGGCCACTTCCAACTGTGCAATGGGTCACAAACTCCAACTGGTCTGCGGTAATGTCGTCACTGACACCGCTACAGGAGAAATATTTATATATTTTGGCAATATTTGGATATTAAGAGTATACACCACTTTAGCATTCTGAGATGCTTTTGAAAATTATTACTGTCTTCGCCTTTTGAAACGATTTGACTCATCCGTTTTCTTTAAAACCTCCAACCAAGGCGTCGGAAGTATAGAGTCAATCTACTTGACGCCATTTTTTTAATAGGATTATGCAAGACGAATCAGAATATTTTCCCGAGCGGTTGCGAAATGCTTCCTCAACTAACTAGGACACACATTGTAAATGCAAAAGTTGTTTAAGTGTGGGATCATTTGAACTGAATAATGGCAAAAATAATATTTGCAAACATCGATAATTGAAATACATAGTAAACTTTTCCATTCAAATGCAGAGCTTTAAAATGTTTTCGGAAGCATCCGCTGGGTCTCAGCTGACGCCAAGCAGTCTATAAACTGGATACGGCGAAACTTCATTTACAATTGTAATTTTTATCACGTTCACTTTCCTTTTCTCTTTGCCTCTGTCGATTTACGGCCGCCAGGGGTAGAAAAACAAGAGCATCGTTCAGCGAAAACTGTGTATTTGGCTTGACAACGATATTCTATGCGAATATCGTCCTTTGAAGAAACACCATTTTTTTCTGGTCAACCGAAGCTGCATATTCCGAATGTTTCAAATTCACAATGATGAGTTTGCGCACAGCATCGACGTTTTCCTGGGTGACTGCCGTTTTTGGTGCACCCACCTTGGGATCGTCGGACTCACCCGTCCACGTTTGAATTCTCCATACCAACGGGAAATTGTCGACTGATGTGGCGTTTCGTTTCCGAAAGCACACAGTAACTCAGCAAGGCATTCTTGTTGCGATAATTGTCTCTGAAAGTTGTAATAAATTATGGCGCGAAAATGTTCTCAGTTGAGTTCTATTTTTCTAATGACTTGGTGACACTTGAAAATTCACTGTAGTGAGAACACTGCACGTATTGTTGTGAAACTCTGAATTTAAGTTTACTAAAGAGTGAGGTTATGATTCAGTACTGACGTTCGATCCGCGCAGCCTACTATGTTTCTAACGGGTGAATTTTTAAGAGGTATAGGATTTGATTTTCAAAAAAAAACAAAAAAAATTAGAAAAAACGATTAAATCTTTATTTGAGTCGATAGAATGGTCGATATAATTTAATGTTTAAAGATTTTTTCATGTAAATGTTGGCCGCGGCTCCGCTTTAGATGGCCCATGCGCAAGGTCCAATTTTGGCACTCTCTCTCCAACATATCGGCAGGTATCTCACGAATAAATGCTTCAATAATGGCTTCCAATGCGTCAATCGTTGCTGGTGTATCCCTGTAGACATTGGCCTTAACATGGCCCCACAAGAAATAGCCCAACGGCGTTAAATCACACGATCTAGGCGGCCAATTGACGGGCCCAAAACGTGAGATAAACTGTTCACCGAACTCGCCTCTCAATAGCGCCGTTGTTTCGTGTGCGGTGTGGCATGTGGCACCGTCTTGTTGAAACCACATGTCAGCCAAGTCCAGCTCTTCCATTTTGGGCAAAAAAAAGTTTGTTATCATCGCACGGTAGCGCTCGCCATTCACAGTTACGTTCCGGCCATTGTCGTCTTTGAAGAAGTACGGCCCGATGATCCCACCGGCCCATAATCCACACCAAACAGTGATTTTTTCGGAATGCATTGGTAGCTCTTGCAATGCTTCTGGCTGGTCTTCACTCCAGATGCAGCAATTTTGCTTGTTAACGTACCCATTTAACCAGAAATGAGCTTCGTCGCTGAACACAATTTTTCGATAAAAATGTGGATCTTCCTCCAACTTTGCCAGCGCCCATTAACCAAATGGGAAACGTTGTGGGAGGTCGTGTGGCTTCAATTCTTGCACCAGCTGTATCTTATAAGGTTTTACACCCAAAACCTGTCGCAAAATTTTCCACGTAGTGGAGTAACAAGGGCCTAATTGCTGCGAACGGCGGCGAATCGACATTTCACGGTCATCACTAACACTGGCGGATACAGCCGCAATATTTTCTTCAGTCCTCACTCTACGTCTGCGTGTTGGTGGTTTAATGTCCAATAATGTAAACTGGGTTCGAAATTTAGTCACAAGCTTCCGAATAGCTCCCTCAGTAGGCCGACCAAATTGCCCATAAATTGGAAGCAGTGCTCGATGCACTCTCTTAACCGAGCATGAATTTTGATAGTAAAATTCAATAATTTGCAAGCGTTGTTATTTCGTAAGTCGATTCATGCTTAAATTATAGACCAAACTGAACAAGTTTGACAACGACACAAAACACGATTCACGCGTCATCTGTCAAAAACAGTGTTGCCAAAAGGATACTAGCAAAAAAAATCACCCATTATATGCAAAACTTAAAAGACATCCCTCGTACTTACCTAAATACACAACAGCCTGCCATGGACAGCTGGTTTGTGCTTTTTTGCTTCTCCCCAGCAAAATTGGAATGTTTGAGTCCTCTTATACAATGTCTTTTGTCGAGAGGAAATAAATAAATAATCCGGTAAGCAGATCCATATTTTGGGAATTACTGAAGATGCATTTCGGTTTCGAGCATAGAACATAACATAACATAAATGTCAAAAAAATGAGAAACAAATATTGCTGATGTACCCAACATCCAGAACCCCCCCCCCCATGCCATGTCATCAAAAATAAGCAAAGCAAGTAATACTTGAATGGCACGCATGCGCAGATCGCGCGTTAGCTCTATCTCTCTTACTCCCTTAAAGAGGATCTATAGAAGAATTTATCAATTCTGGCGGTAGTAATAATGTTATCAAATTATTAAATTTAACCTAGAATCTCGTATAGAATTTACCAAACAACTTCTAATAAATACATTTATTGTCATAAAGGTGTTAACAATATATCAAAATATAATTTTTACAAAAATACATCCAGTATAATACCGAATTTAAAGCTTCAATAAATGCAAACATAGCACAAACGATGAAATCAGTGAGCAACAAAAAATGTAAAAAACAATAGTACTAAAAGTACTGTAATGGTAGATACATTTTGGTGAATATTAAAATAAGCAAAAAAGCAATAACATTACACGTCAACAGGGTGAGGGCGGTTAGGAATTTCGTTGAGGCTGGTAATAGTAGAGTCAACAGCAGAACCAGAAGCTGGCTGTGACCAGCCCTGCGCCTCAGCATCTCTTGTGGCCTGCTCTTCTTCACGCTTTTTGTGCTCTTCCAATTCGAAGTAATACCTAAGAAACAAAACAAAATTTCACAAAAGCTCATGAATTGTCCAGGATGTCAACTCGCAGCATACACAATGACTTTGAATCTATTAACGTATCACATTTCGTGGAACTTGTACAAACCTATTCCTGATACGAAAAATTTACCTTGGAGTCGTTATTCCGAAAGCTTTGGCAAAAAACTCGCCCATGGTATCGACCACCGAAAGCGTAGACGAGCCAAAAGACCACATCAAATATGATATCCAAGGGCCCCACGTCAGTGTTCTCTGCAATAAGATAAAGAAATAAATTACACTCATATAATAACTATGAGCCAAAACAGACGGTAATTCTAGCTTAATACAGTCAGTATACCAGACGTAACTAGGGTTGCCATCCTTCCGAATTTAATCGGACATGTTCGGCTTTTTCCGGTGCCATCCAGCCACATTATTATGCTTCCGGCTTGTAGGAGACATTCTGGTCAGAGTACGAGAAATCTCGTACACGTACGAGATTATAAGCTTCTGTACGAGATTCGACATTAATACAAATCTCGTACATATCTGTACGAGATTTCAAAAATGACGACTACGCACTCAACATTGCGTGAAAAAGTATAACAATACATGCAAACATGACTGTCGATGGTAAATCGACTTTTGAGAAACATCCAAGGTTGCCATATTGGGGAATTTTCCCCAAAATTTGGCCGATTTTTTTGGGGAAAAATAAAATCGTTGGATATTTTTGGGGTATTTTATTCCATCTATATCAAAGAAAAACTGCCCACTGCTGAATTACAATTTTCTGTAGCTTTTCTTTCCCAGTGTCGCACCCATCTACCAAAACATCTACAAACGCTGACCCATCTCTACACCTTTATGTCAATTGTAGGTTGGCAAACATGTAACAATAGTCATAGAACACAGAAAGTCAAAATAATAAGTGGAGAACTGGCCGGCTGATTTTGCTATCTTTGTCAAACTGTCAAACACGCGTTTCGGGAGAAAGAACTAGACGATTACTCATCTACTCAGCAATTTACCATGGATGAAGGTCCATGGGTCTGGGATCCCCAATCCCCAAATGGCGAAGTTATAGCTAATGCATTATAGATTCATGCACAATAGTGGCTCAAGAAACAAGGTGTTTTAACAAGTTTGAAAAATAGTCTCAATTCGTTTTATTTTATAAACCCCTTTCCCTCACCTCCCCATCACTGAAAGATGTTTTGGTTTTTTCCTTTTAAACTTGCATATCTGGGGGGGTTTGTGCGTGTTCTGGAGGAATTCTGTTTGATTGCTACCAATGCTAGCTTTTTCAGTAGGTCAATATAACCACGCCAAGGACTCTTTGCAAAGGAGAAACATGTAGATATCTCGATTCCATGATTTAGCATTTCTTATATTAGCATAGGCGTCCACGGGGGAACGTCGTAACACGCCTGAGAAGTTGGTGAAAGCTTGAAATTTGCATATTTACAATGATTTTGTCTACAATTTGATCGTGTTTAGGATCTGGTACGCGCTAAAAAAAGTGCTACACCCCACTCTTCAAAAAGTTGCGGGCGCCCATAAATATAAGTGCTCCTTTCCAAAAAGGATTTCTGTTTGCACTACAAAGGCAAGATATCGTGAAACTTCAACCATATTTAAAAGCCAGATATGTATAAAGCATATCAGTAATTTAAAACTAATAAAACATTACAAAATACGACCTTCATACATCGATAAATGGAATCAAACATATTTGTTAATGTTCGGATCAAAGTATTAATATCTATAAAGGATTTTATAAAACATCCTAGTCAACAATGAATATGAATATTTTGCAGGAGTCTTCATGTAAGACAAATAAGGCATTAACGATTATTTTTTAGGAAGAAACGTGATAAGTGCAACTTTCTAGACACCGCCCACAAAACATGGACTAGTATTTACATAAAATCAGTAGTTTGAAACATTTTTAAAGTGAACCAAAGAGGTATCACGAACCGGATCTACAAGGGAGTTTTCCTTGGCCCCTTTGTCAACAGTATCTTCCTCATCAGTGCTGTATTCCTCCAAATCTCCATCCGAGAAATGAAAAATTCCCTTAGGGCCCTTTGCCTTAAGCCGAGCCTGCTTCTCCTCAGACATTTTTTTGATATTCTCCGGCCTCAAAAGCACCATTTTTCTACTTTTTCTAGATCAACAATTCACAAACATAAACAAAGACGCGTCAAATCACATGAGACATCACAACTTTGACAATCGTTCAATTTCACTCAATTTAATAGATCTGGCGACATCTAGTGGTGTGTACTGTAAGCCAGTCGGCTCCATTACAGCTGCTGTCATCTAGTGACGGCTGTTAGAAGCGACTATTGTTTAAAGTTTATCTCATAGGTGGCGCTCACCTTCTTATTACAGGATACTTCTTGACGATGTTATTTTTAGACTGATGGTTACACTTACCCCTGACAGGTAGCGCTGGCAGCACTAGCAGGTCAGATTTCCTTAATTTTAAATTAATGGCAAATTTAGTCATACTATTGCTCCAATAAATGCTTTGAAAACGAAAACTGGAGGTAGTTGGATATAAAAACGTATATAGTACGTTAAATGTAGTACTAGCAGTGACATCTAGTAATGAAAATTTTAAGCAATCCTTTGACACGTCATGTTCAACTCGTTTTCAATAGGTGGCGCCAACAGTACTATTGAATAGAATCCAATTTGTATTTGATCAGTTTTTAAATTAATCATTCAGTCATCCTATTACTTTGATAAATGCTTTATATAAAACAAAGATTCAAAAAATCCTAAACAACAAATAGATGAGAAAGGTTAGATTATAGTACTGTGTGCGTCATCTAGTGAAAAAAATGCAAAGCGTAAAAGTAACCGTTTTTGTAACAGGACCGTATTAGCCCCGTATGACCCACACATTTTTATTTCCAAATCGAATTTTTTCTAGAAGATAATGGGCCGTTTTGGAACATCATTGCTATTATGCTTCTACAATCTAGTAAAATGACTGAGTGAAAATGGGAACATTTATTTTAAGTCTGTAATCGAAGGGTCAAAACAAAAAGAATTATTTTTAAAGAAAATTCGTCCCTGTAAGTAGGTCACCAAACTCGAACTTGCGCTGAAAAAAATGTGTGTGAAACTTCACAAAAGATGCGATCTCTAGATAAAAGATAACGGTTCCGTTTATTAAACCATCTTCACCTGAAAAAAAGCCGATGTGAGAAATATGATAAATGCAAAATACATTGCATCACATTCCGCATTGTAAAGGTAAATCACTTTATTTGCTTCAGCGAAGGTGATAACTTGTTGATCTAGATTGCAGCATTGTATATGCCGAGAAAGTCTGGTAATTCTCATTAGTTGTGTTTTGTTTTAGACCATGAACGGTACTGGCCAGACCACTCTGGATAAAATTCAAAATGAAATTCGGGAAAACTTGAAGAGAGAAGATGAGCTGAAAAGTGGATATAGAAACGGAGTGAAAACTGTGGCACAGGAAAAAGGAACCGACATTACTTCTAGTCAAAGTACTGAGAGTACCGAAAGTAAACCTGTCTCTAAGATGAATGGGTTCAAGAAGTACACCCCAAATATTTCCAAAAAAGGGGTGATGCAGAGGTTTTTCAAGAGCAGAGGAAAAGTTGGAGTCACATCTCAATCTACAGATGCTCATAGTGTGTGGATTAGTGATGCTACTTTTCAGCCTGCAAAGATCACTGTGGAAAAAGGTGGTGAGTTGGTTATGAACGTTTTTTTAGATATTGATTAATTGAACCTTCATTCATATTTCAATAATATGCACAATTGCAACAATAATGGTTCATGAACAGGCAATGCCTCCTATGGACCCTTGCTTCATAATTATTTACTCATTCTTTATATTGTGATTTAGGAGTAAATAAATATTATTATTATAATTATTATATGATATATATATTGAAGTTGAGTCATTGTTTTATAAAGTATCCTCCCGACAAGTATTTCAGTGCGGACCTGTATTTGATCGTGAGGTCTTGGAGCACCTGTGAGGTCTTAAGTCACCTGATTCATGAGCCCGTTGTACTACATTAACAAAGGAACGAGGGGTTGGTTGCACTCGATTGGGAAACCGATCCGCATAAACATGTGACATTTTTTATTTCGTTTGAGCCACGCAACAGAAACCACTATTCACTCACGCGTTTGCGACTGACACAGACTGAATAAAAACATCGTGATCAGCCTTTCAAATTCTTTCGCTTTTTTGTTTCCGATGCGATGAACTGATAAGGCGGATTATATCTGTTGTTACCAAACACGAGCACATAATATTATTATTGAGACAGGGCGGTACTCAAACTTCTAAAGGGCTATAACTTTGTTACTTTAATTTTACCACAAAAATGTTAAAGGAAAAAACATTTCTTTTGATCAGATCTACTCACTGTTAAAATAAATGACTCAACTTCGAAGTCACCCTGTATATATATACAATGTTTGGTCATGACATACCGATATTTAAGAGAGGTATTTTTATTTTTGCATTACGATTACGGAAGTGCATGTATGAAAATTGTAATAACTGAGTACGTAATTGTCACAGCATGATAAATTTGATGTCATTTGAACGATGACATGTTGTCCTAGCGATTGTTGCAAAACCTGCAAGAAAATGGATTTTTTTGTGCATTTCCTCACACCATTCAAAAACTAGTCTGTGAAGTTGTACTTTTTTGTGCTAATTCTACAGCTTTGTGTTATCCTAAGTATTCTACGTTGAGCAATAGATGCTATCTAGTATGGGTCAAAATGGGTGTAATAAAATTCAAACTTTTTATATATAAAATGACAAATCAATGTTTCTTATAGAGAGTTTGGACATGTTTAATGTTACAGAAAGTGGTCAAAATGTCCTCCATTATTGGTTATGCACAGTGTTGTTCTTGAAACAATGTGTCGTGTTGAGCAGCTGACCATATCCATGTCAGCCCTAATTTCGTTCGGAGTGGTATCGATTCATTTCAAGGGGGGTGAGGTATGACATGGTAAGGGGTGGATTTGACGATGAAAATAGCTGAAAAATATCCCCCTCAAATATCGGTATGTAAAATTGACACTGACTTTGGAATCTATGTGGGTGCTCTAAAATTTTTTCTTACAACATATTCTCACATGCAACACTGGAATTTTATTTTTGTGATTCTTGTAATCATCTGTCACTGTCACTTTTGTTAATTCATTCAATTTTAACATGGGTCTTGGAAAAGGTCAACAATAATTAAGAAAGCAAGCATTAATTGTAGCAGGGTTCTAGCTTCACAAGATGAGTTCCATGTGAGATTGCAACTGTCTTACATGTGACATTGACCATTCGATATCCAAAAAAAAAGGTCATAGAGTCAAATTTGAGGTAGAAAATGAGTAGATTTGGAGAGCCTGTTGATATTGACTGAGGATTTTACGTATCCGATTTACTCAATGATGGACTATAAAAAAACCATTATGGTTTTTTCTTTCCAATTTGTAACCTACTTTTGATTTCTTCATAAAACCCTTTGCACTTCACACAATATTCTCTAATTCAGGCAAGCCCCTAAGAAACGGCTATGTGCCCGCTGAAGAAAAGATCACCAAGGAACTCCAAGACTTCCAAATCCGAGAGATAGAACTGCGGAAAGAGCGCTTCAAATCACAGCCAGACCTGATGGCTAGCCTAGACTTGGAGGACAGTGAACTGGAGTCCATAGTCAGCAATGGCAGTTCCATTTTGAAACCTGCCAAATCCATGGCGAACCTGTATCAATCTGAAGATGATGAGCAAAGTGAAGGCAGCTCAGTTATGGGCTCCTCAGCTCCTGGTAGCTTGAAGCCTGCTAGATCACTTGCAGCACTTTGTGATGTTTCTGATGATGAGGCATTACCAGGTGAGAATCACATTTTTCACTATCAATTTCAAACTTTTATTTCATATAGATTAAGTTAAATCTGAGGCCTTAAGCTTATACAGGGTGGCGCATCGAAAACGAAACATACACATTTACTGACAACTCAGTTTTTTTTTGTAAAACGCTCAGACCCGTCGATTTTGTTTTCGAGGGGGACACAAGTTTGGCAAAAAATCACGTTAACACGTGCAGCCCCCTGGGCGGGGGTGACACCAACCCTAAAATCTTAAATGGAAAGGGGGGTCGAGTGATACCTTATTTTAAAGGTCTTTCAATTCCCTTTATAATGATAAGCTTCAGTTCAGTAGTTTTGAAGATTTATTGATTTAAAGCTTAAAGTAGACTTTAATAGGTACATCAGATTAGTTTGTACTACTTTCAGAAGAAATTTGACTGAAATAATTTACTTAATAAGTAAATGATTGTCTTCACTACGCCCATGGTTTGTTTATCATTTTGTTGTTGAAAATAGCTATTGGAGCGTTTTTTTTGTGGCAAAAAAGTTATTTCTTGAAGAAAGATAAGGAAATATCTAGTACTTATTTTAAATAGAAATTTAGTACATAGTTTGCGATTGATTTGACCTAACTTTGTTGCTAAAATAACTTGTAACGCTTTATTACATAAATTAACCATGGTATATTCTACAGCAAAAAGAGTTGAAATTATCGAAATATTTTTTGGAAATAATCAGTGCGCTAATAGAACAGCAGAAATATTTAATGAGCGACATGAGAACAGTAACGTGCAACGAAAACATGTTCTAGAACTTGTAGCTAAATTTCGGGAAACTGGGTCAGTCGCCAATAAAAAACGCAACATTGAAAATCCCATAAGGAACGAAGCAATAGAAGTGGGAGTTTTAGCGCAAGTTTATGTAGATCCTACGTTAAGTACCCGCAAATTGGATACTGTGTGGTGTTAGTCGACGTACCATCCAACGGCTTCTAAAGGCCCATAGTTTTCATCCGTATAAAATTCACCTGGTACAAGAACTTAATGAAGACGATTTTGATCGGCGATTACAATTTTGTGAAGATATGAGTGAACGAATTATAAACGATGAACATTTTCTATTCAACACTTGCTTTTCCTACGAATGTTCCTTTCTCTTAAATGGCGTAGTAAATCGTCATAACTGGCGATATTGGTCCGATTCTATTCCCTGAATTTATCATGAGGTTCATACACAGCAGCCACAAAACTGCATTAACAGCCATAATTGAAAATCAAAATGATCGGCGGTACATTGCGAATAGGTTGATGTTCCAACAGGATGGTGCCCCACCACATTACGCATTACGTATTCGACAATATTTAGATCAGACGTTTCCAGATCGATGGATTGGTAGAAGAGGTGCCATCGATTGGCCCCCAAGATGGCTAGATTTATATGTTGCAAATAAACATCATTATTATTATTATTATTATTATTATTATTTTATTTGCTAAATTTCTCTAAAAAGTTATTTTTTTTTAATTCATCACCCTGTATCTTGAAAACTCTGCATTTCCGAACCCGTATTCATAGAAACTTTTTTTCATATTTTTAAGCAAGGAATCACCCTCTTAAAGACCTCCTTCTATTTTTCGTAACATTTCGGCTTTAAATATGTATACACAAGAGTATGAAAAAATCTTGAAAAAAACCTTTTTCTTCGCAACAAATGGTGATAGACACATCTGCTTTGTTTTAAAATGTAACGTATGTTTTTCGAATACCGTTGCGAATCTGTTCAATTACTTACAAATACGGAATGTTTAAATTTGTTTAGATGTTTAGAAAAAAAACGTAACCCTTCGTTTTTCGCATAAAAATATCAATTATTCATTCATGTCGGAAAGGTAAACTCATGTATTTTGCTGTAAAATGACCTTTGAACGAACCATGTGTATTCCTCAATAAACTAGTAGTAATGGCCGGAAAACAGCTGTTTTGGAATAAACAATAAGAAATTCTCAAAAACTACTCGACCGATCCACTCCAATTTTGTTGTGGTTATTTAGAAGTAAGAAGCCTTCGGATTTGAAGACTTTCATGTAGCTACGTGGAATTATCGTCGCTTTGCCAACAGGTGCCGAACCCTGCATTTAGGATCGGTTTTCAGCCATAATTTTTTTTTACTATTAGTGGCAACTTTTTACGTGTGGTATCATTTTGTAGGTCTCATAAATACCTAAAAATCTTATTTGAAGAGTTTTCTCGTTCCTGCCAACACTTTCGATTGAATCCCAAAAAACACGTTATTTCATTCTTTGTTGCAAATAAAAAGTTTTTCCACAAAAATTGGTGTAACCATTTTATGTGTTTGTTTTAAATACCCCTTTATATACAACTTTGATCAATAATACCAGACTTTACAATTCTTTCGGGGAAATTTGCTAATATGATTAGACTATTATATGAACTTTTCGCGTCATTTTTTGATCTACTTTATGCCCGAGAAATATTGAAATGTTTATCTGAAACACCCTGTATATCCATCCATCTTATATCTTTTATGCTCGTTAGACCCTGTGTCTCATATTAATTTAACCTTTTTCGCAATTTTCCCGGATTTATATATCATATATGCTCTTCCATAGAAGTCTGACATCAATTATTATTAATAATCTGTGTACCTTATCTATACAAATGCAATTATCTGGCCGAACAATCGAAATATATGTATATAAACATAAACAGATTTTGATATAGTTGCTCCATATCGTTGCCACACAGCTGTCAAGGTCTACTTTCTATAAATAAAGATGTTTACAGTTAAACAGGTATCAGGTGGATAGGTTATTAGTAAAAATCATTATAATGGCTATAATTGCAGTACTTAAACTGAGATTATTTATTTCGGACATACGAGCACCGTGTTGAATACGAATATAGAATTGTGATGTATTGTGAGGCAGAATTTGAAGTAAAAAATGGACCATTTGGGTTTAGTTTCAGATTCCAAATCTTCGTATTCGTATTACCGAGAAAGTAGTTTGCTAGAACATAGATATGCAAGCTTTTGATTTTTTTTTCTAATTTGGGCATAGGAATTTATAGCTTTTTGTTCACATCTTATAGCACAGATGTCAAATATACAGATACAACAGTGACTCTCAATCTCTTTGATCTTGGTTAAACTATTTGACAACTATCCTACCAACCACCATCTATGTATGCATGATTTTTTCCAGAGGCACAAATCAAAAATCAATAGTTGTGCTCCCGAAAAAATCTACCTTCCCATTTTAAATATGGTATGATACAAAAAAAAGCAACCCCATGAAACACCACTCGCATGTTTTTATTGCTTGATTCAATTTCCATTATTATTGTTTCAATATGTGACAGTGACAGAAAACCTACCTGATTTCTGACCGGCTTTCGTCTCTAGTAGTACCCTGTTCTTATTCGCTGGGGGCGAAGTGCATAGTAGGGGGTAAGTCAATGGGATGGAAACAAAAAAGGACGACTAAATGCCAGTCGTTTGCATTAATATCCTATTATTTTTATATTACGCGTATCAAGCACAAATATTTCGGTCCTACATCAGCTAGGTGGCGCTTTTGTCACACACCCACGGACTAGCATATAAACCCTACTTCACGAGTATCCATCACGTTTTGACGTCTACTGAGGTGAACAGCTAATCGGCAAGTGACATCTTTGTATTAGTCTGTAACGATGACAATAATTAATCGGGTGTTAATCTAGTAAAGCTTGCTTGTAGCATTTTTTTTTTGTATGCAAATGAACTTCACCAAATAAAAGATTTATTTGCAAGTACAAAGTGAACGGAGCGTACAAAAAACCTAAACAAAATACGGCTATGTCTACCGTTGACGGATCCGTCAGAATTATGTGTCATTTGTCGATTTGGGGATTTTTTAAATATTACTAGATAATCAGCTGTCAATCTACCGTAATGGGTACTCGTGAAATAGACTACTATGTTGTTGTTACTAATTAACCACTACGTTACGCATTTTCTTTCTTTTCCAGATACCCACTCGCTCATAATGAAGTTCGAGCATATGAAAGTAAAAAACAACGGCTGTGTCTAACACATCTAATTTTGTGATAAAACCGTCCATTTCGTACCAATCATATCTTAATTTATTTTTGATCTTAAATTTATATTATATACATATTTTTACGTATTTATTATGATAATATTAAGCCAATACCTTTGCCAATACATCTTTTTAGAAGATATGTATTTTTATACGTAAAAAATATATTTATGAGATTTTAGGACCTATGTCAAAGGAACAGTGGACAAGTACTCGGTGTAACAAAAGTAATGAAACAGTCGTATTTTTTCAGGTCATTTTGTAAAAATATCAAGGTCACGTCTTTGCTAACTTTGAACAAGGTCACCTTGAACTAGAGCCTCACATTCAAAATCCTAATAGTACATGAGGACGTATTACAACGTAAAATTTGTCATTGCCGCTGTTAAAGAGATGAGTCCACGTTTGAAAAAAATATCTTGCAATTCTTAAGGTCACCATTGAAATCCTTGTTAAAAGTTACCCAACATTTTTTCATCGATAACCCTGTTTCCAGAAATTCACATATAGAAGTCACGTTGGTCTTAGATTTTAATACATATTGGAATGCAGGATTACCAGTTCTGTTAATTGCCTGTGTCAAAAATGGCGCAGCTTTAAAAAAGTTGACCATGAAATAAACTTTGTGATCTTCAAGGTCGTATTGTTCAAAGTTAGTATAGACCTGACCTTCAACTTTTTCAAAAATATATTAGGAATATACCCTACCTATTTTTGTCCATAATTCCTGTATGCAAAATGTCAAAGTTGTGAGTAGTTCTAGGATCTTTGCCATTAACCCACACACAATTCTTCCGATAATTTTCTCATATTTGCTCTAGAAAAGTATGCATATTATTGCTTTCTTGGTAATTTACATAGTTCGCAGAAAACAAAATAATCGGCATGATTAAGATAAAATATAATGTTATTAGTCAAATCCTTATCGACGTTACGAATTACAGTGTTGAAAAGTGATTCATTTTACTTGAGATTAAAAAATGTTTGTTATCAGTATTATTTTATGGAAAAAATTGTGTATTGTTGCAAGTTGTGCTGCATGGATTGTTCAATAATTGATATTTCAAAACGGAAAATATGCCATTCTCAACTTTTCCAGATTCTACCTGCATATCAATTACTGAATAAAGCAGTACCCTTCGCCTGATAATTTTAGAAATTTATAAAAAAATATTTATTGATGTTCCTCAAAAATGTATGAGTCTGATATATTTTCATCAAACCTAACTTAGATTGCTTTTTTCAGCATCCGATTTACTGTTAATTTTATTCATACTTTTTATATTCGTTCTTCATTTCACTAGACCCATTGTACTTAATATTAAGCTTGTTTTAACGATACAGAACGTTGCAGAATCCTGTTTTCAAGTTATATATGGGGAAAAATATGTTTTTATATTTAGGTAACATTTGAAAGAAAGATGTCCCTCGGTATCTCCATACCGCGTCTCAATAGCTTTTATTGGAAAAATAGAACATATTTTAGTCTACCCTACATAATTCTGCAACGTTGTTTTTTTATAGTATTCATGCTTGTCAGAAGATGCTGACTGACATTCCAAAAGGGTATTATATTTTTTTAGGTTTAAAAAACCGATATTGTTCATATACCTGTACTTTTGTATGTATTTCAGCACCGTAGAGTATTTGTTTATTTTTGCACAATAAAGGTTAGTAATATCCATGATAATATATCCAACATAGCATTATTTCGACAATATCCAGAGCATCCTTCAAAAATGGAGTTTCATCACTGATTACTCATTCTACTTTTTTTAGAATTATTTCCTCAATTTCTATGAAAATTCATCAAAACAAATAGAATCCTTGAAACTTCTATGTATCACTATCATGTTATTTAACTAATTGTTGAGATAATGCTGTCTTGCAACGACTTGCAAGGTGACTGTTTAATTATGAGTTATATTCACCCTGCGTATACGTATTTTTGTATATGCTTTTTGTGAATATTTAAAATAAATGCCGTTTATATGTACCTGTATCGTTATATCTTAATGAACCTACCTCTCGCAAAAGAATATCTCCCAAGGCTTGTTTACCTTTGAAAGCGGTAATTTGCAATATAATTTATTATTACTCGTTATCCATTCATATCAGCGTAACTGCAAAATACAGAGGCGTTTCTGGAAAATGCATTGAAAATTCTTTCTACATGCGATCTTAGGCGGGTTTTCAAACATTTTTATCGTTATGCAAACCATGAGGTCTCCTGCATGACGTTGCCGCGTTCTAGGCCAGCTAAAAGAAATCGCCAGGCCTTCGCAGATTCGAGATGTTATACACCAACAACTACCATCGCTTCATTGTTCCCAGTGTATAAAAAATGTGGGGCAATTTATTAGAAGAGCCGCAGTTGTGACGATAGAAATTGCAAGTGAACGTCCAAAAACCGCATGTATTAAAATAAGACTAGCGCGCGATTAGAAATAAGAATGATCGCATATCAATAAGCACAGAATATGCGTATCAACAGCAAAATCACCAACTACTGGATTGATTTGTTGAGTGTTTATGTCTTATTACAGCAAAAGATACGCTACTGAGTTGCTCACATAAAGGCGGACTTACACGCTACGTCTTATTGTACGTTTTCTGGGCCATACAATACGTACGTTTTGTCCAGTGTTTTCCCTTCCGCTTTCTACTACAGGTCCAATCTAAACTCTTGAGTTGTGTGAAGTTTGTTTAGTGAATTTTTATGATAGGCATTTTTTTATTATGTTTCATTTTTTCAACTATAAGGATAGAACGTCTGAGAAGAGAAGCGATGAAGAGGGAAAAGACAAGATGGTCAAGGGAGTGGCTTCTGCAAAGAAGCCGGTATTTCCACGTCTCGTTATTGAAATAAAAGAGGAGCCTGATGGCTGTCGCAATTATTTGCGAATGGACACCTCAGCTTATTGTCAATTGCTAGAGTTAGTAACAGAGATTTCCGATGCCCTCACTTTTTTCAACACTTTTTTGTAAACCGATCTCAACGAGTTTATTTTTTTGTAATAGTATCATTTGTCATCGGATATATATTTCTTTGTATCTTTTGTAAGATCTTCATAGGCGACGTTTCTTTATTCCGGTCACTATAGTCTTTATTTTTCACTTTCCACAAACACGGAAAACTTTTATACATTTCCATGAATTCCCCGGGAAGTCGTGGGTGTACGCAAGTATATTAGGTTTTTTGAGGGAAAAAAGAAGCGAACGGAAGTGGAGCTACTCGTGAACTCAGCCAAGATCGGACGTCTTGTCTGAACATGAGTAGACGTTTCGTTTTGTCCTATTAGTTCTCGCAAAATTATGCTTCTCCCATTTGTTTTTCAATCTGACCTTGGATTTCATTTCGATTCGATAAGACGTACGTTTTGCTGTTTACACGCTACATTTAATTGGATAGGATTTGTCCTGTACGACAAAACGCACAATATGACGTAGCGTGCAAACCCGCCTTAACACAACAGAAAGGATTAGAATATTCATATTCACCTTATTGGTTCGTGTAATGTTTATTCAGTAACTGGATTAGCAACTAGATTTGATTTAATTCTCAATTTAAATAATATAATTCCTTCATACAGTACTGCTTGGTACTTTTACCCTAGACCAGGCAGGTTTCTTTCTAATAAAAGTGTTATTGCATGTGAATTATGTTACAATTTGCCCTCGAGCATTATGATTTTCATTAATCTCATTAGCAAAGCGGTTATTGTAGCCCTGAAAACGTTAGGTACCACAGTACAGCATACATTTCCATTTTCGTTTTCTATAACTAAAAATGGCGTCAAGTAGGTTGATTTTACACTTCCCAACGCAGTCATCGGATCATGAAGGATTATATTAGATTAAGCACAAGTTAGACCGTATGCAAATAAGACGCGCAATTTTTTCACCCCTAAATTTTATTTCTTTTTTATATTTTTCAACTTTCTCTCCACCGCCACTGGACAGATTTTCAAAAACTACAAAGCTTCTCCACCCTTGCCATAGTAGTAACCTTGTGTAAAAATTTCATCGAAATCCGACCAGTACCTTCCAAGTTATAGACGGGTCAAGGATTACCGGACAGACCGACTGAAATAAGTGACGGTTTTTCGTGATTTACAAGGTGGCCAACTAAGAAACCTATCCATCGTACAGGCTTGCGGCAAGAATAGTTATTACTAGAACAGTCAAGAGAAAAACCCGGAAAATACTTTCAAGTTTCTGACGTGGCCGCTAGGGGGCGTAACTGCAATGTTGAATCTAAAAAAGTGATGTTTCTGTCAATTTCGCTATATTAACATAACAAAAAATACCTGATCATTTAAGTCGAAGATAATGTGGACTTTTTTTGTTTGGCAATTTTTGCTGCATCTCGAAAAACAGAGTGGTGGGGGGTATTCAAAGGTTTCCGTAAAAAACACCCTGTATCTTCGAAACGGCTGGGCCGATTTGAACAAACTTGGGTTAATTGAAAAGAGCTATTCTGTAGCTACAAATTTTATATTATTTGAAGTTTTGTTAGTTTCAATTGTGGCCACTAGAGGGCTTTTTTCGTCATTCCGACAGAAATGGTTGATTTTCTCAAAAAAATTAAATGCATTGGTACGATTTTTTCCGTGAAAAAGTTGATAAATGACGTCTGGACAAGCTTACGAAAACCGCATCTCGATATCTTCCTCCTAACCTAAGATTTAGGCCAAAGAAAATTTTATACGGAAATCCTATAAATTTTTATGCATTTATTTTTTAAAATAATTTTTCTGGAATTCCTTTTTATTATTAAGTTGTGGCCCTAAACGGACAGATTTAAAAAAGAAAGGTTTTTGATGTCCCAACAAACGCTTGTTGGGTTAATATAGTGATCACAGAAACATATTTTTTCAGATTGAAGCATCCATTTCAAAACTTAAAAATACTTTCCAGGCTTTTCTCTTGGCCGTTTCAGTCAGAACTTCTTTTGCCACAAACCTCTACGATGGATAGCGTCCTAGATAAAGTATCTCGCATTCTTAGCTTAGCTATACGTCATATAACATCCCAAAAACATCGCATTTTCGAAAGGTTTTGCGATTACAATAGGTAAGTGGAAGTTTCTCAACCCTAACTTCAGGCTGGACAATTTTGCTTTGACAACCATGACACAAACAGTTGATGACGCATATACAATATACGAGGGATGTCTATTAAGTTTTGCATATAGAAACATAGTAGGCCGCGCGGATTGAACGTCAGTACGGAATTTTAACCTCACTCTTTAGTAAACTTAAATTCAAAGTTTCACAACAATACGTGCAGTGTTTTCACTACAGTGACTTTTCAAGTGTCACCAAGTCATTAGAAAAATGGAACAACCGAGAACATTTTCGCGCCATAATTTATTACAACTTTCAGAGACAATTATCGCAACAAGAATGCCTTGCCGAGTTACTGTCTGTTTTCGGCAACGAAGCGCCACATCAGTCGACAATTTCCCGTTGGTATGGAGAATTCAAATGTGGTCGGGTGAGTCTTAGCGACGATCCCAGGGTGCGTGTACCAAAAACGGCAGTCACCCAGGAAAACGTCGATGCTGTGCGCAAACTCATCATTGAAGATAGACATGTGACATATTGCGAGATTGAGGCGTCCTTGAAGATCTCAACGACCCCAATTCAAAAAAATGTACATGAAGAATTAGGAGTAAGAAAATTAGTTTCTCGTTGGATACCCCACCTGTTGAGTGAAGAGCAGAAAGCAGCCAGGGTTAATTGGTGTCAAAAAACGCTTGACCGTTTCAATTCCGGAAACTCAAAAAATGTGTACAGCATTGTTAGTAGTGATGAATCATGGATTTACTCTTCTGAACCAGAAAATAAACGACAGTCGGCTGTTAATGAGCAAAGAACTGTTACTACGTATTGGTATACTACCATTTGTTTGCCAAAAGTCATCAAAGAGCTTCAAAAAATCAACCCCGAATGAAGAATCATCCTACACCAAGACAATGCAAGCTCGCACACAGCCCAAAGAACAAGGGAGTATTTAACGGAAGAAAACGTGGAATTATTGGACCATCCTCCATATAGTCCCGATCTCAGTCCTAATGATTTATTTACTTTCCCGAAAATTAAAAACAGACTGCGTGGTCAAAGGTTCCAGTCACCAGAAGGAGCAGTTGACGCATTAAAAAATGCTGTTTTGGATCTGCCAGCAAACGAGTGGAATAAGCGCTTCGAAAATTGGTTCGAGCGCATGCAGATGCGGCGAATACTTCGAAAAACAATAAAGTCATTTAAAACTACCTACCGTGTTGTTTTATTTCCATATGCAAAACTTAAAAGACATCCCTCGTAATAAAGGATGGAGTAAATTTTGCACATGCAAAAACCGCATCACGCTTTATCGATTGCCCAGTCTTGGAGTTTCCCTACCTATATTTCTGAAATAAATAAGTGGCTTACGTTAGAGGGAAGAACAAAGAAAGAAGTATGTCAAAAAAATTTCAAATAGTATTTATTCTCTTTTATATAATTCTTAACACTAATTTATTCTAAATTTTATGTATGTTCAGTAATAAATTAGGAGGGAGTGTCATATAAGTTATTGGGCTGGCATGGTTCGAGGAGATTGTCGTTGGGCCAGCACTCGCTGCACACTCCACACGAAACGTGGAATGTAGAAAACACCTATGTATTGTGTGTATGAAAAAACAAACATGTACAAATTATAAATATATATATTAATAATATAAAAACAATCAGGGAGCCACCTCCCTATATTCAGCGGCCGCACCGCCATCACAATAGCTACCGACGCGACACTTACAACAGTTTCGGTACAAATTTTATACAGCATCACTATTTGTGAAAAGTCACACTTGATATAAAAAAAGGATACCGCGGTGACGTTAGGTAAAAAATGGCCATGTCCACGTTAAAAAAGCCACATTGGATGCATATTTGCGTTTAGTTCTTTATTTGTCAGCATTTATCAGTGCACAGCCCTTCAGTGATAAAATTCGTGCGGGGAAGTCCGCATTCTAAGAAAAGAAATGTTTGCCAATATTTTTTTGAGCTATCTTAAAATTCGAGTTCAATATTTTTGTAAAATTTCATGTCACCATACTACTTGCGAAAAAAATCAATTTTGATCACAGTCCAAGAACTTGCAATATACAAAACAAAATATCCATATTTGATGATAAAAAAGTCATATAATCATGGTCTAATGCATATATCAAATTTTTGCATTTATGTATTTCAGAATGTTGTTCAACAACCCATGGGCATTTTTGTTCAAAATCACAAATCTTCTAGTATTTAAACAACACAAAGTTTTTTATTTCGCTTAAAGCTTCAATAATAATCACATATCACTTGCATCTAAAAAAAAAATTGGTCATTCCACGTAGAGGAATATGATGTCAAGTGTATTAAAACACAATCCTAGGAGACACAGTAATCACTCAGATTGATAATGTTGATAAAACCCTGAAACCTCATTGGGCCGACCATTGATGGTATTCAAGTTGTTCATGTAAAAAAAGGACAATAAATAGCACAAGAACAAGAAAATCGTTAATTTATCTGCCTAGGTAGTGATTTATATCACGGCTTTCAAACAATAAAAGCATAAGGTACTGAAATAAGGAGAAAAAAGTTGATGGACGTTTACAATACGTATTTCCTCAAATATTTAAATGCTATCAATTTTAAATTTGAACAAAGCTCACAGATCCTGATCATTTCCCTGCCAGTATGAAGTAGCAGAATCACCAATATAAAATTTTAAAATAATTACGAAACTTCAGCAGGAATTTGCATTATCAGATAAAATTACCATTTTTCCAGTTTCATTATCAAAGGCCAACGACGTTTTTAAGACCGACCAGCTAACCTCAAAATGCTAACGTTGAGGCAAACACAAACATACAGCTCAATGTAACCATTTTCAAAGCAGTATCCTAACATTACCATGGTACTGAAATAGCCCAATAAACGGAGATTTTAGCATGTAAAAAAGACTACAGCCAACAGATTGAAAAATACATCTAAGAATATTTATATTTTTCAGAGAACAAAACCGTTAAGCTGGTCTTTATATCATCAACATATCTGGAGTAGATTCTAGAATCGTTTACTTAAAAAACCTTCAGCATATTCAATTTTCATTATACATGGTTTTTGCTAGTTAAATGTCAATATTTGAGGATACGATTTTTGGGTCCATTTTAAAAAGAAAACTTCATATGAACGTATGTCGTAAACGACTTAACTTTTGAGATACAAGGTGGTTTATAATCAATATCTATAAAAACCTCTTTACCATTTTAATGAATATGCATGAAGATGCATTTTTATGTAACCACTTATTTTTTTCAATTTCCAACAGTGGCGGTGATTTCTCTCAAAACTAAAGGTATTCCTTACATCCCCACTCATTTCTAAGCAAAATTTTTTGCTTGATTTTTCCAATTTGTTGCACGGTTTTCGATTGTAATAATAAATAACGTTTCTCTGCATGATCATAACAATATTGTCAATATGACAATATCAACATCCAGAGAAATAAACTTTTATGTGAAAACCGTGCCTCAGGCTAAAAAGTCAATGGATCAAATCTGCTCACAAATGGAAGGATTTATGTTTTTTCAAGTCAATGGCGTACCAGTGACTGTATACTGAAAAATTATATATCTCAAAAGCTAAGACGAGCCCTTAAATATTGACATTCAAATAGGAGAGTATAACTATATCACAATGATTTAAAACAACTCTAGAGGAAATTGCAGATATGTGAAGATACAAGCGTTGATTCAACAGCATTGACTCTGGAAAAAATCCTAAATGAAGTATACAGCTTTTTGTGAGACCATTTCTAGGTGAAAATGCGTGTTTGAAACTCAATATTCTTTATTCAATATTTGTAAAAAAAAATCGTAGAACTACATCACAAGACAACTATTAAAATTTTCGTTCAATTACAATTATTTTAAAAATGCATTTTAAAACACGACTAAAAAATTTGTACTAATTTCATAGTCGAACGTTGGGTCGCCAGATCTCTCGTTCAAAATATCCTAAGATAGGTGGCAAATAAATGGAAAACAGCGAACCATTTATCAGGATAATATCAATTACACTAAAATTACAAAAAATAATGATTTATTCTAGTCTATAAAGACGCTAAAGTACTACGGTTTTTCCTTTAATGCTTTGACTATCAATAAGAGTCGTAAACATACATTTTCACATAGGAACTCGCAAAACAGAGGCCAATTAGTTTCCCATAATCTTTTTGTACATTTTTCTCGTCACTTCTCCGATCCTTGGTCTGAAATTAGAAAAATCAACCATAATAATATAACTAGCAATTGCGCGCATTCATCATCATATTTAGAAAGTCTCAGCAGCGTTTTTCCACTAGGTAACAATCCGTAAGTTATATAAACACAGCCTCGCGAAGCCATAGAATACTTTTTAGGTATCTGGATTTCACTCAATTGTTCTAGTCACTAGTTTCTTCGTATATATAATATTTATATATGTATAATATACAGATTCTTCATATGAAACATATGTACAAATTACATATAACATAATATGCTACATATTTACAAAACATTATATCGGCCTAGTCTGAATGGTAATGACTAATGCAAAAGTTGCGATACGAGCAGAATATACCGATGTTTGGTGTAAGTACTGCATTCTCATGGGCCCCCAGAAGCATTTCTGCCAAAAGCATACTTCACTTGCAATTTGTAAAGTCATTGCGGGCAAGTAGGGAGGTTCTGCAATAACAAATTACGGAGTTTTTCTGTTTTTTCGATGACGTCAAATAATCTGATGAAAAATTACATGATATATATTTAAATGAAATTTAATGTCGCATTTATAATCATCAGGTCTTTCTGGTCACATTGCCCAATTTGTGACGTCTGAAAAGTTCGGAACCTCACGATAATTCGTGAATTAATAATATTAAAAAATGAAGCACCGCGATTGATAGTTTTTCCCAGCTATCCATTGATGACCTTGGAGTCGACATTGACCATGACTTTGAAGGTCAAGTCGATCTTTGTAAATGGAGCACTGCATTTTGACTCCGTAAGTGGAAAGAGCGAAAAAGTATACGTTCAAACATGGTCTTGAACAGTCTTAAATTTTCACCTTAGGACAAACCCAGGTGCGGTGATATAACTTGGAAACCCGTAGTCGTACAAGGAAACTACAGAGACATTATTTTCATGATTTTTTCCCGGATATAAAATAGTGACCTTGGATCTGACCTTAACCATGATGACCTTCAAGGTCATGTGAAGATCGAATTTTGTAGCCCGGGAACAATACTGGAAGAATAAAGTCAGTTTATCTGGAGATTATACCGTTTTCTGAATTATCAAGAAATTGAGGTAAACTTGTGTTTGACTTTGAAGTCAAATTACAAAAATTGTCGAGGACATATTCGAACCTAAAACTACCCCTTTTCTCCATTTCAGCGGTCAAAAGCATACGGTCCCATTAAAAAGAGTTGACCTTCAAACGACCTTGAATGTCACGATTAATGCCAAATCCAAGGTCATCACTGAATTTTCGAGGCTTAATCGTGGAAATGTTTCCCTATACGACTATACAAGCTTTCAAGTTATATCACCGTACCTGGGTTTTACCTTAACCATGACCTCCTGAGGTCAACATTTCAAAATGATCAAGATCATATTTGAACGTAAAAGATTCCACTCTTTTCTTTTCATTTTTATGGGTTCAAAAATGAGGGATTTCATTAAAAACCACAAATTAAGCTTCAAATGACCTTGAAGGTCACGTCACCATTGGATAGCTGGGAAAAACTCCTATCAATCGGTTCACAAATTATCGTGGGGTTCCGGAACTTTTCAGACACCCTGTATACGAAAACGCTAATTTGATTGCAATATCAAATGCAATTCATAATATTTATTATGAAACACATCTTCTATTATTCTAACGTCTGCATTTTCCCAATACAGAAAAAAACTCCACAGGAATTTACTAGCTTATAAAATCGTATTGAAAAACACATTTTTCAAAACACATTCAATCACCCCAGAAATTTTTCATCATTTTATTCATAAAATAAAAAACACCCATCTCCAAGTTACTCAAAAAATCACCTTACTTGCCACACGACTCCACATAAAGACAAAGCGTACGCTCTCGACAAAAACCCTTCCGGGGGCCCGACATATCCGAACTACAACGGTCACCGAAACATCTATGTCCTTCGATCCCGCGTACGCGCAACTTTTGCCTACACGGGGGCCGAATAGTGGTTGGCGCGGTCGCGTCGTCACTAGAGCTGCTCGACAAACTTGCTCAGCTGATCCTGGGGCGTCATGGTCGGCACGTCCTGTGGGCCGGGCGGGCCCCCGTCGGGCGGCGCGCCAGCGGGCGAAGCGCCGTGCGGATGGAGACCGGGTGCTCCGCCAGCGTGGTTTTGACCGCCGCCGCCCAGCAGCATCTCGGAGGCGGCCAGATCGTGCGGGGACGGCTGGGGGCCGCGCGGCGAAGGCACAGCTTGCGTCCGGGGCGAGGGGGCCGTCCGCGATGGTGATGGCTGGGGACTCCTACGCAAATACAAGAAATAAACGATAAAATGTGTACATGAGAATAACGCAAACGGCTCGTTTCAAAATAGGCCCTAAAATATCCCGAGGTACATGCCGTTGAAAACTGATGAGACTGAATAAGGACAAAACATATATAAACAATACACTATTTCCAATGTAAAACCTCACTTAAAGCCGCTTTACACAATCAAATGAATTCACGAATAAATTGTCAGAAAAATTGATGAATTTCTTCAAGCCATACCTACACACCTACAGGGTTTGTCCGGAAAGTAATAGGACTGAGTCGATTTAAAAAAAAAATTATTGAGCCAATCGTTACAATTCTTTAAAAACTTTCAAAATAGGCTCCTTCTGCGTCGATGCAGCGCTGCCACCGCGATTTCCAAGCATTGAAGGCTTCACGGAAGGCATTCTCCGGAATAGCCTTGAGAGCCGCGGTGCATGCTGCTTGGATCCCCTCTGTCGTCTCAAAATGCTTGCCTTTCATCGACCTTTTCAGGCGAGGAAACAAAAAAAAGTCCGGTGGGGCCACATCTGGGCTGTAGGGCGTCTGCGGAAGCGTTGGGATGCCGGCCTTGGTCAGGTAGCTGTTCACAAGAAAGGCGGTGTGAGCCGGGGCGTTGTCATGGTGTAAGTTCGAGTCGGCTGCGATGTCTTGTCGGACCCGACTGACCCTTCGTTTGAGTCTCCTGAGCACTTCCACGTAAAACTTGGCGTTGACGGTTTGTCCAGGAGGAACAAATTCATGGTGGACGATGCCTTCGATGTCAAAAAAGACAATAAGCATCGTGTTTACCTTGGATTTGCTCGTTCTTCCCTTTTTTTAGGGGGGGAGACGCCGTCGTGTGCCACTCGGAAGATTACCTCTTTGTCTCGGGATCATACTCAAAGATCCACGACTCGTCACCTGTGATTACGTTACTCAAAAATTGGTGGTCACTTTCACACATGTTCAAATTTTCTTGGCACACTTCCACTCGCCGCAATTTCTGGTCGTCAGTGAGCACTTTTGGGACCATCTTCGCGCACACCTTGCGCATGTTCAAATGCTGTGTCACAATGTCATAAACCACAGATTTTGGTAAATTTAACATCTGGGCAATTAAACGAATACTTAGTCGACGGTCCGAGTTCAAAACTTTGCGCACAAGAGTCACATTATCTTGCTAAAGCAACACCTGTGTAAGCCTGCTTGATCATATCAAACGTCTCTGTCGCAGATTTACCGAGTTTCACACAGAATTTAATCGCGTACCTTTGCTCTAAAGAACGCTGCATTTTCGGCTTGCACCACTCATAGAAACACGTCGCACGAAAATGACTGTCCTGACTCTCCAAATGCTCGGAGAAAACTGACCAGCCGCTCATTCATTAGTTAGGAACGTCCTCTACCGAATCCAGTCAGTGCGCGCGCTCCGAAATACAGTCATGGCGGAAGAAAATGAGTCCTATTACTTTCCGGACAAACCCTGTATGATACAAACCTCATGGAAAAAGTACATAACCGATGTGTAATGAATCTAACCAGTGAAAACATGACCGTATACTCACATATTGATTGTTTCTCTTGAAATATTAAATCCTAAATTAAAACCAAATCACCCTGCCCAACTGTAAGGGTTATAATTTCACTATCAAATCACAAAAAGCACACGCGTCAAATAATGAAGGTTGTTGTCTAGCAAAAAGAACCAAAAGTAACTAGATTTCCCCAAAAAATTGACGGAAAATTAGAGCAAACTCTAGTCAGGCAATTAATTCATTTGTGAAGAAATAGAGAGCAATTTTTATGTTTACACCGTCCAACTTCTACAAGGTTAAACATTTTTCACTTTATTGTAATGTATAAAGCGGCTATAACTTCAAGATATTTTCAAAGTAGAAAAGGTTGAAGTCTTTTATACGAACTTCAACCTCAAACATTCAATCCAAACCAAAAAGAATAAAAATGGCGTTAAGTAGGTTGACTCTGCACTTCCCTCGGAATGCTGTCATCAGTTCGTATATAATTTCACCACCAAATTAACAACTTTTTGAAAAAGTTAGTTATGAACATGTAACAAGCCATACATGCCCATTGAAAATAGGCTAATTGACCAATATCTAATTTCATAGATTAAACGAGAGTATTTCTTACAGTATTTGGCTTAGGAAAACGTAACATTCTTAAAAAGTGAGATGGATATATAAATCCAATATAAAAAAATGTATTTTTTATACGAAACGGTAAAAACACTATCGGTCTTGATGTGACGTCATAAAAATTGTAAACAAAGAAACGTCATTCGTATGTTACTCGTCAACTAACGTTGACATATTGACTAATATCTAATTTCATAGATTAAATGAATATTACAGTATTTGCATTAGGAAAACGAAATATATATATATATAATAATATATTTATTCTGTTTAATACGAAACAGACTATCCGCCATGATGTGACGTCATATACAGTAATGGACAAAAATAGATAGACAAATATGAATATTTACTTTTAGAAAACGAATTCATACTTCATGCTCCATAAACAAATGCGTTATTAGTAGAAAAACGATATTTCTTGTTTTTACATTATCTGCAATGAACACGATACAAGTCTGAATATAAGCACTTGTTTATGAGGGACAAAAATATGTAGACAAATCCTTTTCAACATTAGTTTAGTACAGTCTTGTGTCAGAAGAGGATTAGCTTGTGTTCATCAAGTATTGTGGAATAAGTTGAGTGATTTTAAGACCATGCCGCGTGGTCCAGAAATTTCTTTCGATGTGAAAACTAAGATCATTGAGTTATACAAAGATGGTCAACATCAAGCCGACATTGCCAAAAATTTGAAGCTGAAGCGTAAAGCAGTTTGAACAAATATAAACAAAAAGGTATCTTGGAAGCCTCTTAGAGAAGTGGTCGGACTAGAAAACTAAATGCTAGATCAGTTAGATTAATAAAAGTAATTTCGTCCAAAGATCCGTTTAAAACCCCAAGACAAATAAAAGCCGAAATCGAGACAAAAATAATTGTCAGTATTTCTACCAAAACTATAAGTAGAAGAAAACCGTAAGGACCGATTACAATTTGCACGGTTGCATCTTGACTGGAGCATCTGTGACTGGAAGAGGGTATGTTTCAGTGACGAATCCAAGTTCAATATGTTTGGATCAGATGGTGTTTATTACTATAGACGTCCACTAGGACAAAGACTGAATCCCAAGTACACTTTGCCCACTGTCAAGCATGGAGGCGGGTCTGTTATGGTTTGGGGGTGCTTTTCGGGTTTGGGATGGGACCTTTACATAAGATAGATGGCATTATGGAAAAGTTTGTAACATACTAAAGCATGTCATGTTACCCTATATGGAAGACATTATGCCCTTAAGATCAATCTTCCAGCAAGATAATGACCCGAAGCACACTTCAAATCTCGCAAAGAAATTCTTTCTGGATGAAAAAATACCAGTTCTCAAATGGCCTTCACAGTCTCCCGATATAAACCCCATTGAAAATCTATGGGAATACTTAGATAAGCAAATACGAGGTAAAAATTATTCAAACAAGGATGAACTTTTTGCCGCTTTAGAGCAAAATTGGAGACATATTGATGAATCTTATATCAAGAAACTTCTACAATCTATGCCGAGACGCTGCCAGGCGGTGATTGATAATAATGGTTACAAAATATCAATACAAACAGGGAGTCTAATGAATTTATTTATGTATAAGTGAGTATTATGCTATAAGGAATTATGTATACAGGTTGGTGTATTAATAAAACAAGTTAAAAAAGAAATACAGCACAATATTAATTTGTCTATAGTTTTGTCCATTACTGTATATTGTAAACAAAGAAACGTCATCGTATTTCACTCGTGAACTAACGTTCTCTACTTCTAAGAAACTCCTAACGTAAAAAGTTATCGTTTTATTGAAAAAAAAACAACCACGCACGTTGGATTCGAAATAGCAGAAGTTTGTCGAAAATTGACACATTGTGGTGATAATACCGTAGATTACGTCCAACTTAAACGGAACGATCAAATCTGCACAGTAAAATGTGAACTATCTTGCGAAGACAAGGTGAGCTCCAAGCAATACACGGTGTTGCGTATATTCATGTCCTTGGGCAGTATAATCCGCAATTTTCCTAGGGTCTTTCTCGATTTTTACATTCTCGGACGATACAATAACGATTACTATATTGTTCATGCAAACTAGTAGAAGTCATGTTTATAAATTTGAGAGGATATATTGCTGTCAGATGCTGTTTACAAATGGTATGACAGATCACATTAACATGACGGATAGCGCTTTCGCCTAGGAAAAAAATATTTTCAAATTAAAGTTTGACGGCCTTTCAGGCCTGAAAAAATATAGTAATGATTTTTTTGGTCTAATAGAACGAATATTAACTATTTAAGATCTACTTAAAAAAAGTTGTGTCAGAAATTTTGAAATATTTATGCGATTAAGAAAAATCTCTTGTACATAAAACATTTAGTGATTTCAGAACCAGGGACAAAAAATCTAACAAACAATATAAAAGGCTTAAAAATGTTAACTATTTAAAGCCTACCTAAAAAAAGAGTCAACTAGCCTATTGTTAGCATACCTATAAAGCGTGTTTCCGAAAACGTGCTTACCTGATGGGCGGCGGGCTCCTGACGCTCTGCATAAGCTGCTGTTGCTGTTGCACGGTCATGCCCTGTCCGTGAGGCGGTCCCATGACGCCTTGCGGCGAAGGTGTCGGAGGCGGCGTCGGCTTCATGCCCTGAATCGGCGCGTACTGCTGGTCGCCCGCCGGACCGCCCCCGAAACCCGCTTGGGCGGCGGCGGCCGGGTTGTAGCCGCCCATGTGCGGTTGCCTGATGCCGGGTAGTCGTTGTTGCTGAGGCGGCGCGCCCGCGTATCCGCCCCCCGCCTGCTGGAAGCCCTGCTGCTGCGCGGCGGCTAGAGCTGCCTGTTGTTGGGCGGCCGTGGCCGCGGCTTGCTGTTGCTGCTGCTGTTGCCGCTGCAAAGCCAGCATTTGCTGTTGGTGCTTGAACCACTGCAACAAACGACATGATCAAAACTAGCAAGTAGTTATAGTACAGGAAGTATCTTCGCCTCTTCTTAGAAAAATATTTTGATTGTCTTGTCGAATAATCTCATTCAAAAAGACCCATTTTAATGAATCTGCATGTTGCCAGACATAAAATCACGTCAGAAATTGTTTTTCTTTTTTATTAGGTTGTGCAATAAACCTAATCAAACTATTTTTCCGAGCAGATGCGAGATACTTCCTAGATTATTACCAGTGGTAATGTATAAGTGATCGCATCCAAACGGCAGGGAGCATTTCAGCCACCGTGCCAGAATCTGTTTTTTCTACTGGAAACTCTGTATTGTTTGGCATAGGTAACTTCGTTGTTTGCCACTTAACATACCTGTTGTTGTTGAGTCATTTGTTGACCAGGTCCTGGCCCCTGGGCGAGTCCTTGAGCTGTAGGTTGACTCAACATCCCTCCTTGTATCTGCATACGCGCCGCTTGGTGGGGTTGCGCAGAATTCTGTTGAGAATTCAAGATGTGTTGCAACTGTTGTTGAGGAGTACCTCCAGCACCGGTCTGTTGCATCTGTTGAGCTTGTGCCTGAAACAAGCAAGTACTGTTGTAGAAGAACGTTGTGGGATTTTATTTCATTTCACTGAAGAGAAATTTCGAAAATTCCTGCATATTTGCAATTTCGATCAGGACACATATTTTGGGTAAATCGGGTGTGTAGATGGATCTGATGTCAGTTTTTTATTGAGATTTGGAAGGTATCAAAAGGCCCATTTTTCTACTTAAATCAGGGCCTTGTGGCACTAGCATTTCCTGAACGCCATATCGAAACCGCGTCCTAAATGACCCCAGTGCGAAGAATTTTTTTTTCACATTGAGAAACAAGTTCAATCGCAAAATTTCAAAAATTCTTGCATAACCACAATATCGATTAAAATCCATTTCTTCGGTAAGTCTAAAGCGTAGATCGTGAATCTGATGTCAGTTTTTCATGGAGGCTTCAAAAGCCTCATTTTTTTTACTTGTAATAATAGTACGAGACACTTTAGGATTTTTTGGCGACATTCAAGATTAATCATCAAAATGAACCAATCTTTTTTCATTCACTTTAGCGACCTTGATTTTGTATGGTAAAACATGCCGTAGTATGAGGATTTTCTCCTAGCCAATACTGTTTTTAGTCCAACCTGTATAATTATTAAACTCGTAAACACTACCCTTTCATTAAAAATGAGTCAGTAAAAGTGAGATGCCTCGATGCTCTGTATAAAACGGATGCTCATGTAATGGACAGTAATGGACAAAAGTAGATAGACAAATATGAATATTTACCTAAATACTTTTAGAAAACGAATTCATACTTCATTGCTCCATAAACAAATGCGTTATTAGTAGAAAAACTAAATTTCTTGTTTTTACATCATCTACAATGAACACAATACAAGTCTGAATATAAGCACTTTTTTATGAGGGACACAAATATGTAGACAAGTTCTTTTCAACATTAGTCTAGTACAGTTTCGTGTCAGAAGAGGATTAGCCTGTGTTCATCAAGTATTGTGGAATAAGTCGAGTGATTTTAAGACCATGCCGCGTGGTCCAGAAATTTCTTTCGATGTGAAAACTAAGATCATTGAGTTATACAAGGATGGTCAACGTCAAGTCGACATTGCCAAAAATTTGAAGCTGAAGCGTAAAACAGTTTGAGCAATATTGAACAGGTATCTTGGAAGCCTCTAAGAGAAGTGGTCGGCCTAGAAAAATGCTAGATCAGTTAGACTAATAAAAGTAATTTCGTCCAAAGATCCGTTTAAAACCTCAAGACAAATAAAAGCCGAAATTGAGACAAAAGGAATTGTCAGTGTGTCTACGAAAACTATAAGTAGAAGATTAGATGATTTTAAGTTATTTGCACGTCGCCCGAGTAAGAAGCCGCTAATCTCGAGAAAAAACCGTAAGGACCGATTACAATTTTCACGGTTGCATCTTGATTGGAGCATCTGTGACTGGAAGAGGGTATGTTTCAGTGACGAATCCAAATTTTCAATATGTTTGGATCAGATGGTGTTCATTACGTTAGACATCCTAGTGGAGAAAGATTGAACCCCAAGTACACTTTGTCCACTGTCAAACATGGAGGCGGGTCTGTTATGGTTTGGGGGTGCTTTTCGGGGTTTGGGATGGGACCTTTGCATAGAATATATGGCATTATGGATAAGTTTGTAAACACAGCCATACTAAAGCATGCCATGTTAGCCTATATGGAAGACACTATGCCCTTAAGATCAATCTTCCAGCAAGCACACTTCAAATCTCGCAAAGAAATTCTTTCTGGATGAAAAAGATATCAGTTCTCAAATGGCCTTCACATTCTCCCGATATAAATCCCATTGAAAATCTATTGGAATACTTAGATAAGCAAATACGAGTTAAAAATTATTCAAACAAGGATGAACTGTTTGCCGCTTTAGAGCAAAAGTGGAGACAGATTAATGAATCTTATATCAAGAAACTTCTACAATGTATGCCGAGACGATGTCAGGCGGTGATTGATAATAATGGTTATGCTACAAAATATTAACACAAACATGGTTGGTTTTCTATAATTCAATGAACTTGAGTCTAATGAATTTATTTATGTAGAAATGAGTATTATGCTATAACGAATTATGTATACAGGGTGGTGTATTAATAAAACAAGTTAAAAAATAAATACAGCACAATATTAATTTGTCTATATACTTTTTTTGCACATTACTGTATATTACAAGAAATTAGAAAAAAACATTGATATTCAAACGTAGAATGATGTCTAACTCACCTGCCGCTGCTTGATGAAAGCCGCCATCAACTGCGGATTCGCCTTGAGTATCGACAATATCTGCGCCTGTTGTTCGGATGAGTGCGGCGACCTGAGCGTCTGCATCAGCTGTTGCAACGCCTGTTTCTGCATCATGTTTCCCGGCTGGCCGGGGGCGGCCCCCTGCATGCCCGCCCCCGGTTGGCCTACCGGGGGCGGCCTGACGCCCGACTGCTGCTGCACGCCTGCGCCCATCTGGGTGGGGGGCATCGCCTGCGCGGGGCCCAAGCCTACGCCGCCCGCGCCTCCCGTTACGGGTTGCCGGATGCCACCTGCCGCAGCTGCGCCGCCCCCAGGATAGCGTTGTTGCCATTGCTCCATCGGTAACAGATTTCCACCTGGAACAATAGCTGAAGTTGAAAAAAAACATTATTCAGTACGGACAAAAAAGTTAAATAGCTATGTGATAACTTACAGGTTTTGAGAATAATTTTTGTTATCTCAGAATTGAAATACAATAAAAATCCTAGAATCTCTCAAAAAATATTCTAAATTAGAAATTAGAATTATTGGCGAATCATTGTTTAGTGTATGGTGAATTCCGATCAAAATTACAGTGTTACACCATTACTCCTGTGCCAAAAGTTCAAAATTCCGAGCTATTTACAACTATGCGACCGATTAATGGAATGATGAGAAGGTATTGGAATGTGTAATATTCAAACAAATCATTGAATTAATTGAAGAAGGCACAATTTTGGCAAAATGGATTTAGAAAGAAAACTATTCAGAAACAGCAATACAAATGGTTGTGGAAGTCTGGAGAAGAAGTATATATAAGAAAGAATGTACTGTAACAATATTCTTAGACTTCGAAAGGGCATTTGAGACTGTAGATGGAAAAAAATTGTAAATGAAATTACATCACTATGGGCTTAAAATCTTAAAGGATCAGTATTAAACATTTTACAAAATTATTTAGTAACTAAAAATCTAAAAACTAAAATCGTCGAAAAAATGACAGTTTTTCGAGCATTGGCCAAATTCTCTCCGCCACTGTTCCACCATTTCTTAAAATATCGACCTGAGATCAATCGCGTTCGATAGCTATAGTCAAAATCACGAAATATGTCTATTACGTCATAACATAAATTGTACTGAAGTAATCAATGGACGTACGTCGATGATTACTTTCGATTATTTTCATTTTATTTCATGGTTTCGAGTGATACCTTAATAATAATTCTAGTGGGGCGTTTTTGTTTTGAAAAAAACAGCTATGAGCCGTTTCACACATAAGAGAATTACATACTCCGAAAATTATGGTCATAATTATGCCGAAAATTTGCATGGAAAAAATATTGAAGATTTCCTCTACAACCTGTATGACACAAGCAAACAAAATTTCCGAGTAATTCATATGATACGCCTCCGCATTACAGTAATATTTTCGAATGGACATAACCTTATCGGGTATGACGACCAATATAATCGGAAAGACAACAGACGTCGTTGATTTAAATTTATTCTTGGTTAATATTATAAAACTTCTCAATGCTTGGACTATCGCATCCAGAGCCTGACGCCGCAAATTTCTGTTTTTGTAATTGGGTGACTTCACCATGTACAGGTTTGGCCAGTTTAACAATGAACGCTTCATCGTACGACTCGAACAGGACCACACCTACAAATGTTAAGTGAGGTTATGTTGTTGACGTTGACAGTTGATAATGACATGCACGGAAATAACCCTCTGCGCCGATTCTCGCGCATATTCTATAGAACGGGTTTTATATTTTTACCATGAAAATTTTCTTAAGAATTCTTTTACGTGTAATACGACAGCAAAAATTTTCGGCATAATTATGACCATAATTTTCGGAGTAATTCTCTTATGTGTAAAACGGCTCTATGATTAGAATACCTTAAGACACGAACACCAAAGACCAAAGTATTATTCGAAAACAACCTAACCTGCTTTAACTTAACCTAATTATTCATCTTTCAAATATGATAGATCATGCAACATGAAAACATCGTCTATCTTTGTCGGATACATGCAAATTAGCAATATATTTTGGTTAGACAATAAAATTCTGTTTGTCTCTGTCTAACATATCTGAAACTTCATTAAAAATACTCACAAATCGCTGTAGTTTGTCTTTACTACAGACTAAAATGATGACGCAACCGTCATCTTTCGTGATTTCGACTATAAACGTGTAGTTGTGCGGTTGGATAGGGGTGTCATTTTGATCCGCGGATAGTTTTTTCTAGAAGTTTTCAAAAAAAAAAAAAGAGAAAAACATTTTTTTAAAAAGGCGATGACTTATCTTACGACAAAGAGAAAATAAATTTGGCATAGCGCATTTTCAAACGTTAGAAAATTGGCTTGTTTGGGTCTTAAACGTACATTTCGATACTCGAAGATAACGGTGCTTCGAACCTAGCGATTCTTGCAAAAGAAAACCCAGAAGTCGAATATTTTCAACGCGCCTATTTTCATTTCTTTATTCCTTTCCGTTCAAAAAGTTTCGATTTTTTAAAAATTTCTTGACAAAATGCTACCCTCAACCTCTAGCGACATTAAATAACATCTTTGGTCACAAGGTCAGGCAAAGATTTTTATCGTACAAATCTGTCAAAGTGAAACGCGTGTTTATGTTTTGCAAAATCGCTAAATATAGATATTTAGCGAAAAACAGCACACACTCGTCTTTGCAACAGTATCTTGAAGCCAGGTTGATTCTAAGTACTTCAAAAACTGCATGTTTTTTGGAAATTAAATTTATTTCACTAACCAGTAAGTACATCAACGTGTTAATAAATGCGAATTAGAGAAAACGACACATATTTTTGCGAAAACCAAAGGCGTACAATTTTTCGCTAAATATAAAGCTCAAATATCCCGTATAATGGAAACGGTAAATTTTTTCGGATCTACATTTCATATTTTTACATACTGAACTGCCTCCAATCTGTAACACCCTGTAGATAACAGGAACGTGATGAACAAATATACAAGCAACTTCCTCCACTTCTGGGTTACAAAATTCAACCTGCAAATTAACTTGCGACTGAAAACCTTAGTATGCTTGTAAACATACCTGGTATATTCCTGATCTGTGGCGGAGGCATATTCGGACCAGGCACCTGGTTCGGATTGACCTTGCCATAACCTGGATGAGGCGCCTGTTGCCTGGCAGCCTCTTCTTGCACTTGCTTCACGACCTGAAGAACGTTCGCGGGTGGCGTTTGGGTTCCAGGTTTCATCCCGATACCCGGTTGGTGAGGTGATTGGATGCCCATCGCAGGATTCGGAAGACCTGCAAATAATAGTCATGTATCAGGACAGCCCAATGAAAAGGTTTGTGTCCGACGCTGCTTAGCACCAGAGATCGGACGTATTTTGGAGTAAAAAAAAATCATTTTTTCAAAGTTCAATATTCAAGAATATTGTATAAAAATAAACTATAATTTTACATTGAAATATATTTAAAATGATCATTAGAGCTGAAAAATACTCATAGTGTAGCCTATAAATGCAATATCTTGCAAGCCAGTCGACCTAAACAAGCGCCAACGTCATACCCAGAGTACATAAAAATACGTGCCTCCTTAATTAATCCCCATACCATTTCGCATCTTCTGATGCATTTTTTAGCACACTTTAGGCTATATTTTGAAGGAAAAAGTTGCCCAAATTTTGGTTTGAAATGTTTACTTCCAGTTTGTAGCACCTTTTTCACCAAAAAGTACAGAAAGTGTCCCATATAAAACGCTATGCTTCATATCACACATCTAGGTTTGAGGATATTTTGACTATGGTAATACCACCGTGGATAATTAATCCATATGGTGACATAGAAGAAACGAATGTCATAATACAAGAGGAACTGACTGAACTAAGTACAAACGAAGAACTTAAGGTTCAGTTTAAAAACGGATATCAGCAATTCTGGCTGCAAAACAACATACCCGTTACTTATCCCGTATTATGGAATATAGCGAGGAAATGTTTAATTTCCTTTCCATCGTCATACCTGGTGGAAAGGGGGTTCAGCGCTGTTACCAATCTCCTAACGAAAAAAAGAAACAGACTGGACATCATTAGCCGAGGAGATTTAAGATTAACCCTTACAAAATTGACGCCAAATGTCGATAATTTATTATTAAAGCATCAGGTTCATCCTTCTCACTAAAAATATTGACTTATTGCTTATGTTATTTTATTTATAGTTTATTTTATGTTTATTGGTGTCTGACCGATAAATGCCCGCATTGGGAATAAGTGCCCGCATTGATTTTATAGAAAATATATTTTTTTTAAATTATTCTGAAAATTCAAGGATAGGTACACACTAAAATTCGTTAATTTTTTGCCTATTTTTAGATAACTTAAACGTATAAGAAGCGGAATTTAATCAAACTAACAGTGAAATTATTGTAGAACATACGTTTATGCTATAATTAATTATTGTACTATTTTAAGTAAAAAACTATTTTTTATTATTTTTCACTTTTTTTTATTTTATCCCTCTTATTTTTTTTTCAATGCGGGCACTTATTCACAATGCGGGCACTTATTGGTCAGACACCTGTTTATTTAATGTTACGTATATTTTACATAACATACAAAATTTTATTTTGAGTAGTTTTAATTTAAATTCAATTAATAAATGTATACATCAACATGTGTTTTTACTTTAAGTTTTTAACACTAAACTTCACTACAGATAGAAATTTACAGGAAATCAATATCAGGTAAGTAGGGGGTCTACCCAACACGGAAAAACATGGCAAGGGATCTACGGCACAAAAAAGTTTGGGGAACTCTGATCTAGATGTTCAAACGTCACTTTTTTTTCGACGCCGCTTCACGTGAAATTTCATTCACACTCACCTGCTGCCATGGCGTTGACCGGCGATACGGCACCCGGAGGCACGACGCCGGGCACGCCGCCGGGTGCACCGCCCCCCGCCGTTGCGCCCAGAGGCCCCATTTGCCCTGGACCCGGGGGCAGCGCTGGGACGTTGGGCCCCGCCGCTACCACGGCGGGCGCTTGCCCCCTGGACATCACCGCCATCCGCCTTCGTAGCAGCTGCGCTTGCTGCAACCGTTGCTGGAGCTGTTGCTGCTTCAACTTGTGCTTGATGTTCGAACAGAACGGGACAGGGCACTTCGCCTCTTGGCAGTGCTTAGCGTGGTAACAGCACAGCGCGATCAGCTGCTTGCAGATCGGACAGCCGCCGTTCGTTTTGCGCTTGCACACCTGCAAAAAAAACCATTCACAACATATTTCAATAAGTGATGTGCACAGTTGACAGATCGATGTACATGAAAGGTGTAACTTAACCCATAAAAAGTACGAGAGCCACTATTTATATTTTGAGCCTAATAATGGAAAAAAAAAACTAATTTGTCATTGAAAATCACTTTACTGTTTTTCAAAATCGTCGTCCATGCAATTTATTGTTAACGTTCGGGAACAAAAAGAAGTCATTGGGTGCCAAGTCGGGACTGTTTGGAGGATGACCCATTAAATCAATATTCTGATCAAGAATGATCCGAAGGCGCTTGTTGGTTTTCCATATTTCACCGAATACTTTCGGCAAGCAAGCAGTTGTGTACCATTCGGAATTAACTGTTTTACGTTCCTCATGATCAGTTTTTTTTTTTCGACAAAACAGGCGACCATTTGTCTCGAAGTGCTTCGATAATGGCGGCCACGTTTAAATTTGTTATAGCTTCGTTTCACAACGGCAAAGGATGGAGCCTCATCACCAAAAGTCAAAGTAAGTTGATCGATGCACGTCGAAAGTCGTAATAGATCATCGCACGAAAATTTTCACGAGACACAGTTTTCAAATCGCTATCAACAACATAAATCGTGCTGAAATGACAAAACATTCTAAAGAAGCTTGTGTTTAAGAATGTCAAACTTGTAATTGGAAACGTCAGATGGAGCTTAAGCACACTTGATGTTGCCGAGGCTCAAAATATAAATACAGTGGAATCCACTTATGATGAACTTGCTTATAATGGAAACCCGTATATAATGGACACAATTTAAGGTCCTATAAATAATTGCATGTAAATCAGTATAAGTTCACAATAATTAGTGAGGTTGATCAGGGTTCATCTCAAGATAAAATATATGTGCTCCTATGGCTATAAAAAAAACCACTGTGACAAATATTTGAAAAAACCGTGACAAAATTAAAAATGAAAGGAAATCAAATAGTCAAAAGAAAAAAAACGCGGCTATCGCTGCATCCCCAATATGCTGTTTAAATGGTTTCAACAAAAGCGGGCTAATAATTTTCCAATAAGTGGATCTATGCTCCAAATAAAGGCTGAAGAATTTGGGAAATTGATTGGAGATTACTTCAAATGTAGTTCCGGTTGGCTAGACAGAAAAGACATAACATTGCTTTTGAGAAAATGTGTGGTGAGCCAGCTTCAGTTGACACGAACCTTACCAATGACTGGATTTTTCAAGTTTGGCCCGTAATATCCAGTGATTATTCAGATGATAACATATTCAATGCAGATGAAACCGGGACATTTTATAGAATGCTACCAGATAAAACTCATAAATTGAAAGCTGAAACTTGCAATGGAGGGAAACTATCAAAAGAGTGAATAACTGTTATGATTTGTGCTAGTGCTTCTGGTACTGAAAAACGGAAACTATTGATAATAGGCAAGTGATTGAATAGAAATTCATGTTCTAATTTTTTTGATATTCAATGACAGTGCTGCAAAGGATTTATGACCTTTTTTTAATTCAGGGAAATTTAAGAATCCCAAAGATGTTAAAGCAATTCCCGTCGATTATGTTGGAAATGATAAAGCTTGGATGAGTTCATCGATTTTTTAATAATAAAAAGAGCGGGACGCTGAACTTGTTAAGAAAAATCGTAAAATTTTTCTCTTGGTCTATAACTGCCCCGCTCGTCCAAATATTTCACTTAATCACATTAACCTTCAATTTTTTCCACAGAATGTGACATCAGTTCTGCAACCAATGGACCAGGGTGTCATTTGGAGTCTTAAACAAATGTATCGGAAACATATGTTGATGAAAATTATGGAGCTTCAAGAAGATGTTAACATTATCAAAGTTGTCACCATTTTAGATCCTATAAATTCGCTTACTATTGCATAGGAATTGCATGCTCCAGAAACGATTCGTAATTATTTTCGCCATGCTGATTTAGTGAAAAACATAAATGAAATAGTCAACGATTTTAAAGTGATTTACTGAAAATTAATAGTTTACTGAATATAGACACATTTCACGAGCATGTAAATGTTGACAATAATTTAATAGCAACACAGGAATTGTCAGACTCCAATTTGGTTAATGAAGGATCCGTTGATAACGAACAGGAAGACGAACTACAAAACAATGAAGAAGAAGGAGGCATTAGACTGCGTGAAAAAGTTGCAATGCTATTTTCAGCAAGAAGACAGTACAGCCACACTTACCAAATTAAATAAAATTCAACTTGCTGTTCTAAATAATTATATAAAAAAAAACAATCTGTTCAATGTTTATGAACTACTTGAAAGACCGTTGTCAAGTGACGAAGATTAATAACGTGGCGTCAAATTCAATTGATAGTGAAATTGGGGTACCTCAGGGTAGTGTGTTGGGCCCGCTTTTGTTCCTACTTTATATAAATGACTTGAACAGGGTTTTAGTAAACACATTTCTGAGCTTATTTGCAGACGATACGTTGCTTTATGCGTAGGGTAAGGACTTTAGACAAGTTGTAGATACTATGAACTCAATACTGGAAATTCTGTATAACTGGTTATGTGTGAATAGGCTTAAGTTGAATGTAGAAAAAACAAAATACATGGTTTTTGGGACAAAGCAGAACTGTAATACATTTTTAGAAAATAAATTTTGTATTGAGATAGATAATATTCAAATTGAAAGTGCATCTAGTATGAACTATTTGGTCGTAGTTTTAGATCCTCAGCTAAATTTTTCATTGCATAGGAAGTAGCTTTAGGGCTAAGAACAATAAACATTTCATTTCATTTCAAATGAAAATTACTAGCTTTTTTACCAAATAATTGACACGGTTCTTACACATACCTACACAGTACGTATGCCTGAAATATGTGTATCAGATTCTGAAAAAATGCAAATTTCAAAATTACGTAAACTTTTTTGTATGTACCTTTATTTATCTAATACATGTTAAACAAACACATTTTAAGCCTTTAATATGTTATTTCTGCTGCTTTTTTTTATTAAAAAAAAAAGATTATTTTAAGATGGTTAACCGCCTGTAATAAATAGACTATTTGTCACAGTCCCGCCGAGTCCATTATAAGCGGGTTGCACTGTAGTGACCCTCGTACCATGTGTGTATGAATCAATAAAATTAATCAGAGAAAAGATCCTGTTTTCCTATTTAATACCAAATCTTGGGTGAATTTTGAAAAACCGTAGATCTGTGATAGGAATCACTCACCTTCGTGTGCTGGACGACCCTCTTCATCTTCTGACAGCTGGGCAGTCGGCAGTTCGCGTCTCTGCACTGACACGCGTGCACCAACGACTGGATACACCTCTGGATCGACAATTTCCTCGCTTCGCCGGGATTCGCCTTGCTATCGCTCGGGCTGCTGCCGTCATCGATGCCGAAGCCCAGCTTCTCCATCTTATGGGGATGTCCCTCTTTCTCGTAGCACTGTATGCACAGATCAAAGTCCTCGCAGAAGGTGCAATGGTACCTAGTTTCGACGTGCGTCTTGCAGGTATTGCACGTGTACACGAATTTGTCCTGGCCTTGGTTATGGAGTTCGTACAGCATGGACATGGTGCTGAACTTGGCTCTACGCAACGAGGAGAATTCGTAATGTTTTTCTCTCGCCAAGGTTAGGAAGGCATCTCTGCCGTCCATTAGGTCGCACTGGATGAACGGGTCGGGGTCTTGGATTGGCTTCAAGCTTGCTGCCGATTGAACTGAATGCAGCCTGATAACGAAAAACACCTCTTTGTGCTTTTCCATGGTAGCAAATATCTTTGCGGATAGGTTGTTGCCTGTTTGAGGAGTATTCGATTTTTTGCTGCTATTTTTGCGTTGATTTGCTTTTGATTTTGTACTCTTTTTTGCTTTTTTCTGACCTTTCTTCTTACCATCAGGTCCTACTTCGCTTTCTTCCATCGATGAGAATATAGCGGCTTCGGCTTCCTTCCTTTTCTCTTCTTCCTCCTGGTCCAGTTCTTTGATGCTTTCCTCGAGAACGTTGGGCCAGAAGTCTCCCTCGAAGTAAGGGAGATCCGCTGCCGATCTCAAGTTGTCTTCCATAGCCTGTTTCAAAATGTCCTTATAATCTAAAATGATCCTTTCGATAATGCCTTTATCCAGCATTTTCTTGTACCAGTCTTGCAATCTCTTAGGTTTCGGTATTTTTTGGTCTTGTGGATGGCAGTGGAAGATATAGTCGTCGCCTTCGGATGGAGGGCACGCCCAGATGTGCGCCATCGTGTATCCGAGCTGCTTGACATAGTCCAAATAACCTAACAGAATCTCGTGATAGACGGCCGTCCGAAACTGTTTGGGCTTGAAGAAGTGCACCGAATCGAGGTACGCGATGTAGACGCGCCTGGTGTTTGGATTCGGACATTCAGATCCGTACTCTTGAACGTGCATGCCGAAGAAACAGACGTCGACGCCATCTATCTCCTCGAAGGCGAACAAAGCTTTCGCCCTGTACGGAAATTCGCCGGCCAGTTCACCGGATTCGACGAACTTGCTTCTCATGCCCGGTTTCACCTCTACCACCTAGATAAAAAAAACGAGTTTTATTGACTGAATAATGTACAAAGAGTTTCAGAATGTCGAGTGTATCAAAATTCCCATCAATATTTAATTTTTTTTTCGAGAAATTTACGGTGATCTTTCAAAGAAACGAAGCATTTGAACCATAAGGAGAATCTCAAAATACAAAAATAAATAGGATTTTCCATTCAAAAACGTTTGGTCTCCTTTCACTTTTGGGCTACCTTGTATACCAAAAAATATTTTTGTTTTTATAATTTGACTTTTTTCAATTTCTTATAATAAGGAATCTATGGTACTCTGTCAAATCTTTGACCCACCCTGTACAACGAATCTAGGAGTCTTCAAACTTTCAAATTCACTTTTATCGAAACTTACTTTTTGTGGCATTCATCTTTTTCCCCTGTGCCCTTCATATATATTGTGCAATAATTATTTATTATTAATAATAAGACAAACTGTTACTACTTGTAATGTCACATATTCCTGTTAAGGGGTGATAGTTAGATTAGGTCAAAAGCAACCGATTTTGTCATATAATGTCCTATCCAGAAGTTAACCGTTTTTGAGTTATTTGAATTTTATTATTTTTATTTTTTATTCCGATTTCAGACGGTTAAATTTGAAATACACAAAAACTACATGTTTGATTTTGAGTTTTTTGTTATCGTCGCATACCGCACATTCCAATAGTTCATAATAAGTAATAAAATGTTTAAAACCTACAAAAGTTTTAAAATTACGATTTTGACATGTATGATTTTCTTATTTTTTTACTAACTTATTCGATAAAAAATGCAATTTTCTGTAAAAAATCTCCTAGTAATGAAATGTGCAAATTATGTAAATAATATCTCTATCTAACAAGCTTTCATTTGAGGTATAAAAGTTACAACTAACTCAAGTACAAAGACATAAAATTAAAAAAAGATGAGTAAAGTTCTACGAACGATAATTACTTAGGATAAATAAAAGGCTTTTATTTTAATTACAGCTTTATTTAATTACATTTCCTTTAGTATTTTACAGATTCTGCTCAAATTGTAGTCCCCTGTTACGAATACACGCCCGCATTCTCTTACGTAACTCACTTTTGGTAACTCTAGTTGTTAAGCGGCTTTTTATTTGGTCAGCAGCACTGATTATCCTCTGCCAATCCATTGATTTGGAAATTTAGAGTCTAAATACGCCCGTACTAATCCACTGTAGTTTGCGGGACAGCCGTCGTGCTGGAACCGCATATTTTGTCTCGTCGCCAATGGGACGTCTTCCATTAATGGAAACAAGTGATTTTTCAAGAACTCTTCATACACTTCTCCATTTAAATTGGCGGGCAGAAAATGAGGTACAATTAAATACCCATCAATGATGCCCATCCACACATTGACTGAAAACCGGCTCTGAGACCCCGTCGGTCTTATTTTTCGGGGGTTTAAAGCTTCTTTAACAGCCCAGTAATGAGCATTATGGTAGTTAGTGATCCCGTCCTTATCAAACTTCGATTCATCGGTCCACAGAATTTTCTTAAAATAGTCTGGATCTTCTGTATCTGCATGTAACATGTACCTGCAGAAATCTAATCGTCTTGCAGGATCGCCCTCTTCAATCACATGCACAGGCGTGTAGCGATAAGGGTATAAACTTGCAGTATGCACAGTAAACCATACTTTGTATTGTGATATACCCAACTGAGCAGCCACGATGCGCGTAGACGTAGTAGGGTCTTCCTGAAACACACGAAGGATTTCCTCTTCATCTTCAGGAGGATAGACTCGGGTTCGACCAGCATCACTATGTTGCCTTTGAACACGTCCGGTTTGGCGGATGCGCCGATACACAGAGGCAAACACAGTAACATGAGGTGTTCGGCGATTCGGGAAACGTTGCCGATATTCACGGCGGGCAGCTGCAGAATCGCCGTTACAAAGTCCATAACAGAACATTATGTCTGCGTATTCTTCATTTGTAAAAGTTTGCCCGTGCACGCTATGGAGAGGTCCTGGCGGATCTTCTGCGTCTGCCGTGATGATAGAGAAACCGCTCGAAATGAACTGGGAAACTCGAAAATAATAATCGTGCGTAAAATGTGTGCGCGTACGCAGTAGTTGATACCAACTAAACCTGATTCTTTACTCGGCGTGCGGCGATAGCGTAACTACAATGATGAATAATAACAGCTCTCTCTCTCCTCCACAAAGTCAGCTCTTCTCGCTCGCTTCCTCGTCGAGCCGATGCCATAAAACAATCATGGCATGCGAGTACTTTGAGGACAGTAACGACCTGTTCAAGCAGGTAATACAAATTCCTTAAAAATCCAGCCTCTGTGGGTGTCATTGTTGTTTCTCTGCATATACTTCAGATAATTGAACGCTTAAGACCTCAAATGAAAGCTTGTTAGATAGAGATATTATTTACATAATTTGCACATTTCATTACTAGGAGAAATTTAAAGAAAATTGCATTTTTTATCGAATAAGTTAGTAAAAAAAAAAAGAAAATGATACATTTAAAAAGCGTAATTTTAAAACGTTTGTAGCTTTTCAACATTTTATTACTTATTATGAACTATTGGAATGTCTGCTATGCGACGATAACAAAAAACTCAAAATCAAGCATGCAGTTTTTTTGTATTTCAATTTTAACCGTCTGAAATCGTAATAAAAAATAAAAAACTTAAAATTCAAATAACCCAAAAATGGTTAACTTTTGGATAAGACATGATAGGACAAAATCGGTTGCTTTTGACCTAATCTATCACCCCTTAACAGGAATACGTGACATTACAAGTCACCCTGTATTTTCTTATCGGCCCTGTGATTAGGAATAAATATTATTATTTGAACTTATTTTATATTTTAACCTTTGCCGTGCTGAATCTGCTCTCAAATTTTTCTGACGACATTCGGTAGAAGTATCTTGTTTATGGAACATGAAAACGTTTATGTGGTTTTGCGTCTGAGTCTCAGATTATTGTAGACTGTTTCCTTTTTTTACAAAAACTTCATGAATCAGACATTTATACACACCTTCTCTGAGCTGGACACCACCCTAATAGAAACATCACCAGCCCCGGCTTCTTTCTTCTTCAGGAAAATATTCACCCGATTTTCAATGTACAGGCCAAGATTCGTGACTGGCAACCTTTTAGCGTTGAACTTGTTTTCTTTCCGCTTTTGACCTTTGGCCTTCTGGCACTCCTCGCACGTGAAGCCCAATGGCCAAATCGCTTCGATGTGCAGCACGCAAATTTGGTGTAGTTTCCTGCCGCAATCCGTACAATGGACGAACGTTTCCATCTCCAGGTGGTCGTTCTTCATTTCTTTGAACTGGTCTTTCTTGATGGCACTGAAAATCAAAGTTTGCATTAACATGTATGCGAATATTCACTACTGCGAAATATGGTACAATAAACAGAACTTTAAACATATATGTTGCGTCTACAAAATATTGCTTCTTTTCAGCTATGTAACTTACGTTTGAGCTTGGGTAGGATCGTCTCCTAAGGTAACAGTATCTCCTTGGATGTCATTGAAGCATTTCTGACAAAACGTATACCTGTCAGATCCTAATCCATACGCTTTCAAACTGAAAACAGAATAGAAAGATTCAATTAATATTGTCAAATTGAATCCAATAGATGAATAGTTACAAACATTCGCAATATAAAAATAACCTACCTGTTCTGATAACTGTAGTACTTCGCGTCTCTGGGAATAGTACAAAGTTGTTTTCCGTAACAGCAAAGAACTTGAGGATTGAATGTATACTTCCTTCCACAGCAGTAGCCCATAGATTGCATCACAGGGTCTATCTCCTGTTCGAAAACTTCCGCCAACTGAAACAAAAAACAAAATTTTTCATACCCCATGATCAAACAAGCCAAGAAAATCAAATCGCGTAGATGCTATATTAGTCTCGACGTACCTTTGTACAATATCGATACACCCGACTGGTCTTCTTGTTGTACAACCAAGCGTTGTCAAACATTAACCAGACATCGTCGACATATTCCCATGGATCCTGGTATTGGCCAATATCCAGCTTCCTCTTGATGGTCGACAAATCCATGGGCCGTTTCACAATGTCGAAATAATCGGGTATCCCCAGCGTTTGGGGATCGACGGGCTGCCGAAATGGTATGCTTTCCGGATCTTGTCGGTACAATTTTTCCAAGGTTGGCATCAGCTTTTGCCTCAATTCGTCTGGTTTAAATACTGGAAGAGAATAGACAAATTATATTTGAGAAAAATCTTTCAGGAATTAGGAAATTGATTTCACTTAAGTTTATTAACCAAATCTTCATTAAAAATTAATCCATGTGGAATCTAAGGGCCGAACGCAAAACCGTTATTCAACTTGAAGCCGCGTTATGTGTCTTGACATTATTGACACGTAGTGGCACGAAAGCGATTGAAGATCTCTCTCAGGAAGAGAGACGCACTTGTTCCTTCTGAGGTCTCGCATAGTCGTTTTCTCTCTCTGTTCTCTCATTTCACTACTTTCGCATGATCCTAACCCATCTTGGTTACTATGTCTATGAAAAATATTCCACATCTAGTTTGAAATTAATTGATGGCCAAAGGTAATGACGAGGCCTCAGGTCGAATATAACACTAGTTGCATTATGAAGAATTATTATATTTTGTTATCATCTTTATTGAATGGGAATTATGTTTTAAAAATCACATCGTCTAAATGCAATCCATTACGATCACGGCACTCATATAAACGACGTCTAAAATTGTCGATGACTGCGCGGCAAGTCAACACTGTAATGCTTGCCATTTCTCTTCGGATATTTTCTTTCAGGACATCAACTGATCGCGGAGTGGTGTCGTACACTTTACTCTTGAGGTAGCCCCATAAAAAGAAGTCCATTGGGGTCAAATCTGGACTACGTGGTGGCCAGGAAATGTCTCCTCTTCGAGAAATTACTTTGCTGGGAAAAAGTTGACAGACGACGGGCATAGAAGTGTTGGAGGTGTGGGCAGTTGCTCCGTCCTGTTGAAACCAGGTCTGCGTATTATAGCCTGGAAGATTCTGCAACGCTGGTGTCAAAAACTCTTCTATCATTGCTACATACCGCTCCGAAGTAACAGTTAATGCGCGACCTCTGTCGACCTCAAAAAAATAAGGGCCTACGATGCCATGCGCTGACATAGCAGCCCAAACTGTAACTTTAGGGCTGTGTAAGGGCTTCTGATGCTTACGCCTTGGATTTTCGGGGCTCCAATAACGGTAATTTTGTTTATTTACATGCCCGTTTAAATGGAAGTGAGCCTCGTCCGAGAACAACACATTGTTGAGCGCAGAAAATCGATTCAACATTTCATTCGCAAAGTTTAGTCTCTGAATAGCGTCATTATCTTTTAATTCCTGCACTAACTGAATTTTGTAAGCGTGCAGACGTAAATCTTTCCTTAAAATCCGCTGTAAAGATGTTCTGGGTACGTTTAGTGCACTGGAACGCTTACGAGTAGACTGGGTAGGATTTTGACGAACAGACTGTGCCACAATGTTGATGTTTTCTTCAATACGAGTTGTCCTTGGTCGACCCCACCGCTGTTTATCTAACGTCGAACCAGTCTCTTCGAACTTAGCAACCCAGTTCTTAATCGTTTGAGCTGTTGGACACTTTGTAAAATTGTGTAAATTGTGGTATTCTCGATATTTACGCCGCGCAATGGTTGCCGAATCATTATTTCAATAAAACGCGCGCACACAAAAAGCACGATCCGCTCCAGTGAAACACTCCATGGCGACTGAATTGCCGTATCTGGGGCTCGGAAAACCCACACGAGGTCTTAGAGAAGCCAATGCATCCCTTGCGAGTGACTGTTTGGTGTGGATTGTGGAGCGGAGGCATCATTGGCCCATATTTCTTTGAAGACGGGGACGGCGCAACCGTTTCTGTCAATGGAAACACCTATCGCACCATGATAACTGATTTTTTTGTTCCTGCTCTTGATGGTATTGATGTGGAGAATGTTTGGTTTCAGCAGGATGGTGCAACTTGTCACACATCGCATGCCACAATCAACTTATTGCGCGAAACCTTCGATGGCCGTTTAATCAGTCGAAATGGTGATGTCAATTGGCCGCCAAGAAGCTGCGATTTGACACCATTGGACTATTTCCTGTGGGGCGCTGTTAAAGACAAGTGTTATGTCGACCATCCAGAGACAATTGACCATTTGAAGGCCAACATTCGTGATGCCATTGACGAGATACGGCCCCAAACACTCGAAAAAGTGCTCGAAAATTGGTCCGATCGAATGGGCTACTGTGAGGCCAGCCGCGGCAGCCATTTGAATGAAGTAATATTTCATTTCTGAGCGGAACAATTGTACTTCAAAACAAAAAAATAAATTTGGCAATATCTCAAACCGTTTTTGTTTTATTTTATTTTTAAATCGAAACTTTTAAATGGCCCACCCAATATAAACGGCTGTCAAAACGTAATTAAATGACATTAAATTCTTCGAAAATTTCTCGAAATATATAAATAAAGGAGACTTACTCTTGGTTTTTCTGGGCTGCTGTCCCCCAGCAGCATTGGCAGCAGCGTCTCCCTGTGCAGGAGTAGGTTTACTATCTTGAGAATTCTCGTTGGAAGCGGCACCTCTACTACCCGACTCTTCTTTCACGTCCGCACCCTCTTCTTTCTTGATAGTCGCGTTTGCCGCTGTGGAACTGCCGCTTTCAGAGTCGTCCGGTTCCGTTTTGATCTCAGTTTTGATCTCAGACTTCATTTCCGTTTCGCTCTTCATGTTTTTGCAGCCACTTCCGCCTCCGTCGCCGCCTTGACTGTCGTTCATGTCGGGTTCTTCTTGCTTTATGTCAACCTCCATTTTCACCTGAAAGATTCGGTAAGCGATGAGCAACGTCAAGGGGACAAATAATTTTTTGGGTGATACTAAGATAAGTATCTTTTTCGCTCTATAAATGCACCGTTTATTTCAGCGACGACGTGTGGGAGTACATTTTCATAAAAAGAATAGGGCGGAAATGGGTGACAGATATAGGGAAATCAGTAGACATTGAACTAAATCATACTGAGAAAAATTAAAAACAGCCAAACGTGAGGGTATCGCTCTAGAAATCCATGATGCTAACAACAAACCCAAGTGTATGTTGCAAGTTATTAACAAAAAAATTTCATTAGGGAGTAGCTGAACATTCAATAAAGCCAGGCACTAATAATTCCTGGCCGTATTTGACATCTCAGCGGGTGCAGTAAAATAAAGATAAGACTTGGAATTAATAAAGTTAGTGCCTGCAACTATCTCAGGATGCTTAAAATCGTGGTAAAAAACCTTACTTTTTGTATTAGTATTTGCAGATAAAATAAATTATATATACCCTATTTCACGAGGATCAATCACGGTAGAATGACAGGCGATTATCTAGTATTATCTCAAAATTCCCCATATCGGCAACAGGACACATAGTTCTGACGGATCCGTCAACGCCAGGTAGATCAGAACCGTATTATGTCTTGGTTTTTTGTACGGTACAGATTCATGTTGTACTTGCTAACAGCTCTTTTGTTTAGAAAAGATAATTTGCATACAAAGAACAAAACGCCACAAACAAGTTTTACTAGATTTATAACCGATTCATTCTGGCCAACGTATCAAACTTCACACAAAAATGTCAGTTCCGTCTTGTCGATATATCTACAGTATTGGATGCTATTCGCAGTATCAAGTCCAATTCTAGTGGTATTGATGGCATTACCATTGAGATGATTAAATTGTGTCTACCTGCTGTAGGAATATACATTTTGCATTTAATAAATTGTTGTTTAGAGCGCGGTGTTTTTCCAAGTGCTTGGAGGGAAGCATTAGTGCAACTTCTTCCAAAGATTCCCAATCCCCAGGTTCCTGGTGATCTCCGACCTATTAGTTTGCTGTCAGCTCTATCAAAAATTCTAGAAAAAATAGTTTATATGCGGTTGAATATTTGAGTATTTACTCGAACGCAGCATTTTGCCATTAAATCAATCAGGCTTTAGAAAGGGTCACAGTACCACTACTGCTTTGGCACGGGTTTGTGACGATGTACTAACAGCGGCGGATAGGCAAGAAGCAACTGCATTAGTCTTATTGGATTTCAGCAAGGCTTTTGACACCCTGAATCATAAGCTGTTAGTTTCTAAATGTAAATACATTGGGTGTGACGACTTAATTCTGGAATGGATAGATTGCTATTTAAATGAACGATATCAATATGTCGTCATACAAAATAAACTTTCAGACAAAAGGCCGATTTGTTCCGGCGTGCCTCAGGGATCCATATTAGGTCCACTTTTATTCCTTATATACACCTTTGACATTTCTAACACCCTTCAACATTGTTCTAGTCAATCATATGCTGATGATATGCAGGTTTTTCATAATTTCTGTCCGAACAACTACCATTTAGCTAACAACCTTATCAATCAAGATCTGCAATACTTATGCACATATGCTGCAATATAATTTACGTCTAAACGCATCGAAATCGGCAGCTATACGTTTTTGCTCCAAGAAAAAACGTACTTTCCTCAAATCAAAGTTAAATTTATCACTAAATAATAGTATCCTAATATTTTCCCATTCTGCAAAAAATTTAGGTTTGTACTTGGATGAAGATTTCAGATTTCAGGAGCATGTTGGCTATGTATGTAAGTCTAGTTATTTTAGACTCGAGCTTCTATATGCAAGTAAAACTGTTTTAAATAGAAAAATTAAGAAAATGATATGCGAGTCACTCATACTCGGTAAAATCGCTTACTGCAACATATTATCCCTGTCTGGATGAAATCACAAAATACAGACTGCAAAAAATTCAAAACTCATGTAGTCGTTACATAAACAATTTAAGAAGGTACGATCATGTTTCTCACTCAATATCTTCAATGAATTGGTTGAAAATCTCTGCTCTTTTCAAATACTACTTTGTTACATTTGTCGTAAAAATATTAAAAACTTCTGTTCCGGTTTATCTTATGCAAAAGCTTGTTCGTAGGAATTTAATTCACAATTTGAATACGCGCAACATTAATCTCCTGACAATGCCACAACATAGGACAGCCATTTTTCAACGGTCTTTTACGTATAATGCGGTGAAATTGATCAACTCTTTCGAACAATGTTTCATCAGCAACTTTTGTAAAAAAAAATATAAGAACTACTTATTGAGCTCTTAGGTTATTGTCTTCTCTTTGAATCGTACGTATTATGTTTTTTGTTCTAATCGTACGCATTATGTCATATTTATTAATTCTTCTTTTACTATTATTCTTCTTTTTCCTTTTCTTTTTCAGTTTTTTATTTTATTTTTAAGGTAGTAATCAGCATTGACATGACATTTATGGTTAAGTATAAATGGCCATTGGCCAGACTTTCATTTGCCGTTTTTTCGCTATTATTTTGTACCGTACGCTGATTGTAAGTTTAATTTGTGAAAATTGTTAAAATTCAAACCAAAAATACTGAAATTTACCTACAAGTTGCAAAACACGAAGAAGTACAAAAACGATAGCAAAACTTTATAATTAATAAGATTACAGGAATTGAATCAGTCTTGGTGCACTTTTAAACACGATAAAAGTTTATTTTATCCCAATATTTTTATCACCACCCAGTAACTAATTCTGAAACAATTTTAGGATCAGTGTCTCTACTTGTCATTATTAGTGTAAGGTCGGTATTAATAGTAGATGGCAGTATTTCAGTAACTCCCTATCATCACCGAAGATTGACGGAAAGTTGATGATTTTGTTGTAGCTTCTAAATTTAATTAACAATCAAGTGTCAGGAGATACAATGTTCAGTTAGATCAGAACTTTGTTATCTGTATTCTCAAAATTAAAAGTCCTGCAGAATAAAGCTATGAGAATATCGAATAAAAATAAGTACACCAAAATAATATCTATGTTACAAGAATTCCAGTGGTTGAATATACAAAATTTCATATCATATTTGGTTATTTTTATAATTAAAATAAAAAATCATCTTTTGCCAGAACATTTAGAAGACTACATAGAAGTGAATAATCATTACCACAATTATTATACAAGAGGAAATATAGATTTTCATTTACAAAATTAAACTAGCAAAACAATATTTCAGAAAGGATTACTTGAATTGAATAAGCTAAATAATAATATAAAGTATCTTGCAGTTTAAAGATGTTTAAAAGAAAATTAAATGAATATATTATGTGCAGTGAAAATTCTTAGGGATGAAATTTTTTAAAAGAATGTAATTGTAGCAATCATGCTGAATAAATCTTAAACAAACAAATTCCCTTTAGTATGTGGCTATTCAACAATGAAATAAATATATAATTATTTTTTTCTGTATCTATCACATACCTGTTGTTCCAGCTTGCCCCTACCCTGCCCCGCCTGCGGCGGCGACGCATTGGAATCCTCATCATCCGCGGAGGCGGCCATCACGGCTGCCATTTGCGCGGAGAACGATGACGATGACTGCCTGCTCGCGTTCTGCGATGCCCTTTCCGCGCTGCTCATCCCTTTGCCCATGCTGGCCGCGTTGTTAGAGCAGACGGCGTCTCTGCTCGCGCTACTGTTGGTACTGCCTCCGCCCGGTGCCGGCGATGATTGCACGGGCGTCGCGGGGGCGGGCGAAGCGCCGCGCGATGAACTGACCGATTTGGGGGCGGTCGGGATGGCGCCTACCGAGGATGGCGTCGTGACGCTGTCGCTGCCGCCGCTTGCCGAGGAGGTTGGAGGTAGGCGAGCGGTTCCGTTCTGAGTCACCTGCAAGAGAGGGTTTCATTTTAATAATAAATGGGCTTTATTTCGTACAATATGTAAAGTACAAAAAAGGCGAAGTGTCGCTAGGACTAGCGTTTTTCAACTTAAGCTTTGAACGAAAAAAATATATATGTATATATATATATATATATATATATATATATATATATATGTATATACAGTGAAAGCTCTCCTTGCGGACAGCTCCTATAAGCGGACATCTCTTTTAACCGGACAAAGTTCCTGGAACCGAATTTCAGCCATCAATTTTCAATGTTAAATGCATTCCGATAAACGGACGCGGACACTAGATTTTCCTGTATGTGATCAAAAAATCTCCCATAAGCGGACGCGAAACTCTAATACCGGACGATTTTTTAGTTCCGCTTATTGCAATGCACATATCTACATACATAAAATTCGGTAATTCCCCGATTTATATTAGGTGATTCCCCATTTACGCATTTCGTTGGGTAGCCTGTATGTAATCTTGTGGCTTGTCTTCAGTTCAGGCAAATTCGTAGTTGATTGAGTTACGTATTTTATTATTGTAACTGTAAAATGGCACCAAAAAAAAGGATGCTCTCGTTAAAGGAAAAGATGGAAGTTGTTAACGTATTAGACAGAGAAAGTGTTTCAGTTCGTCATTTGGCAAAGAGGTTTAATATTGGGAAAACGCAAGCAGCTGAAATTGCCAAAAATAAGGAAGATATCAGGAGTAAATGGCAATCAGGAACTAATATAAATCAAAAGAAGGATTTTTTAAAAAAGGAAGGTTTTGCTATAGACAAAACATGTTTTGAGTGGTTTGTGAAAGCTAGAAGTCAGAACATTCCAATCTCAGGGCCGTTAGTGAAAATGAAAGCTAAAGAAATCGCCACTACTTTGGGCTATAATAATTTCAGTGCGTCCGACGGGTGGCTGCAAAAGTGGTGCAAGAGACATAGTGTGAGTTTCAAATGCATATCTGGCGAAGCTGCTGCAGTAGATCAAGTTGATGTGTCACAATTTTTGGAGAAACTTCCGTCCATGTTGCTTGGCTACAAACCAGAAGATGTGTACAACGCAGATGAGAGTGGACTTTTTTTTCGCGCATTGCCCGACAAAACTCTGTCCTTTAAAGGAGAAACATGTGTGGGTGGAAAGTTGTCTAAAGATAGACTAACCATTTTATTCTGTGCAAATATGGCCGGTGAAAAATGGGATTTGATTGTGATCGGGAAAGCGGCTCGTCCCCGTGCTTTAAAAAACGTTGCTATTAAGGATCTACCAGCGACTTGGAAATCCAACAAAAAGGCATGGATGACCCGAGAAATCATGTCTGAGTGGTTAGTCGAATTCGACCGGAAAATGAGAATCCAAAAAAGGCAAGTTCTTTTATTTTTAGACAATGCATGCTCTCATCCTCGTGACATGAAAATGAAAAATGTGAAAATTATATTTTTACCGCCAAATACAACTTCTGTTTGTCAGCCCATGGATCAAGGTGTCATACGGAACTTTAAATTTTATTATCGGCACTTGATTTTAAAACATATTTTAACAAAAATTGACGACGTCAAAGCTTATCTGAGCTTACAAAGTCTATCAATGTGTTAGAAGCTTTGTATTTTATAAAAACAGCATGGAATAAAGTAAATTCCTCTACAATTAAAAACTGTTTTGGCAAAGCTGGATTCAGAAAAAGTGAATGTAGCTCAGAATTTGTTGAGCAAAAGTATTGCGATGCTGAAGACGATTTGCCCTTAGCGACACTTGCTCAGTTACTGCGACATGCCAAACATTTAGGAGTAGCAGATCCCCAGAAAGTAGATGATTTCCTGGCCATAGACAATAACATAACAACAGAAGAAAATGCCATTGGCAACTTTTCGAATTTGGATGTAGAAAGCCCAGGCCAACTTGAATATGGTAGTCCAAACGACTCAGAAGAAGAAGTGGAACTGGTGGACTCACTAAGCGGTTCAAAATCGATAAATTCATATGGGGAAGCTCTAAATCATATTTCTATATTGAAAAAAATTGCTAAAGATGATTTCACTGCATTTCAACATTTGAAAAATTTAGAAAGTTATTACGAAAATTGTCTCCTTCAGCAAAAGATGGTGAAATTTCGTCAGACAAACATTTTAAACTTTTTTCAACAAGCTAAAGAATAATGTTTTTTTTAAATTCTCGTACCATGTATTGAAGCATTTATGTTTTTGTATGCGTATATGTACATATATTATATAGATATATAGCATAAATACATACTTTAAAAATGTTTCTGTTTCATTTTTCTCACGATTATAATACCTCATTTCCTCATGATTATATACCCCGTTATTTATACTCTATACTTACATACTCTCTTTTAAACGGACACCTCCCATAAGCGGACAAAAGTTACGGAACCGTGAGTGTCCGCTTATGGGAGCTTTCACTGTATATATATATATATATATATATATATATATAATACTAAATGTATGCATATTACTCAATAATAACTAACAAATTAACAACAAAAAATATAATCAATTAAAGGAATAGTCCATATTTTTAGAATTATGTGTTCATCATCAGACCTCGGCGTGCAGTTCTAGATTGAGTCTGTTTTTAAAATTAGTGTGTACATATTTTTGGAAGATCACAGGCAGATCATAATACAGTGCTTTTCTTTAATGTCCCCTCCCCTTTGATTGTTTGAACGGATGAATTCAAAAAATTAAAACTTGAGGCAATGAAATTGATGCCTGGATACCATATTTTAGAGTAAAATTGACAGATGGCCGCTGGGCACCATCTTGGAAAAAAATTAAATGAAAACGGGGGTCTTGTGGCATATAATTTTGAAGTTCCTGACGAGTACTTTATAACCCTAGAATATAAAATCAATGCCTTTACCTACTACAAAATGGTGGTACATTTAATAATTACCTGAATACATTCACATTTAACTTGATAATACGAATAAATACGTTGAGTTCGGTTTAGAAGATGCTGGAAATGGTTGCCTTGAACTTCTTGACACAATAACAGCCGGTCCGTAATTTCGCGTCGAACATTTTCAAACATAGTAACATCGATATTTCTACAAATATTTGTTATTCTCAGCCGTATATCCAATACTAAAGCAGGTTCAGTTTCATACACCTTTTGCTTCAAATAGCCCCATAAAAAAGTCTAAAGGTGTCAAATCTGGCGAGCGAGCTGGCCATTCCACAGGACCTCGACAGCCAATCCAACGACCGGGGAAATTGTCATCTAAATAATTCCTAACTTGTCTGTAGTAGTGTGTATCAGTATCGAATTCATTAGGATTCGCTTCGTCGATTCCCCGGTTAAAGTTTGTTCGATGAATAGAGGCCCCACAATATGATTTCTCAATATCCCAGCCCAAACGTTAGTTTTTTGTGGATATCGAGTATGAGTTTCCCGGAAGACGTGAGGATTGGTGTCACTCCAATAACGACAATTTTGTCTACGCACATTACTGTTGAGAAAAAATTTACATTCATCACTAAAACAAAGATTTTGGATATAGGTAGGATGCCATACAATGGTTTCCGTCATTCTTTTTCAAAAGTCTCCATACAGTAGAAGGACAAACCTCACATACATTCGCGATGGAGGGAGTATACTGTTGGGAGTTTACTATGATTTCACCAATTATTTGAACTTGCTTTTCTTCCGGGATGGTCGGATGACCTGGGGGCTTTTTGTTGTTTACACTACCAGTAGCTGTAAATTTAGATTCAAATTCCCTTAAATATTTTCTACAGTTAGGGCGATTCGGGAAACGATCATTAAAAATCCTCGATTTTTTCTTCCAATTGATGAGGATTGATCATTTTAAAAATAATTCAAACAGTATCTAGGACTAAAACCGAAAACTAAATAAAAATATTTTAACTCTAGAATGATGTTTGTTTTCGTACTGATATTCTTGTCACTGTCAACAAAAAATAACAAAACAAGTTTTTATCGCTGTTGCTGTGGATACGGCAGGGAGTTACAATTATTTGTAGAGATATGCATGTTAGTGGGTTTGTGTTCATGTAATTTTATATGTACCACCATTTTGTAGTAGGTAAAGGTATTGACTTTATATTCTTGGGTTATAAAGTACTCGTCAGGAGCTTCAAAATGATGTGCCACAAGACGCCCGTTTTCATATAATTTTTTTTTGGGAGTAAGACCAGGACAATTGAATCCATTTAGAACACTGCCTACTTCTTGCCTGTTAAAATTACCTTATGAAATAAGCTCTTGCTAATTCTCTGTAACAGAGCTTCTTATTTCCAAAATGGAGAACAAAAGGTCGTCTCGACAATGCTCAAACTCAGAATAACGAAAAAAGCAAAATAAGAGCACTAAAAACTCTCTATTGTAAGAAGATTGACAAAATTGATAATCTGGGTAAGTCGACTGCGTAAATTCCGGTTCCGACATCAATTTAACGCTGACCTACAGGAGTGCCCGAGCAATCCATTCTATACGTCAAATTCGACCTCATGACACTTCAATTCCCAATGAAATAAATAACTATTTTACCAGTATAGTCCAGAAAAGTGACGATGATTGCTCGGAAACTATCGAATTTTATAGCCATAACAAATTAAACCAAGATTTTCATTTTCAGTTCCGTCTTGTCGATATATGTACAGTATTGGATGCTATTCGCAGTATCAAATCCAATTCTAGTGGTATTGATGGCATTACCATTGAGATGATTAAATTGTGTCAACCTGCTGTAGGAATATACATTTTGCACTTAATAAATTGTTCTTTAGAGAGCGGTGCTTGGAAGGAAGCATTAGTGCAACCTCTTCCAAAGATTCCCAATCCCCAGGTTCCTGGTGATCTCCGACCTATTAGCTTGATGTCAGCTCTATCAAAAATTCTAGAAAAAATAGTTTATATGTGGTTGAATGAGTATTTACTCGAACGCAGCATTTTGCCATTAAATCAATCAGGCTTTAGAAAGGGTCACAGTACCACTACCGCTTTGGCACGGTTTTGTGACGATGTACTAACAGCGGCGGATAGGCAAGAAGCAACTGCATTAGTCTTATTGGATTTCAGCAAGGCTTTTGACACCCTGAATCATAAGCTGTTAGTTTCTAAATGTAAATACATTGGGTGTGACGACTTGGTTCTGGAATGGATAGATTGCTATTTAATTGAACGACATCAATATGTCATCATACAAAATAAACTTTCAGACAAAAGGCCGATTTGTTCCGGCGTGCCTCAGGGATCCATATTATAGTAGTAGTAGAAAGATTTATTTAGCACATTTGGCTACATAAACAGAACAATTGTAAACAACTTAGAACTAGTAAATTCAAGCCATATGGTGTATGATGTAAATGCTGGGCAACCTATAATTGTAGATTTAACAAGTGATTTCTCAATTTTACTTTAAATTTTGTCAAAGTTTTCTGGTATTTTATCTCCGAGTATAATTTATTATATTCAATCAACCCTTGATGGAATACAGATTTGTAGCATATGTTATACTTTTTGGTCATTAAATGGAAGTCATCTTTATTTCTGGTATTATGTAAATGATGGTCGACATTTGATGATGTTAAATTAGTTAGACTTGATGGAAATATATTATTTTTTACTTTATAAATGAATATCATTACAAGATATTTGATAAAAATTTTTACATTGAGCCATTTTAATTTGCTAAGCATTTGCCTAATTGGAGTATATTTATCTTTATTTAGTATTATTCTCATGCACTTATTTTGTAAAATTTGCAGTCTTTCAAAAATGGAATTATTTGCTGAATATAGAATAGTCGAACAGTACAAGAAATTTGGAAGAATGATGGTATTATAGATAATTTTTCTGCTATATTAACTCAGACATCCAGAAACTCTCGATAAATATCCCACTTTACTACTAATCTTATTTATAACTTTTTCATAATGAATATCAAAAATTAATCGAGAGTCAACAAAAACTCCCAGGTATTTAAAATTTTCTACGAATTCAATATCTTCACCATCAATATTCAGTTGAACATTTGTACATTGTTTTTTTCCGATTAACAAGGCTTTCGTTTTACTTGCATTTAATTTTAGTCTGTTAGATGCTAACCATTTTGAGACAAGCTTCAAGTCTTCATTTATATAAGAGATACCAGACTGAATATTTTTAGTACTTATATAAATCATAGTGTCATCGGCGAACATTTTAATTTTGCATTTTTTGACTATGGCAGGTAAATCATTTATGTATAAAATAAAAAGAAGTGGTCCCAGGATACTGCCTTGTGGAACACCCAACGTATTTTCAATTTTTGATGAAATAGTGTCATTAACTTTTGTAACTTGCATCCTTTTAGACAAATAATTTCTAAACCAATCTAAAACACTTCCTGTTATACCATATGCCTTCAATTTACCTAACAAAATATCTCTATCAATCGTTTCAAATGCCCTCTTCAAATCCAAAAATACTGCTATGACAACTTCTTCTGAGTCTATGGCTCTTCTCCAATTCTCAGTTACCAACTGGAAAGCCGTTTCTGTGGAATATTTTTTTCGAAAGCCTGCTTGCGCCTCCACTAAAATTTTGTTTTCTTCTATAAACTGCATTAATTGGTCATGCACTATGGACTCTAATAATTTTTCAATGTCTGGTAACACATTTACTGGTCTCATATCGCTGCATCTTTTAGAATTTTTTATTTTGGGAACTGGTGTTATTGTAGAGCATTTCAAATTTTCAGGGAAAGAACTGCTTCTCAGTGAACAATTGATCCAATTTAATACAGGATATCCCAAAATTTCGAAACAGTTTTTCAGCACGTTTTTAGTAGTCATTTCGGCACAGTTGTTATTTGATTTTAAACTGTTTACTTTTTTTCTTAGATAATTCAATGATACGCTGTGAAATTTTGAAAGTGTATGCAACATTTCCCCCTGGAAACTGATTTTCACATAGTCAGGTGCAGCATTGGCAGTACCTACAATATCAACAATACTTTCCACAAAATATTCATTTAGTTTGTTTGCAATCACCAAAGAATTTGTTTCGGTACCGTTTTCGAATTGAACTTGATTTACACAATCATGCGGCTTCGAATTGATCAGTCTTTTTAAAGTCTTCCACATCTTTACATTGTCGCACTTGTTATTATCGATTTGTTTATCGTAGAATTTTCTTTTTTCTTCTCTAATTACATATACACATTTATTATATTATTATTTATATTAGGTCCACTTTTATTCCTTATATACACCTTTGACATTTCTAACACCCTTCAACATTGTTCTAGTCAATCATATGCTGATGATATGCAGGTTTTTCATAATTTCTGTCCGAACAACTACCATTTAGCTAACAACCTTATCAATCAAGATCTGCAATCCTTATGCACATATGCTGCAAAACATAATTTACGTCTAAACGCATCGAAATCGACAGCTATACTTTTTTGCTCCAAGAAAAAACGTACTTTCCTCAAGTCAAAGTTAAATTTATTACTAAATAATAGTATCCTAATATTTTCCCATTCTGCAAAAAATTTAGGTTTGTACTTGGATGAAGATTTCAGATTTCAGGAGCATGTTGGCTATGTGTGTAAGTCTAGTTATTTTAGACTCAGGCTTCTATATGCAAGTAAAACTGTTTTAAATAGAAAAATTAAGAAAATGTTATGCGAGTCACTCATACTCAGTAAAATCGCTTACTGCAACATAGTTTATTATCCCTGTCTGGATGAAATCACAAAATACAGACTGCAAAATATTCAAAACTCATGTAGTCGTTACATAAACAATTTAAGAAGGTACGATCATGTTTCTCACTCAATATCTTCAATGAATTGGTTGAAAATTTCTGATCTTTTCAAATACAACTTTGTTATATTTGTCGTAAAAATATTAAAAACTTCTGTTCCGGTTTATCTTACGCAAAAGCTTGTTCGTAGAAATTTTATTCACAATTTGAATACGCGCAACATTAATCTCCTGACAATGCCACAACATAGGACAGCCATTTTTCAACGGTCTTTTACGTATAATGCGGTGAAATTGATCAACTCTTTCGAACAATGTTTCATCAGCAACTTTTCTAAAACAAAATAGAAGAACTACTTATTGAGCTCTTAGGTTATTGTCCTCTCTTTGAATCGTACGTATTATGTTTTTTGTTCTGATCGTACTCATTATGTGATATTTATTAATTCTTCTTTGACTATTATTCTTCTTTTTCCTTTTCTTTTTCAGTTTTTTTATTTTATTTTTAAGGTAGTAATCAGCATTGCATGACATTTATGGTTAAGTATAAATGGCCATTGGCCAGACTTCGCCATTTGTAAGGATACATAATTATGTATGTGTTACAATAAAGTCCATTGAATTGAATTGAATTGAACTTCATGATTTTCTGGCAGTCATACTCAAATTGAGCATCCCAAATTACCTATTTGAATAAAGTTTCTTTCACTTACAACGACTCGCAGGTTTATCCTGCAAAATGGTATATTGTCCAGATTTTTTCAAAAACCCTTGCGTACGAGTTCTCTACAGAATCTAAATTCCAAAAGTACGTATGGCACTTCAGGATTTTCAACAGCTCATATTCAAATTTAGCGTCCCAAATTACCTAAACAAACAAAATTTCATTGGCTTGTAACAACAAGAGACGAAAATTGAAATTCGTCAGGAGCGAAGCGCATAGTGGGGGGAACGGAATCGATTACAGCAACCGAACAAAAACCTTTCTGGATATGGAAAAGAAGGAAACCTAGTAAGAAGTATCGACTTACCTGCTGGTTAGGTTGCGGAAGACCCTGTTGTTGTTGCTGCTGCTGTTGAGTCTGTTGCTGTTGACCAAAACCTGACGGTGAAGGTGAGATCCTGCTTGCTTTCAACAGATCGTTGAACTGTTGATTCGCCTGCTGTTGAGAATTCTGGCCGGCCGGAGAAACCTGCGGTAAACTCACCGGACCGTTTGTCGTAGTTGGGAATTGACTGTTTGATGAGGTGGTTGTGCTGCCTGAAAATTCACAAGAAAATACACATTTAATGCAATAGTTTTCAAATATGGGGTTGTCCAAAACGGACGCAGGAAAGTAAACGCATATTAAAACAAGAAAGATTGATATTCAAATCAAGTTGGGTACTTTATTTTGAAGGTTCATTTATACCATTTATGTATGAAAAATAATATCGCTCAAATGTTCACCACGACTGGATTTACAGACGTCCACGCGATGGTCGAAATTTTCAATGACATTTTGCAACATGGTCGGTTCTATGGCATTTATCTCGGAAATGATGTTGTTTTTGAGTTCTTGGAGGGTGGCTGGTTTGTTGACGTAGACTTTGCTTTTCAAATATCCCCATGAAAAGAAGTCCAAGGAAGTCAAATCGCACGATCTTGGTGGCCATGTCACATTTCCTCTGCGCGAAATCACGCCATCACCGAAGGACTGCAATGGATGGATATTGACGTTGGTTGTGTGGCATGTTGCACCGTCTTGTTGGAAATAAACATCGTCCATATCCATTCCTTCATGTTGCAGCAAAAAATAGTCCTCTATCATCACGTGAGATCGCTCAGAATTGACGGTAACGGCGTCCCCGGCCGCATTTTCGAAAAAGTAAGGTCCGATGATACCTTTTGACCACAATGCACACCACACAGTCACTTTTTGAGGATGCATCGGCTGCTCTTGATACTCACGGGGATTTTCGTTCGCCCAGATGCGGCAGTTTTGCTTGTTTACCGTCCCATTCAAAGTGAAATGCACTTCGTCGCTGAACATGATTTTTGATGAAAAATTGGCATCAATTTGGCGGTGCTCAAGGAGCCAATCTGAGAGCGTTCGGCGCGAAAAATGGTCGGCCCGACGCAGCTCTTGCGTCAATTGGATCTTGTAGGCGTGTACATTCAAATCCTTGTGGAGAATGCGGAGCAAACTGGTTCTCGAAATGCCCAATTCTTGGGATCGACGCGTTGTTGATTGTTTCGGATCGTCTCTCACACTCTCCTTCACAAAAGCAATATTTTCCGGTGTGCGAACGCTCCTTGGCCGGCCAGAGCCTGGCAGATTTGCCACAGAACCTGTTGCCTCGAATTTACGCACCAGACGACCGATGGTTGTTTCGTTTGGGCGGTTGTTGCGACCGAAATGTTCACGAAGCGCGCGAAACGTGTTTTTTATTTTTGCACCATTTTTGTAGTGCTCTTGAATAACTTTAATGCGGTCTTCAATCGAATACGACTCCATAGCGATCAATGGTAAACATTCAACTAACAAAATGACATGTCGGTGACAGAAAACAAAGATGGCGTCTATGTCAAATTGACGTTTATTTTCCTGCTTCCCTATTGGACAACCCGTTATATGCTCACAAACAGGATATGCAAATCTGTACCCCAGAGCCAGACTAGGTTATGTCCATTTTTGTCAAAAATGAGTTTAACATGTTAAGCTTATAATATTGTGAGTTTTCATTTGCTACATGCAGCGTCCATCTCTCAGTAAAAATAAGGAAGTTCCGACTTTTTAACTCATGTCTAGACAAATACAATACAATGCAAGAAAAATATTTGAAATACAATTATCTCAGAGTTACTTGTTTGGACTTTGCCTAGTCTGGCTCTGAGGTACAGAAATGTTTTCACATGATCGCGGCAGCACAACGGCGGAATGGTGGTTCGTTATACAGGGTTTACTTACCTTGAGAAAGGGGGTTACCAAACGGCGACAATCCAGGATTCGAGGTAGTGGGACTGGGACCCGGCAACCCGACAACGTTCTGCTGCTGTTGCACTTGTTGCTGCTGTTGAACGGGAAACAGCAACCGGTTGGCGGCTTGTTGTTGGTTGAGCGCGCCTAGGGGAGGCATATTGCCGGCACCAAGTGACGGAGAACCGCTCCTCAGTCCTACTTGACCTCCAGGTGGCTGCTGTTGACAAGGCAGGATGTTGCCTGGGACTCCTGTCGGACGTGCGACCAGACCTGCTGTTTTGAAAACCACAATTTAGAGAAATATCTTGCTTGTTTACTTTATTGGAGAGTAGAAGTACAAGAGTTTTTTTTAACCAAAGCAGCCGCTTAGGCTTACCGGGACAACGCGGCTGTTACCAGACACTTTGAAAATCCAATTTTTTAATTCCCTAAGGTTAGGACTAAGAAGACTGTTCAGTCAGATTGTTCCACAATTTCGACACTCTAAGCACAAATGAGCGATCATACGAAGATTGACACGGGTAAGATGGGAGGCCGAAGTCAGGCGCAGGCATGGTTGACAGCGGTGGAGAGCTAAATCGCCGAAGGCCGGTGGGTGCGAGAGTGTCTCGAGACTGTTCATTAGAGAGGAGTCATCGATCAGTCGGACAGCATCGAGCATGTACGTAGTCATGCCATAAGTTCTGTCCCTCGTTTTCAAACAAGTGTAGACCTGTTAATACTTGTCCGATTGTTTACATTGTGGTGTCAGTTGATTAAGCGCTTTTCGGGTAATTACATATACCTCAGTTTGTATTGATCTCTCGAAGCATAACGATGGAGTGGGGCAAGGCAGAGAACCGTATTGCAGTGATAGCTTTACATAAGTGTAATCACAGTGCTAGTCAGATTTTTGAACTCTTACGCGGCCTTCAAATATCGCGTAAATTTGTGTCTAGGACCATTCAGCGGTACAATGAGACGTCCTCTGTTGATGACAGGCCAAGAAGCGGAAGACCTCGTCAAGTAAGGACTCCAGCAGCCATCAAAGCCGTAAAAGCCAGGATTCAAAGGAATCCACTCCGGAAGCAGAAGATCCTATCCAGGGAAATGAAGATTCCTGTCCGGACGATGTCGCGCATCATTAAACAAGACCTAGGGCTAGGGGCTTACCGGAGACGTACGGGCCAGCGACTTACGGCCACCTTGCGACACATCAGGGCGACAAGATCCAAGAAGCTCTTGGAGAGGTACGCAGCTGGGGGATTCCGAAAGATTTTGTTCACGGATGAGAAAATCTTCACCATAGAAGAAAAATTCAACCGATTAAATGACAAAGTGTATGCAAGGAGTTCACAGGAAGCTTCGGAGATCATTCCGAGAGTTGAGAGAGGCCACCACCCTGCGTCAGTCATGGTTTGGTGGGGGGTGTCCTACGAAGGGGTCACTCAGCTCCATTTCTGTAAACAGGGCGTGAAAACAAAAGCGGCAAACTATCAGAGCGACATACTGGATCCTATCGTCAAGCCTTTAAGTGGTACATTGTTTGCCAACCAACACTGGGTCTACCAGCAGGATTCCGCCCCCGCTCACAAGGCTAAGAGTACGCAGCGCTGGCTGGAAAGCAATGTGCCAGAGTTCATTGCTGCGGAAGATTGGCCCTCAGGGAGTCCGGACCTCAATCCTTTAGACTACAAGTTGCGGGACCTGCTAGAGCAGTTGGCCTGCTCCAAAGCCCACCGTAATATCGAGTCCCTGAAAGCGGATTTGATCCGATCAGCGGCAGCTATTCCTTTGGAAGCTGTGCGTGCAGTGATAGATGAGTGGCCCGCGAGATTGAAGCAGTGTGTGAAGGCCAAGGGGGGACATTTTGAATAAAACTGTTTGATTATGAATTCTAAAAATGTTGTCGAATAAATAATATCTTTCATATAAATATATCTTATCTTGTTTCATTTTTATCATGAGATTATCATGGGACAGAACTTATGGCACGACTACGTACACTATAGTCGGGGCGGCAGCATCCCAAGCATGTGAGCAGTGCTCGAGCCTAGGTCTTCCCTGGCATTGTGCAAAGGAAGGAGGTAAACACATATTATTCTCAAAATGGCTTCCTCGGTTGTTTTTACAGGTGATCATTTTTTAACTAAAATTTTCGGTAATGTATCGGCTCAAGTGCAGCTTGCCATCAGAAAAACGTGTCTGTAAGAATTCTAAACATTCCCTTCGCTGTACACCACGTTGCTTTGTCTTTTTAAAAGACTATATTTGCGGTAGTGCTTGCCCGGTTACACCATCGCAATTTTGAAAATATCGACAGTGAACTTTTCTTTGTACGGATGCGTTCCTCCATCGTAAAACAATTGATAATTGAATTCTCCGGTACCATGCCCAACATAAAATGTCTAAACCAAGTCGTATTAAAATGGCGGGAAATTTGAAACCTATTGGGACGCCCTTTACTTTTTAAGGCAGCGTTTTAAAGACACGCGGTGAACAAAAATACTTCAAAACTTGACCGTCGTTTGGTATACCAGTACTTCATCTTTAGAACAAAAGTGTTACCTTGCAAATTGGGTCGTATCGGTTGAGCGTGTTGCTGCTGCAACTGTTGTTGCTGTTCTTTCCTCTTTTGCCTCTTCTCCTCAAGCTCTTTCTGAATCTTGTAGATCTTCTCGGCCAGCAAATGGTAGTATTCAGATCTTGAGTTTGCCATTTCATACATGTCACCCTGAAAAAACGTCAAATATGAAGAGAAGCACAAACTATTTTAAAGTCTTGATCTGTATGCCATCACATCTCATGAACTTAGAACACTGGTAGGATTATCTTACCAATTGTGATCAATAAATCAACTACTCTACCTAACAGCATTCCATAAAACTTTGACAAGTAATGATGTCGTTACCTCGACTTTTCTAGCGTAAGCGACCAAATTGTGCATTCGTTTATCGAGTAATGCTTGTGGATCTGGCGTTGGAAATATCGCTTGCACCAGCTTGTGCACCAAATGGTTGCGGAGATCAGGAGTTACCGATTGGTGCCACTCCTTGGTGCCTGTTACAGGAGATGCCGTCACCTAGAAGAAAAAACAAACATTGTTGAACACACATCGTGATAGCTTGACGGAAGTCTCCGTTTTCAAATAATTTATTTTCTGACAACTATGTTTTAGACTGATTCTGACCTGCCCAGGTTGTAATCCTCCCGGCAGCTGTCCGACAAGTCCTTGATTGGCCGACTCCAGACTGGCCAATCCGAACATGACGCTGTTGACACTTTGTTGCAAACTGGCCGCCGTCTGGTTGACGCCCTGAGCCTGGGCGGCAGCTGCTGCGGCAGCAGCCGCTGCTGCTGGATCGCCGCCGCCTCCGGCTAGTGGAACGCTGATATTAGGGGCCGGTTGACCTAATAGAAAAACAATATTTAGTACATTACAAAAAAATGTGAGAAACAAAGTCCCGCCAAAAGCCTGTACTCTTGGTTTGCTGAAACAGCGGACCCAAAATCCCCAACTAATTTTTACCCTAGCCTGAACATTTTTCAACACTATGATAATGTTTTTACCTGGCGGTGCTAGCACCCTGACGCCTGTCATAGCGCCTGCACTCGCCATAGCTGCCACGGGCCCCCCTGCCGTATTCAGGGGCAAACGTAGCCCGGCTCGTACGGCGGCCGCGTTAGGCAGCAGGCTGCCTCCGGGACCGCCTCCGCCTGCTGCACCTGCCGCCCCCGGTGGTGCGCACTGGAGGCCGAGCGAATCATACGCGCGCAGCATATCCGTCGTCGTGATGTTGCCTCCGCCTGGTGTGGCTTGCTTCGCTTGTGGCTGGTTGGCTGCCGCTGAAACACCAAAATTGAGTTGAGTCACTCCACCACGCGATAAGTAGGTTTTGTCAGAACCCGTAATGCACTATTTGGGCTTAAAATGAAAAAAGTTTCCTCAGATTGCAGCAATGAGCATATCTGTACACGGGAGCCTCGTCTATTTGTAGCTCTAATGTAAAACTGCTTGTCAACGGAATCAAATAACATTATTGCATGCAAGCATGATGCCTCATCGGATCGATAAGTAACCCGGTGCCTCGCCGCATATGCGACGGATAGACTGCGGAATATTTTTCTAAGTTTTAAGGAGAAATGTACAGCGAAATATTTGATGTGCAACATACAGTATTAGACAAAAGTATATAGACAAATTAATAGTGTGCTGTATTTCTTTTTTAACTTGTTTTATTAATACACCAACCTGTATACATAATTCGTTATAGCATAATACTCACTTATACATAAATAAATTCATTAGACTCCCTTCAATAAAAAATTAATTGAAAAAACGGGAACTATGAAGGAAAAAAATATATAGACAAAGCAAAACAATTATAGAAAACAGAAGCAAAGATCATTGAATTATACAAAACCAACCATGTTTGTGTTAATATTTTGTAGCATAACCATTATTATCAATCACCGCCTGGCATCTTCTCGGCATAGATTGTAGAAGTTTCTTGATATAAGATTCATCAATCTGTCTCCACTTTTGCTCTAAAGCGGCAAAAAGTTCATCCTTGTTTGAATAATTTTTATCTCGTATTTGGTTATCTAAGTATTTCAATAAATTTTCAATGGGGTTTATATCGGGAGACTGTGAAGGCCATTTGAGAACTGGTATTTTTTCATCCAGAAAGAATTTCTTTGCGAGATTTGAAGTGTGCTTCGGGTCATTATCTTGTTAGAAGATTGATCTTAAGGGCATATTGTCTTCCATATAGGGAAACATGACATGCTTTAGTATGTCTGTGAATACAAACTTATCCATAATGCCATCTATTCTATGTAAAGGTCCCATCCCAAACCCCGAAAAGCACCCCCAAACCATAACAGACCCGCCTCCATGTTTGACAGTGGGTAAAGTGTACTACTCAATCTTTGTCCACCAGGACGTCTAACGTAATGAGCACCATCTGATCCAAACATATTGAACTTGGATTCGTCACTGAAACATACCCTCTTCCAGTCACAGATGCTCCAATCAAGATGCAACCCTGCAAATTGTAATCGGTCCTTACGGTTTTTCCTCGAGATTAGCGGCTTCTTACTCGGGCTACGTGCAGATAACTTCAAATCATTTAATCTTCTACTTATAATTTTCGTAGAAACACTGACAATTTATTTTGTCTCGATTTCGGCTTATTTGTCTTGGGGTTTTAAACGGATCTTTGGACGAAATTACTTTTATTAATCTAACTGATCTAGCATTTAGTTTTCTAGGCCGACCACTTCTCTTGAAATATTGATATTTGTCTATAAACTTTTGTCCATTACTGAATGTCTAGGTCGTGCGTAGAATTGCCGGGGTTTTGAGTGTATTAATATATTAACATCAAAAAATCGCGACACACCTTCCCCACCCCTCTACAACCCCTCAACACACAACTTTTTACCCCTAAATTTTTTCCAAAAATAATTCAAAAAACGAAGTTTGTGCGGATTTATTTTTTTTCGTTTTTGGTATTTTTCTCCGCCGCCACTAGACCGATTTTCCAAAACTACAAAGCTTTTTCGTCCTTGGTATAGTAGCAAGGTTAAGTGCACAATTCATCCAAATCCAAGCAGTAGTTTCCAAGTTATGGGCGGTCCAGCCTGAAAGACCGACGGAAATGAGTGACATGATTTATCGTGATGTACATGTCCTATCCAAAAAAACATGATCTCACATTTTCGAAATTTTTCGCGATTACAATAAATTCCCGCCAGCAAGCGTGGGAAGTAAATGGGAAATGTTTTTGCTAGGAAAAAATGAAAGTTTGTATATATGACTAAATGTACGACATATTCTTAATACTGAAACTAAAAGTCTATTTTGCTGAAAATGTCATAATCTTCATCTCAATCATCTTCCTCGTCGGATGAAGTTCGCAGGTCCATGCATCAAACTGTATCCTTCTTGAAGAATTTGGAGCATTCAAAAAAATTTTCAAGTTTTCCTGGACAACTGCTTTCTTCTATACATTTTCGATATTATTCATATCTTTGGGAGTTACTTTGAGTATATAACATGTTTGTGATCTAGAGCCTCCTCGACGAAAATTTGTTTGTATTGTAAATGACCTGTGATTCCATCACTTCCTCATTGGAACAACAATTTTAAATTCTTCAGAACATCACATGACCATGAAAGAAGAGCTTGGCTTTTGCAATTCTAGCAGCCGTTTACAACTGTTACAATTTTCCTTCTTTTCGAGGATAGCAGCGTAATTTTCTATTTCTAGAAGATAGGAGAGATAGATATCGGCAAATTGTTCCTTTGCAGTCTGTCGATGAACAAGATACGAGTGTTTGGTTTCTTTTGCTTTATTCATTACTGACAAAGCTTCGATTTCCGAATACTTATTTATGAACATGATTTAAGTAAGCAAAATCAAAATATCTTGAAAACGTACTTGATGATGCCTAACGCATTCTAGGATGTTGTAAAAGTATATTGAAGTTATATTACGAAAATTGTTTGAAAGCGGGATCTAGCGTGGAAAATTTTGTGGCTATACACAAATGTTCAGTAAAATCAACTACATCCGTATTTTATCTATATGTCTACACAATTATTTGAATCTCAGATGTGATTGGAAATACATACCTTGAGAAAATTTTCTGTATAATCAAACACTAGATTCAAGCACCTTACAAGTATAAACACCAATTGCACGTTCGTAATACAACTAACTGAATCTTCTGTATGTAGGGATACTGTTTGGCATCAGGTAGATATGCCTAATGACTCTCTAAGTCGTCTAAATTCGGGGAAAACATGAATTGTACTAGGTACCTGCATATTCTGAAGATAATACTACTGCTAATACTATAGATATCGATTTATGGCCGCTTTTCGGGATTATCTGGCCCCGGTGGGGAATATTCCAGAACCAAATTTAAGTGGAAAAGTTCATATAATCATGCGTCCAAACAGTCTGGTTTTCAAGACACGGGGTGTCGATGATAAAAAAATATTGATTTTGAAAGAGAAAAAATAATAGCAAACTGTCACGGAAAGTCAAAAATATATTCCCAATACCAGAACAACATTCCTTGGCAACAAAGTTGAATTTATCTTGTTTTAATAATTTGTCTACATGTAACGCAGTTGTCTTTATTTTTTCCTCGCAAACAATAAGATACGAAGGGATACCAAAAGACAAAAAAGTTGTATCGTTAGCTACTTACAAATATGTTTTTGTCGATATCATTCGTGAGATTACTCCAGGAGACGCCAGTGGAGTGAGCAAATAGCACAATCGAGATTGACAGCAGGAGGGGTTGGTGTCCGTCCGGATGTGTGGTTGAGATGACGTATGACTATGTTCGAGTCAACAGACACTTGTTCTTAATATATACATTTGATTTGGTCGTCAAAATTAAAAACTCAAATGTAACTTGTTATGCCGATGATACTCAATTATTGTTAAAGTTTCCCCCTGATGATTTTAAAATAACTGAGGAAAAAATTAATAGTCGATAGTATTAATAACTATTCTGCTATTAATAACAAGAAACTCAATCCTCAAAAATTAAATGTGGCACTTTTTTGACCGAAGGAAAAATGGAGACATCTAAAAGCAAGCATGGACTTGAAAATAGGCAGCACAGATTTAAACTCTAATGATGTATGCAGAAATTTGGATCTACTTATAAACGAAGACCTACGTTTTCGCACGTATATTAACAACGTCATCACAACAGGCTATTTTATACGGAACTTTTATATACCAACAGGCACTTCCTCAGTTTTGAAACAAAAAAGCGAAATGTGAATCATTAATTATTTCAAAAAATTTGATATGGAATCATAACCTATTATCCTTGTTTAGATTAAATATCCGCCAACAAACTTCTTGTACCCGGTTGAGAAATAATCTTAGGAAATATGATCATGTAACTGGCCCAATTAAAAACTTAGGATGGCTTAAATTTAATAACCTGTTCAAATACTTATTTTGTCATTTATGAAATTTATTGTAACCACTCATTCATCACTACGTTTATGGAACAAGCTAACATTTAGAACAAGCATTCATTATTTAAATTTAAGGTATACCAGCACATTATCCATACCAAGACATCTCACACCCATGTTTCAGCGCTTTTACTCATACAACGCCGCTAAACATCATAATGCACTAGACATGAATATTAGGAGTAGAGCAAATAATCATAACTTCCAAGTCAATATTAAAACAAATCTCCAACACACGGTAATACAGTTTTGGTAGCACCTAATCTTTGTCAAATATATTTTATGTACTCAGTAACACTGAAATTTTTGAAGCATTTAATTCTTATCACGTGTACAGTAACAGACATTTTTATAGTTTATTGAATCATATACAGGGTGTAAACGTTATGGTAGTCATTACTGAAATGGGTAATAGGGGGGTCAAAACAAGTCAAAAAGTTCATATGACCCATGGTCCAAAAGTCAATAGATTTTTGTCTAATTGCTTTATATCGACCGCAATCCCCCACAATCTTACTAATTTTTATAATCTAATCTAAAACGTTTTTAAATTGGGTAATTTGTAGTCAGTAAGTTTCATTAAATTAAATATTTGAAACACACATGACAACAGCGCATTCATCACTCTTATCGAACCGGCAATCGATCGCAAACGGTAACAGTGGTTAGTATGTTGTTTTGTTTTTGTTCGCGTACGTCGTCGTGTTTATTTACAATGTTCTCGAATCAAGAGTTCGCCGACATGTTGTTAGTTTACGGTGAAGCTCGTCAGAATTCAAATCTTGCACAAGTGTACCAAAGACTTCAGGATACAGGAGGTGTTCAACCCACTAATATTCGCACTCGTGAATGACAGGTTACTGTAGAGCAGGAGGAACAAATTTTAAATATCGTGGAAATCAATGCAGATATCAGCACTCGGGAATAAGGCCGCTGCGTAGGACTACCGCATACCATAGTCCATAGAATCCTACGGGAAAATTTGCTTTATCCCTACCATGCACAACGAGTGCAGGCCTTGTTACCAGAAGACTATCCTCACAGACTAACATTCTGCCAGTGTTTTTTGCACGAAAACATTGAATTGGATCTGGATTTTTTTAAAAACATTCTAGCGACGGACGAATGTACTTTTACGCGTGACGGGATATTAAATTTCCATAATACTCACACGTGGGCCCAAGAAAATCCGCATACCATTCGTGAAGGTCATTTCCAACAACGTTTTAAAATAAATATTTGGGCGGGTATTCTTGACGATCAGGTAATTGGCCCTTTTTCGAGTTACCCCCAAAGTTGTCAGGAGAAGGATACCTTCGCTTTCTAGCCAATAACCTACCAGAACGTTTGGAACAGACCTTAGACAACATGCCATTACCATGGAGACAGAATTTGTGGTTTCTTCATGACGGGGCACCACCACACATTTTTAGAGGCATCATTCAGTATTTGAATGAACATTATCCAAATCGCTGGATCGGTCGAAATGCTCCTGATTCTCGAAAATGGCCAGCAAGATCTCCTGACCTCAATCCGATGGATTTCTGGTATTGGGGAGAACTTAAAGGGATGTTTTATGGGGCTGGTCCAATAAGAACTGAAGCACAACTTCGCGAAAAAAAATTTAAAGCGGTTGAAATAATAAATGGACAACTTCGAGGACCTAGAGTAAGAAGAAACTGGGTTCGTAATGGAGCTTGTGTGGAAAGTGGAGGACGACATTTTGAACACCTTATTTGAATACAAAAAATGTGCAGTGTGGGTTTTAAAAAGAAAAAAATGTATGTATCAAAATTTCTCTAAAAAAATGCCGTTTTGACCGCCATGTTATATGAAACTTGTTGCTCCTTTTAATCCCCTCTGTCACCCATTTAAATAATGACTATCATAACGTTTACACCCTGTTTATTTAATTTAGACTTTTTTACATTTCCAACTATTCGTTGAGTATGCCTAGGCTCCCCCATTTGCCATCATACTTTTTGATGTTATGTTGTGATAATGATGCACTAAAGAAATATATTATACACATGTTAAACATATACAATACCCATCGTTATTGCTTCGGGCGTTAATAAATCCTATCGAAAACGTTCACTTACCGCTCGGATTGTTCCTATTCTTATCCGCCTGCTTCAATGGCAAGCACACGGGACAATCGGTCCGGATGCAATTCTTCCAATGGCTGATGATCTGCCTGGACGAGCTGCAATGCGCCACAGAGCAACTCTTTCCGGCGTTGCAGGTGGTCATGTGATTGAGGACGTTCTTCATCGTCTTGCAGTGAGGCAGCGTGCACCACACCTCGCCGTTGGCTTGGGACTCGCGCCGTTGGCACTTGTGCGCGTGCAGGAGCAGCACCAACTGCTGCTGGATCAACTTTCGCTTTTCCGGGTCTGCTGAATGAGGCAGAGTGAGGAAGGGTGTTAGCTGGCTACTACTCATGCACTAATCTACTATCTACTAAACTAAAAACTACTTTAAACATAATTAGAAATACAAGATATTTGAATGATAGGCTACTTGACTCATATCTAATTTCATAGAATAAATGAGTACTTCTTTCAGTATTTGGAAAACGAAATGTATCGATTTCAATTTTTGAAAGCGCAAGATACATATATGTCCATTTTTTTATTTTTAATCTTACCCTTTTTCATTGACAATAAAAAAACATGGATTTCTTCATGAATTGAGCTTATAGGCAAATTTCAAAAGTATACAACAGGAATTTGATGTCAAATAAATCCATGAAGTTCTGCGGGGATTTCTTCACACAATTAGAACTTGTTCTAATTTCTGCCAAGTTGGACGTCAAATTCCATGTTAGCGGCCTTGTTTTACTTTCCATTACATTGAACAACTCTACAATTTAAGTATAGAAGTTTGATGAATCTAGAGTATTCAACTATATGGTTTCTATTTATAATATTCACCTCAAATTCAAAACCACAATCCAAAATACATATCAAAACTCAAACTGTTTCTAGAATTTTATTGTGTGGATGGCAGCACGTGTACTGTCAGATAATCCATGAATTTGCCCATTGATTTAAACACCGCAAAACATAGTCACGATGACATTGAAGAAATCCATGCGAATAAATTCGTGAAGAAATTCTTGACGTAAAACGGGTATATGAAACGGTGGAAACACTATTGGCCAGGATGTGACGTCATACAAATTGTAAACAAAGAAACGTCATCCGTATGTCACTCGTGGATTAACGTTGTCTTCTTTGAATTAAAAAAAAATACCGAAAATGGACACAATGGTATGGTGATTTTTTGCCATCAACCCAGATTTCAGCTCGACTCAACCCAGGTACATCAAGACTCCTACGTAAGTACAGTGCATCTGATATAATAATAGACATAACAAGAAAGAATAAGTAATACACTTACACAATCTTCATTTTCAGAAGTCATTCAAAAATAAATTCTGAATAATTTTGTCTGATGTATTTCTTCTTACACGTCTGCAAGGGTGATTATGCCGCAGGTTACGTCTAACACAAACGAGACAATAAAATCTGCACAGTAAAATATAAAATATGTCCCGAACGTAAGGTATGCTCCAAGCAATACAGTGCTGCGTATATTTATTTTCATTGACACTCTAATCCACAACTTTTCTGGGGTCTTTATCGATGTGTTTTTACATTCTCGAACGGTAATGGTAATTACTATATTCTTAATATAAGCTAGTAGAAGTAATGTTTGTATGTTTGAAAGCTCATATGCTGCTGTTTACAAGTGGTATGACGTCAAAGCAAATTAAATGTGGACCAAAAATTGCGGACAGCGTTTTCGCCCGTTTAAATCAAAGTTTTTCAGACTTTTAGGTCGGAAAAAAGTTTAGTATTATTTTTTGGTCTGCCAGAACGACTTAAAAAAAGTGTCAACTAGCCTATTCAGTTAATAGTTTTGGGCTATTGTAAGATACTAAATATTGACGCTATTATGAAAATCTCTTGTACGAGAACATTTAATGATTTTGGAACAAACAAAAAATCTAAGTAATACAAAAAACTTTGACTTTTGAAAACTTCATTATGAAAAGTATCAGTAGAGTTAGTAGTAACGTAATCTATCTATTATGTATTTTCGCGAGAGAAAATCATTTACAATTATACATCCAAGTTTTTTGTATAACACAAATGTTTCATATCTGGCTAATGATTCAGTTTTCCAAAGATTACAAATTTTACAAAACAAATGTATGAGAATACTAAATATGTGCTAATCAATCAAATGCTCAATATGTTAGAATGACTTAACATTAAAAAATTTCATTACACACCTATTTTTTACAGTCATGATTTTGATCAAGTATGATGATGCACCGATTAGTATCAAGTAGTATTACTTCCAATTGTTTATGTAACCATTTGTGCTAAATAAATATTTCTACTACTAATACTATCATTTCAAAATCTGTCAATTTATTTTACCCTGAACGTCCCATATTTTATTGTACATCGATACAGATCCTTCCCAAAAAAGATTAATATAACAAAGTTTTGAGTTGTTGAGTTATAAGCATTTTGATGTCTGTCTCTACACCAGTATGAAATATAGTTATTTTATATTTTAGGGATTCATGAGGTATAACATGACAGGCGTCTCATCTTGAAATTTGCACCTATTATTTTTGATAAAATATAGTCATTCATGCATTAATTTCATCATCCCAAATCTTAGCTTGCCAACTGGAACCGGTCAAAAAAATGAGAGGGAGTAGAAGCTTTTTAGAAGGCACTGTATACTTCTCTCAGCTGAATATCAGGCTGCAACTATACTACATTCAATCATACATGCATAACTTACCGGTAGATGGTGCTGGCTGCCCCGGTTGCTGCCCTGCCGCCCCCTGCGCGTTCTGATTCTGCGCGCTGGCCTGTTGCGGCCCCGGCTGTCCGCCAGATGGCGCCCCACTCTGCGGTTGCGCGGGTGAGGGGGCGGGCGGTTGAGTCTGCTGAGGGTCGCCGCCTCCTGTTCCCGCAGCCCCTGGGCCACCCGCGGACGCTACCGCTGCTTGCGGAGGCGGTGCGCCAAAACGTTGCTGCTGCTGCTGTTGTTGCTGGGCAGCTGCGGCGGCCGCTGCTTGCTGTTGCGCAGCTTGTAGTTGGGGCAGGCCGATTTTCTGCGGTTGCACTACGCCTAGTAGAAAGAAATAAACCTCAGGTGCGTAGCTTCAAAAATCAATGATAGCTTAATGCTATGAGATTCGCAAACGACAATGACAGTACAAGATGTCCAGTGGGAAAGTTCACTTTTCAAATTTTAATTACGCGGCAACTGCATTCGCGAGGAAGTGGGGAGAGGTCTTGATCGACGCGGTCGGCGTACGGGTTAAATAGTCACAATGGAACGTTGGACCGGAGCGCAACGTGCTTTGCTATCGAGACTTAAGAAAATGTGCGTCGAGCAAGTGATTCGGTCATTGCAAATCTTCGGCGTTCTGTACGGAATCCCTAGGTCAACACTGCATATCTTGATGAAGAAACATGGGTTTTCATCCTTATAAAGTCCAATCAGTCAATGCACCTTTCGACGAGAAATAAACAACAACACTCCGGAACTCTGCAAGAGGGTGTTTCAGAATTTGCGCGATTAGAAGAGTGTGTCCGAAGGGAAGGCAAACATTTGGACGGAATGATATTTAAGACATTTATCCCGCCGAATTTACGAATATGTTGATAGTAATAAATATTTTCTTTTCATCAAGTTTTTTTTTTTCTTCAATCAAGTAGTGAACTTTCTCACTAGAATTCATCACCCAAAAGCCAAAGTGCACAAATTTTCATTCACTTATAAAGCCAGCTTTATATTTTTATATTTTTTATATTATTCAATCATTTGTTTATAGCAAATGAAAACATATTTTCAATATTACAAATTCTACAACATTAACCTATAAGGATCATTTCAAATAAAAGCAATATGCTATATATGCTAGGATTAAGTCTATGTTTCTATGTTAGAAGAACTGCAGTGGTTCAATGTAAAAAATTTCATGTTATTTAGTTCTCCTATTCATATTCAAATTAAAAAATCATTTGTTACCACCACATTTAGGAAACTTCACAAAATTAAAGTCTTTATCATAACTAGGAAGTATAGATTTTCATCTGCAAAATTGTAATGTAGCATAACTAGCAAATCTGTATTTCAAAAGGGAGTATTTGTATTTGATGAATTGAATAATGTTATTAAACAAGGTTTGAATTTGAAAATGTTCAAATTGGAATTAAAAAAATCACTTTATGAATACTCAAAATGCATAGTGATGTAATTTTAATAGGCAATAATACAAATTTACGGAAAATGGATTGAAAACAATATGAAAACAAATAACTATACAAAATTGACATTGTAGCATTAATGCTAAATAAATCTTCAACTGTGATTTCTAAGAAAGCTTGTTTTCTAAGTGAACCGAATGTGAAGGAACCCCATCTGCAATCTCCACAAAAACTTTTCACATCACATATACAGGTTCTGAATCTGTCATTAGTTTATTTATCCATTTATTTTATTTATATGGGATCAACCCCATTACAAAAAATATATATAAAAAATTCAAATGATAAAAAAATCAGGTTAATGCTTTAATAATGGTTTTAAAGACAAAGGAATATCCAAATATTTCAATATCCATAGTATTTATAAGATTCAGTGTCCTCTCAACAAGCAAGTACATAGCATAATTTGTGTTATGATGAGGTGACATAAATAACTGGTTCACTCTCAAATTAATTAAAATAGTATAATAAATATATGATCATCAGGAATTCATATATGAAGCCTATAAGGGCAAAACCTAATAAATTTATTTTACACTCTTTTGAGGGCTAGACAATTATTTAAATAGGGAGTCCAGATCATTGATCCATATTCCAACAAAGACACAAGTGACATGTATATAGTGTGATGCCAAGACATGCAGGGAAAGGTCTCCACATATTTGTATGTAGTGTCCCAAATGATGTAATCACTCCAAGTTTCATTTATTGACAAAAATGTAAACTTTGTCCTACAAATCCTATATTTTCACTGACCTACACTAGAGCTGACCAAAAATTTTCAACACCTATTGGTAAAACAAACAAGAAAAGAAAAACACTCACCAACAGGCACACCCTGCTGTCCAGCATTCGGATTCTGGTAGCCATAGGGACCTGCAGCATTGCCAGGCATTCCTTGAGGCCCGCACAGACCTGGTGCTTGCAGACGTGGCCCCAGGTGTATCTGACCAGCTGCCCCTGCTGCTCCAGGTGGCCTTTGCATATGCATGCCAACACGGCCTATTATCGGGCCATTGGCTAATGACTGGCCAGGTGGACCAAGTTGCTGCTGAAAAATGGTAAATGTTACAAAAGATGTCATTGTGATCCAAGAGGATGTGTCATTACAAATTTTCTATCAAATTGTGAATTTTGTTCAGTCTTTTAATAAACAAAGTGTTTTTATGTTACTGTTTTTTTTTGGCTGTCCTCTTTTCTATACTACTTGCAGAAATCCTTGAAAAATAATTTTAATTTTTTATGTATTACCTGTTGTCCAGGTGCAAAGATACTATTAGGTGGCATCTGCTTGGGGGCTCCACCAGCACTACTGACTACCAGACCACCTCCTGCCATTCCACCCATTGAACTTATGTTGCTGCTTGTCATAATCATGTTGCCTCCACTATTCTGCATACCTGTAACATAAACAGTTGTTAAATGCTGATCATTTGACAATAATTTTGAAAGTTACCTTGGATAGAGCTCATAACTTGAGCAGAGCTGCCATTGTTTGCCATCGATTGTAGACCCACATTATTGGATATACTGGAAGGAAGACTACCTAGACCCATCTGATCAACTACGCCTCCTTTTGCTACAGAGACGTTCGGAGGAGACTGTAAATTCGGACTTTTGTTACCTAGTGGCCCACTGCTTGTCAAAACTAAGGCATTTCCTGTCAATCCTTTGTTGCCCTGAAATATAAAATTATTTTGTAAAAATTGATGCTTTCCTTTTTCAAGTGGAATACAAATAAAAAAACATATTTGATGCTGCCAAATCAGATATCTCATTTGCTCATACAAGAAATCTCATTACATTTAAACGTTGGTATGAGTGAACTGAGATTATCTGAGAGTCTGTGTAAATTGTATGTGACTAATATATTCATATTAGAATTAATAATAATAATAACAACTTTTATTCAAATTGCTTTTTGGATATAAAATTTCAACAGGAAAAGGTCTGATTTACATAAGCAAAAGAACAATATACATGACTAGATTAGAATAAAATAGGTGATGGTATGAAATAAGTAGCAGAAAAAGTATGTTTGTTTAGAAGTGTAAATAGAAGAATATAAAAAGTATGCAGCACAAATAAGTAAAATAATCAATAAAATAGGTAAATATGTAATTACTGAAAATTACAAGACTCTTGCAGAGAGTAAAAACACTTAAGGTAGAAGTATGTTAAAAGTTTTTGCTGACTTTCAAGTCATTGATGGTTTTTCACTGTGAGGTCAAATTATTGAAGATAGATCTGCATAGGTGGTAAGGGCTATATGGTATGTGCTGAGGCTGTGGTTGTTTAATGTAACATTGTTATTATTCCTTAGACTGCATCCCTGGGACCCTTAGATAAGTGAATTTGGATGGATATGATTTCACATGAAGACATGCTTCTAGAATGAGTAATAATGCTAAAGTTAGTATTTTTTCATCTCTAAATGTTTTTGTCAATCAAAAAAGATGGAACAAAATAATAAGTATGCATAGTTTGGACAGACCCAAATATGAAAAAAGGAATCAATATAAAACACTAGTCTCTCTCACCTGTTGCAATAAATGATTGATTTGCATCTGTCTAATATTATTTGCTGCTTCTGGATTCTCTATACCATTCTGCATCCCACCAGGACCAGGGCCCTGAGCTGGAGGTTTGCTATTGGTGTCTGAGAGACTCCACGGGGACATCAGCTCATCTGGGAGATTATTCTCCAAGTCAAGCATGTCCATATTTGTCAATGCATCTGCGAGAAATATCACTTTAATTAATAATGTTATCATTTTCATTTGTAGATGATAGTGCCAAGTGAATTTTTTTATGTGCACATAAGCATTTTTCTGTAATCTGGTACAATGGCGGGAGAAACGGTGTAAAATATCTGATCTGCAAGTTGCCCAGGTGTTTGGACCAATTTGATTCAATATCATCTTGCTTACAACTCAGAAACCAAAGAATATACTTTTTTTACATAATACTTATATCTGAAAAACTTTCACAATTATTACTATTATGCAATGTACAGTCAGAATAATTAAAAAATGATGCAGATACAAGATACAGAAGCAATGACTCAATATCATCTTGCTTACAACTCAGAAACCAAAGAATATACTTTTTTTACATAATACTCATAATATTTGAAAATCTTTCACAATTATTACCATTATCAAATTTACAGTCAGAATAACTAAAAAATGATGCAGATACAAAATACAGAAGCAATGACTCAATATCATCTTGCTTACAACTCAGAAACCAAAGAATATAATTTTTTTACATAATACTCTTAATATTTGAAAAACTTTCACAATTATCACCATTATGCAATTTACAGTCAGAATAATTAAAAAATGATGCAGATACAAGATACAGAAGCAATGAGTCGTTAGATATTAAATGTATGAGCATGCTTGCAAAACACTATAGCTGAAATGTAATGATTACAATAAAACAAAATACAAAAATATATACATAAATAATTCCAAAAATATCAAGATACCACTATGCCTTTAAATTTTACACATTCTATGTTGATGGAAATAAAAAGTTTTGTGCAAAGTTATCCTGATTGTATATGATCCAGTGAAGTATGATCAATTAGTAAGGTATTAGTTTGTACAAGAAAAACTTAAATGGTAACAGGTATTTACTTTGTTGGTTATAGTTCCAAAAAGGCCTCGGACTTGTACCACCACCTAAGGATGTCTGTGTCGAACCCATGCCATAGTTGTAAGCTAGATTTGTATATAGAAAAATAACAAAACTTTAAGAAAAAGAAACAGTATAAGCATTTTATTTTGGATACAAAATAAACTCTTCAAGATACTTGAGTGAATTAAAATGAGAAATAAATTATACTTTAGCATGTTATTGCTTCAAAATGTGTTACAATGGTAGATAAAATACAATAACACTAAGGATAGGTTTTTGGAACTATTAGTTTTAGTTATTATTTTATAAATCATATTTGAATGAATTGATCTGGTGTAACTACAATGCTATTCTGAAAAGTAAAATTGTTGTTTCAGAAATGTATTAAGAAATATAAATGAGAGCATGCATCTAGATATTAAAATTCTAAAAAATGTAAAACATACAACTAACCTAGCAAACATCTCAAGATGAAGATTTCAGAATATCACCATAGTCTTATCAGATATATTCAATACTACATTTTTAACAAAATACATGAATCTAAAATACAGAAGATCTAGGAAAATTTATGAACACAGCTAGTATTCCAGCAAAAAATGCTCTTTTACAAAGTTGGGGAATAGATAAAAATCGAATCTATATTAAACTGTTCAGACTATTTTCTGGATGAATTCTAATTGAATATTTTAATGAAGCAGCTTATGTAAGAAAAAAAAAATAAATTTATCATTTAATTATATATTATGGGTTAGTGGCCAAAAAAGCTGTAATATTAGTGAATTTACGATTATCATTTTCAGAAGAGTTTGAAGAATGCAATTCAATACAGTTTAAAAATCATGCTGAGTTCAAGTGCATCTGTGTTTACGAATAAAATACAAACAATAACACGTAAAAAGGGATTTTATACATAATCCGACGTTAACCTGTGGAAGAGTGGTAGTGAAATTCGAGCGAATAGTAATATTTAAAAAATAAACAGCTGTTTATTATTTACAAAAATATGTCTTTGTAAAGTTGTCAAACTACAGGAACGCCTCTCCCGCTTTCATGTAGGACATGCTGTATTTATGTATAAAATAAACAAAATATAGGGGTTTCCTTACCAGAAGAATCCGATGGCCCCTGAAAAGGGTCCAATTTTTGCCGTTTGGCATTGGGGGGGCCGTCTACAAGATGATCGGCCATGGCAAAATCAGTGCGATCTGCTGTTTACCAAGCCGAAGCCGAAGCACTGGCCCAATGCTACGGCCGACCGAAACTAACAACACTGTAAACCACTATTTATCGCTAACGGAACGGCAAACGCATGATTTATAAGCGAAAATATGAAAGAAACGGTGCCAAACAGTCCAAGTACCGAGTGTTAAACAGTCGATGCATCTCACAAGGCACATATTTATCAAACAAGAGTCATCCATCGGCCATCATGAAGTTCGACTAGTCCGACTGGCCGACTATATTTCGCGACTGCCTCTCACCATCTTCCGTCGGAACCGCACAATGATCTCGAATTAAATCACACAAGTTTTACACTAAATAACGCTTTTTTAACTATCATCGGTGATTTTTAAACGCAATATCGATTTCTAACACTATTTCTAGCAAAAAAGACCACTTTAATTTACAAAATATACTACGATGAAAGGAATTCATCCGAAATTCTACGCGATCTCAAACAGGCAAAATGGCGGTCGTGGATGAAACTTTTTCTACGCTTGTCAGAAATATTTCTGTCTAATAAAACCTTCTCGGACTTCCATTGGACATTAAGCACCATGTGACCGTATGCTAATCTTCTATTGGTTTATCGCCTCCGGAAGAAACGCCGTGACGCAGCGTCCGTCGTCACCTGTGACGTCACCGAAATCAAACGATCATTGCCGAAGTCTCAAATCCAACCTTGAAAGAAAATACGGAAATTTGGATCAAATAGATAAGATAAATATATGCAAACACAATCTTTATTCCATGTTGCATATGATTTTACTCCAGAAATCGTTCCTGGATCGAATAATCGGGAGAAAAAGAAAGAATTCTTGATAGATTGCAGCAGCCTCTGGCGCCCGGAACTTGAACCTCATTGAAGGCCATTCCAGGACAAAATAATCCATAATAAGAATGTAATTTGTGAAGTGCCATAAATATTTTCTTATCTACAAATATAAATGATTGCAATAATAATGCTTTATGTTCGTTGTTATCTATTATCTCATTGTCGCTATCGAAAAAATTAAATAATGTGTAGAATGCATCTAGATTTTTGTTCTCAAGTATCTGGGCTACTTTCTGCGATTTGTATACTTTCTCAACATTTCTCCAGAGTACGCCAGCAAATTTATATTTATCACTTACACTTATTTAAATCAATTGATAAAAAATCTCAAACAAATTACACCTTTGACCTTGTTATTGTTTTATCAGCATTTAAACATTCAACTTCATTTATATTACAGTACCTTTGTTTTTGAATACTGTTCAGAAAAAGCATACATTAATCAGGAGTTTTAATCAAATCAAATTCTTGGAAATGCAATGTTGTAATCAATATATTGCATACATACTAACAACCTATCAGTAGGTATAGTTTACAAATAATGTAAATTGTACAAAAGATTATCACATAGTCACACAGTCCACATCTTTGCTTGGGTTTTCTGGGAATAGCAATTTACATGTTTTGGTAGACATAGGGCACTGAAAAATAAAAACCATATCAACAAAATTAATTATTCAATCCACAATTGGAAGTTTGTCTGGACTGTGGTCTAGGCAGTCCCTGCAATCTATCAAGCCTCTAAAAGTAACCGAGTGACTCAGCAGAACAGCACAAAATGTGCAGAAGTCTCTCAATACTTACTGGCTCTGATTACTGCCACTATGGCCCCAAATATGGCAAAATTAGCTAATACTGATTCGCGGCTTTTCTTTCTCTCTTCTTCTGGGTCGCGAGCACCACCAACTTGAATTCTTCTCATTTCAAAAGCCGCTTATTTGCGAAAACACCCTCTCAAGATTTTATTTTGGAAAAACGTCAGAAATCGTTTATCGGCCTGTTTGAAACGTGTGAGAAAGTAAGGTTATGTAACCGCTGACATGGAACAACATCTACAGAAGATTGGCGTAATGGCGTAAATTGTTCCATGTCAGTTTACGAAAATACTGGATGATCATTTTTTTCCCCAATTCAGTTGATTTATTTTCTTAGGAAATGCAGAAAATAAAATTTTAATAAATATGTGCCAGAATACCTATCCTCAAATTGATTTCCTATGAGAAATTGGTGTCCACACCTCTCTATCTTGGCATCATTTCAAATTTGCCGCTTTTTCCTAGGAAGAAGGAGATAAGAAAATGGAAGAAAGAACTGAGAAAAGAAGATACCAATACCAAATGCAAATCAAAATGGAGAAATGCACTTGACGATTCTGTTCTGTTGTAGTCTTGCGTTGTTTACATTATAGAATTTTTTCAAATTAAATGCACTCAATTAAACGTACCGTTGAATTACATGCATTTTGAGCAGTTTTAAAAAATAAATCATTCTATTTGAGTTACAGCATGTAAATACGAAGAAATAGTGGTAAAATTATGGTTTTTACAAGAAAGGGATTCCACCTGAAATAGTATAGGAATTTTTCCAAATAGTACATGAACAAGCTTTAAAAAATAATGTGATTACTATCAGTGGAATGCCACTGCATATATTATATCTCCTATTTTCAATATTCTGGTCGATTCTTTTGGTCTCCCAAGGTAAGTTATAAGTAAGAAGCTTGGTGCTCTATGTGTACAACATTGTCTTGCAGGAAATACATCACAAAATAATCCTCTACTCCTGTATTCAACCACAACTGATATAAGGCTAGTCAGTTCAGTGAGAGCCAACAATAAAGGAAAGCCTGTTACACTAGTAAAAAACTACACATACATTGCAGCAATCGATTATCATTTTGAAAAACGAAAGATATTTTGGGTTGATCATGAATTGGGCACGATTTTCAGTATTGATTATGATGGGGTGGCTGCAAAAAATAAGGTAGGCAGTTGGAATATTTATTTGTATAAATAAAATGATAAATCATAGTGTGCATTGCATTTTGCACCAAATTTCTCTTAAATCACTGATTAAAATTGTGCACTATCAACTGTTTCAATATTTTCTGAAATCATATTACCATTGCTTTCTGCAATTATGAATTTGATTCATACTAAGATTGTTAGTTGATTGTCAACTATTTAAAAACTTGAATTGCAGTTTGAATCATAAATTCTTACATTGGAACCTTCAACTGTGAATTTGTTTTAGACTGAAATTATAAATGGTGTATTTAACCCTGATGGCTTATCTTGTGACTGGGCTACAAGTAAAATATATTGGACCGACAGCTACACAAACCATATTGAAGTTGCTACTATAGACGGAAAATATAGAAAAGTATTATTTTGGACTGACATAGATCAACCACGTGCCATTGCTGTTGTTCCTATGGAAGGGTGAGTGATTTTTATCAATATGTGAAAATCTAGGATGAAATCGTGCTGATACCAAAGACACTGTTGCATTATTGCGAATATTGAATTTCTTTCTCCAAAGCCAATCTCCTACAAGTGTTGTTCAAAATAAAGACAGTGAAGAAATACATATTTTCTATAATATGTTTCTTATTGAAAATCAAAATTTGCTTTATATCTCTGCACAAAATCATACAGCATCCTATATGCCAATTTGAGAGGGAAATGGCATAAATAATTTTGGAGCCATATCATCAATCGTTCCTATAATTGTAGGCCCTAAATCAACCATTATTTCTAGGTTCATGTTTTGGTCAGACTGGGGAGAAATTCCCAAAATTGAGAGAGCAGGCATGAATGGAGATCCAAAAAGTAGAATAGTAGTAGTAACTGAAAATATTTTTTGGCCCAATGGTCTAACAGTTGATTACAAGACAAAGACTGTGTATTGGATAGATGGAAAACTGCATTTCATCAATAGAATGGATTACAATGGAAAGAATATGAAGACAGTCTTAGAGAAAGGATTTGAATACCCATTTTCAGTTACTCAATTTGAGACTAAGGTGTTTTGGACAGACTGGAAAACTATGTAAGTTACTCATAATTATGAAAACCTTATTCATTTTTAGTCCCTCGTAGAACATTTTCAAAATATTTCATATCTGAAACTTATCATGTAGTTTGCATGTTACAATCCCCCCTGTTTTTCTGGCTAATAAAAAAACACATGTATTATAAAAAAAACAAATCTTCCCAACTTTATCACCAAGATGCTAAATGGATACAATCAGTGAAGAAAACTTTCTGACACTGATGACAGCTTGTGTTGTGGCAAAAGATGATTTTTTATTTTACATATAAAAATAAGAACCAAATATGATTAAGAAACTTTTTATTTTCAACCACTGCAATTCTTGTAACATAGATTTTGTTTGGATCTTATTGGTTTTATTCAATATGTTATTTTGTAGGAGTTGTAATTTTGGGAATACAGCATCAGTGGCTGTGAATAAGATGGTTGAACAATATAGTATATGTAGTGGAATAATCGTATTATAAACAAGTAATTTGTTATTCATAGTGATCCTCAAATTTTAGTTTACTATCACTATATACCCAAATGTTTAATCAACATTTATCCTAACTGTGATAGTTTTTATATTCAGTATTTCTTTAGTTTACTTACATTTCACCAATTTATCATTTTTTTTTCAAGTTAGAAATTGGCATTTTTAAAGCAGCATTTTCCTCTGATATGTATAATAATGCATCAACTGCAGATATCTGAATTTTACAATAATCTTAAATATCACAAATGACGTCAATGTATAAAATAAATAGTAGTGGACCATAACTACCTTGTGGAACACCAACAAAAATATTTTTTGAGCTTAATAATGTAGATCCAATTTTGGTTTTTTAACTTCTGTCAATTAAGTAGTTTTGTATAATTTTTTTAGTACTTTATTGCTGTCAATAGTTTCAAACGCCCTTTTGAAGCCCAAAGACACTGTCACTATATGTTTCCTATTGTCCTCCAGTCTTCTAAAACCATTTTTATTTCCATTTCAATTGGGTGTTTCTTCCTGAATCCACCTTGAAATTTGGTTAAAATTTCCCTCGATGAATTCGATGGTCTGTTCATAAAGAATTTCTGTGAAATGAAAATTTAAATCCTCCCTCAAGGAAGATGCATTGTTCCACTGGTTCCAACGAGATACCCAATTTTTTTCAAGGTTGCCTCAAGGAATATCAATAAATTTGACACTTAATTTGAAGGGTGTCTCAGTAAGAGCGCCGGAGCGTCCTGGAGCAGTGTTCAAACGAGCAACGTTAAATTATTGTGAAAACTACAAAAATGGAGAAAATTACGCGGAAACAGTTCGCAAATTACGTACAATTTTCGGTCGCAATAATGCGCCAAATGAGTCGAAAGTTCGCCGTTTAATTACAAAATTTAAGACAAAATTCCCGTTGCTGAATGTGAAGACCACTGTTCGTCGCCGTCCTGGTCGGGAATCCAGGCACTTCCATTCGGCATCGTGGCCAAGAATTGAACCTTACCAGACCCGCTCTGCAACGCATTTTGACAAAAGATCTGTATCTGTGCTTGCATCAAGGTTCAACTGACGCAAGAACTCAAGCCAACGGACCATGCGCAGCGACGTGAATTCGTTGATTGGGCGCTGGATGCGGATTTCTCGAAGAAAATCATTTTCTCTAATAGTAGTAGTAGTAGAAAGATTTATTTAGCACATTTGGCTACATAAGCAGAATAATTGTAAACAACTTAGAATTAGTAAATTCAAGCAATATAATGTATGATGTAAATGCTGGGCAACCTATAATTGTAGATTTAACAAGTAATTTCTCAATTTTACTTTAAATTTTGTGTTTTCTGATCTTTTATCTCGGAGTATAATTCATTATATTCAATCAACCCTTGATGGAATACAGATTTGTAGCATATGTTATACTTTTTGGTCATTAAATGGAAGTCATCTTTATTTCTGGTATTATGTAAATGATGGTCGACATTTGATGATGTTAAATTAGTTAGACTTGATGGAAATATATTATTTTTTACTTTATAAATGAATATCATTACAAGATATTTGATAAAATTTTTTACATTGAACCATTTTAATTTGCTAAGCATTTGCCTAATTGGAGTATATTTATCTGTATTTAGTATTATTCTCATGCACCTATTTTGTAAAATTTGCAGTCTTTCAAAAATGGAATTATTTGCTAAATATAGAATATTCGAACAGTACAAGAAATTTGGAAGAAGATGGTATTATAGATAATTTTTCTGCTATATGAACTCAGACATCCAGAAACTCTCGATAAATATCCCACTTTACTACTAATCTTATTTATAACTTTTTCATAATGAATATCAAAAATTAATCGAGAGTCAACAAAAACCCCCAGGTATTTAAAATTTTCTACGAATTCAATATCTTCACCATCAATATTCAGTTGAACATTTGTACATTGTTTTTTTTCCGATTAACAAGGCTTTCGTTTTACTTGCATTTAATTTTAGTCTGTTAGATGCTAACCATTTTGAGACAAGCTTCAAGTTTTCATTCATATAAGAGACTGAATATTTTTAGTACTTATATAAATCATAGTGTCATCGGCGAAAATCTGAATTTTGCATTTTTTGACTATGGCAGGTAAATCATTTATGTATAAAATAAAAAGAAGTGGTCCCAGGATACTGCACTGTGGAACACCCAACGTATTTTCAATTTTTGATGAAATAGTGTCATTAACTTTTGTAACTTGCATCCTTTTAGACAAATAATTTCTAAACCAATCTAAAACACTTCCTGTTATACCATATGCCTTTAATTTACCTAACAAAATATCTCTATCAATCGTTTCAAATGCCCTCTTCAAATCCAAAAATACTGCTATGCAACTTCTTCTGAGTCTATGGCTCTTCTCCAATTTTCAGTTACTAACTGGAAAGCTGTTTCTGTGGAATATTTTTTTCGAAAGCCTGCTTGCGCCTCCACTAAAATTTTGTTTTCTTCTATAAACTGCATTAATTGGTCATGCACTATGGACTCTAATAATTTTTCAATGTCTGGTAACACATTTACTGGTCTCATATCGCTGCATCTTTTAGAATTTTTTATTTTGGGAACTGGTGTTATTGTAGAGCATTTCAAATTTTTAGGAAAAGAACTGCTTCTCAGTGAACAATTGATCCAATTTAATACAGGATATCCCAAAATTTCGAAACAGTTTTTCAGCACGTTTTTAGTAGTGATTTCGGCACAGTTATTATTTGATTTTAAACTGTTTACTTTTTTCTTAGATAATTCAATGATATGCTGTGAAATTTTGAAAGTGTATGCAACATTTCCCCCTGGAAACTGATTTTCATATAGTCAGGTGCAGCATTGACAGTACCCACAATATCAACAATACTTTCCACAAAATATTCATTTAGTTTGTTTGCAATCACCAAAGAATTTGTTTTCGAATTGAACTTGATTTACACAATCATGCGGCTTCGAATTGATCAGTCTTTTTAAAGTCTTCCACATCTTTACACTGTCGCACTTGTTATTATCGATTTGTTTATCGTAGAATTTCCTTTTTTCTTCTCTAATTACATATACACATTTATTCCTAAGAGTTTTATATACCTCCCAATCATCATTTGATTTTGTGAATATACATTTATTGTATTGTTTGTCTCTCAAATTTTGAGCTGCCTTAATATTCTTGTTATACCAGGGTGTATTTTTTGTCAAGCAAATCACTTTTTTATCAGTTGCAAGATCTAAACAAGTTTTTATATTTCCTATTATGTTGTCATATATTTTTTCGATATTCTCACCAAAATTCCAATAGCAGCCAGCAAGTTCTCGTTCAAGTTTTTCGTACTTAATAGTATTTACGATTTTCTTAATTTTTGTATCAGAAAAATGCCCTACCAAGGGCAGCATTGTCCAACTGTGATCGCTAACTTTTGGTGTATGTACAGCTTTAATCCCTGTACATTCGAAATTTACAATAACAAGATCTAACAAAGTCTCTGATAATGATGTTATTCTGGTACTCTCTTCAATTTTTTGCTTGAACCCATAGTTGTTTATGGTTTCTTTCAATTTTCTTGTTTTCATGCTTTTACCATAATAATTTAAATTAAAATCACCTAAAAGTATTATATTGTTTCTAAAATTCCACATTTCTTCGCATTTTTCTTCAAAAAACATTAAAAATGTATCCGCATCACTGTTTGGTGAACGGTAAAAAGTACAAAGATCATAACGTTTCCCAAATAATTTGAACTGTACGTAGTCATGCCATAAGTTCTGTCCCTCGTTTTCAAACAAGTGTAGACCTGTTAATACTTGTCCGATTGTTTACATTGTGGTGTCAGTTGATTAAGCGCTTTTCGGGTAATTACATATACCTCAGTTTGTATTGATCTCTCGAAGCATAACGATGGAGTGGGGCAAGGCAGAGAACCGTATTGCAGTGATAGCTTTACATAAGTGTAATCACAGTGCTAGTCAGATTTTTGAACTCTTACGCGGCCTTCAAATATCGCGTAAATTTGTGTCTAGGACCATTCAGCGGTACAATGAGACGTCCTCTGTTGATGACAGGCCAAGAAGCGGAAGACCTCGTCAAGTAAGGACTCCAGCAGCCATCAAAGCCGTAAAAGCCAGGATTCAAAGGAATCCACTCCGGAAGCAGAAGATCCTATCCAGGGAAATGAAGATTCCTGTCCGGACGATGTCGCGCATCATTAAACAAGACCTAGGGCTAGGGGCTTACCGGAGACGTACGGGCCAGCGACTTACGGCCACCTTGCGACACATCAGTTCGACAAGATCCAAGAAGCTCTTGGAGAGGTACGCAGCTGGGGGATTCCGAAAGATTTTGTTCACGGATGAGAAAATCTTCACCATAGAAGAAAAATTCAACCGACAAAATGACAAAGTGTATGCAAGGAGTTCACAGGAAGCTTCGGAGATCATTCCGAGAGTTGAGAGAGGCCACCACCCTGCGTCAGTCATGGTTTGGTGGGGGGTGTCCTACGAAGGGGTCACTCAGCTCCATTTCTGTAAACAGGGCGTGAAAACAAAAGCGGCAAACTATCAGAGCGACATACTGGATCCTATCGTCAAGCCTTTAAGTGGTACATTGTTTGCCAACCAACACTGGGTCTACCAGCAGGATTCCGCCCCCGCTCACAAGGCTAAGAGTACGCAGCGCTGGCTGGAAAGCAATGTGCCAGAGTTCATTGCTGCGGAAGATTGGCCCTCAGGGAGTCCGGACCTCAATCCTTTAGACTACAAGTTGTGGGACCTGCTAGAGCAGTTGGCCTGCTCCAAAGCCCATCGTAATATCGAGTCCCTGAAAGCGGATTTGATCCGATCAGCGGCAGCTATTCCTTTGGAAGCTGTGCGTGCAGTGATAGATGAGTGGCCCGCGAGATTGAAGCAGTGTGTGAAGGCCAAGGGGGGACATTTTGAATAAAACTGTTTGATTATGAATTCTAAAAATGTTGTCGAATAAATAATATCTTTCATATAAATATATCTTATCTTGTTTCATTTTTATCATGAGATTATCATGGGACAGAACTTATGGCACGACTATGTATATGTGCATACCAGTATGCATAGTCTAAACTGGTACAATCGAATAATGTGATATGTATTTTGTGGTAAACATAAATCACTACACCTCCAGTATGTCTGGAGTTGGAGTTGCGTCTGTAGGTTTTATAATTAGTAATTTGTAATTCACCATGAGGCACATTTTCAACTGTACTGGTATGTCAATAAGCAGAACTGCCGGATTTGGGGTTCTGAAAAGCCTCGTGTAATCGGACGACCAATGCATACGCCGCGAGTTACAGTTTGGTGCGCATTGTGGAGTGGCGGAATGATTGGACCGTATTTCTTCAGCTGGAACTGCGGTAACTGTTAATGGTGTGCGGTATCGCGAGTTTTTGTGGACCCAGTTGGATCGAATTGATGAGGAGGATTTGTTCTTCCAACAAGACGGTGCGATCTGACACACAGCACGCGAAACGATGGTGTTACTGCGGACCAAGTTTCCAGACCGTGTCAACTCTAGGTTCGGCGATCAAAATTGCCACCAAGATCGTACGATCTAACGCCAATGGACTTCTTCCGCTGGGGCTATGTAAAAGAAAAGGTGTGTGCGAACAAGCCACAAACAGTGGAACGCCTTGAAGAAAGATACGGACCGTTGTGCGAAAACGTTATCCAGAATTTTAAGAAAAGACCCTGTGCCAGAGCGTTCGTGGTGGCCATGTCATGCTTTATGTTTAATCGCGACTATGCCTCTTCATGTTGAAATAATGGGTGATTTTTTTGCTATAGTATCTTTTTGGCAACACTGTTTTTGACAGATGACGCGTGAATCGTGTCTTGTGTCATTGTCAAACTTTTCAGTTTGGTCTATAATTTAATCATGAATCGACTTACGAACGAACAACGCTTGCAAATTATTGAATTTTACTATCAAAATTCATGCTCGGTTAAGAGCACTGCTTCCAATTTATGGGCAACTTGGTCGGCCTACTGAGGGAGCTATTCGGAAGCTTGTCACTAAATTTCGAACCCAGTTTACATTATTGGACATTAAACCACCAACACGCAGACGTAGAGTGAGGACTGAAGAAAATATTGCGGCTGTTTCCGCCAGTGTTAGTGATGACCGTGAAATGTCGATTCGCCGCCGTTCGCAGCAATTGGGCCTCTGTTAAACAACTACGTGGAAAATTTTGCGACAGGATTTGGGTGTAAAACCTTATAAGATACAGCTGGTGCAAGTATTGAAGCCACACGACCTCCCACAACGTTTCCAATTTGGTGAATGGGCGCTGGCAAAGTTGGAGGAAGATCTACATTTTAATCGAAAAATTGTGTTCAGCGACGAAGCTCATTTCTGGTTAAATGGGTACATTAACAAGCAAGATTGCCGCATCTGGAGTCAAGACCAGCCAGAAGCATTGCAAGAGCCACCAATGCATCCCGAAAAAATCACTGTTTGGTGTGGATTATGGGCCGGTGGCATCATCGGGCCGTACTTCTTCAAAGACGACAATGGCCGGAACGTGAATGGCGAGCGCGTTTGGGGCCCGTCAATTGGCCGCCTAGATCGTGTGATTTAACGCCGTTGGACTATTTCTTGTGGGGCTGTGTTAAGGCTAATGTCTACATGGATAAACCAGCAACGATTGACGCACTGGAAGCCAATATTGAAGCATTTATTCGTGAGATACCGGCCGATATGTTGGAGAGAGTGTGCCAAAATTGGACCTTGCGCATGGGCCATCTAAAGCGGAGCCGCGGCCAACATTTACATGAAATAATCTTTAAAAATTAAATTATATCGACCGTTCTATCGACTCAAATAAATATTTAATCGTTTTTTCAATTTTTTTGTGTTTTTTTTGAAAATCAAATCCTATACCTCTTAAAAAATCACCCATTATAAATACCCGCTTAATTCGAAAAGAAATTGTGTTTTACTTGAAAATCCTTTACTTATTCCATGAAAAAACTGTTTACGGAACCCGTACTATTCCACAGGGCAATCCACTACTTCGACACAGCTGGCCAGCAACGTCCCATGGAATTGCTAGTAACCCAGAGACCCATGGACATTCACATATGGGATCAACGACAACAACCGCCGGTGCCGAACCCATGTGATGATAACAATGGAGGTTGTTCTCATTTATGTTTGTTAGCTCCCGAACCACCGGGATTCTCATGTGCCTGTCCCATGGGGATAAAGCTGGTGGATGAGAAAAATTGTGCTGGCGGTCCTCAAGAACTGTTGTTACTTGCTCGAAGAACGGAGTTGTGCTTAATATACTTGGATTCACCTGACTATAGTCACAGGTAAATACTTTAATGTTTATTTAACTATTTGTTTCAGACTATTTCACCAACTGCACTTACACAGACCATGTAACAACGTATTTTCCAGAGAATACCCAACTCTATGCTGTACTTGGACGTTCACGTATAATTTCTGCTGCAGTAGCATATGCAGGGTGTCTACATTTCAAATTATAGACTTTAAAAAATCATTAAAGTCTACACCCTGTGATGATCTTTTAGGTTCCATTACTACAAATCTCATTTTTTTCTTAGATGGTGTGATGGACAGTGTCATTCGATGTAGTGACAGCAAGATAGTAACGCCGCTTTTATTAATTCGTGAATGTACAAATATCCTTCTTCCATTATTAACAAATACAGGTGCTTCTTAGGCCCGTATCGTCAGTCGTCCCTACAATTGTAGGACGCCTTTATGGTCTCCTTGATTGTCATAGTTTTCTACTTCTCCGTGTCAGCGCTCTATTTTGAGGTTATGCTACAAACATCTATTTGCATCAAATTGTGCTTGCTTTTGAGTTATATCATGTTTTATCAGCCTGAAATTTCCTACAATTTAAAAGGAAAACATATCTTCACAATAGGAGAGCGCTGACGCTGACACGGCACAAGTGTAATCTAGAAATTTTTGAAGGAGAGAAAAGAGTATGACAATCAAGGAGGTCATAAACGCGCCCTACAATTGTAGGGACGACTGACGATTCGGGCCTTGGACTATACGACAATGAATGACGACTTTTTTTACTTTTCACTTAATTGTCCGTGTTGCCTGGACGTCATGAGGCTTGTTATCAATCTTTGGCTCTGATGTGATGTAAAATCTCATTACTGGATGTCTAAGCTTTAAGTTGTATGTGTTGATGATAATGAAATTGGCTTCTTGTCTCAAATACACTTAATTGAGATTCAAAACTAGAAATTAGTTTCGCATCCACTTTTTCTTATCCATTCTGGAAATTACATATACAAATTTGCTGAATTTCAAAAATGAGAGAGTTAAGAAATAATTATATTCACTGTACACTGTCGAATTACAAGCCATATACATGCTAACAGTAATTACACACATCGTGGTCGCGGTGATGATTTCCCGTAATTCTCCTCAGTTTTTCGTAATTTGCAACTTTGAACATAACCTCTCTTCAGAAAGCACAACATATAAATAACCCGTCATATTCAGTAATGATTTTCTCACACAGCAAATATCACTGATTTTAAACGCATGCAGATCAATACACATAATCATCCAGACGCGATCTTGTTATTCAACCAACTTTCTTCTCAGAGATAAAAACTACAGACACGGATCACTCAGCCTCACAAAACTATGCAACCAATAATGCGTGTATAGTTTAGTTGAGTAATTCCTTCATAGATGGACGTTCACAACGATCCTAGTGCGCAAAGCTGGAATGACTGTTTACGCCCTAAAAACTACATGGTCGGCAAGTTGACATCTTGTAGGGTTTTTTTTGACGTTTTGTAGGTTTTTTACATGATACCCGTGCCGTTTCTGGCTTGACGTCGATCTCTGGGACACTCTTTATGGACGTAACGTAAAAAGAATTAAACATTCAATTGTATAACCGTTCTAGGGATGAACACAAGATTTGAGTTTTGTTTTCGAGTTTTTTTTTTAAAGTTGACCAGCGGCCCAATATTGAAAGGAATGTCACTTTGCCCCTAAGAAACTGGCAGCTACATATAATCTGTTTTGAGCAATTTTCAACTTGTAAAGTGAAAACAATTCAAGTTTTATGGATATTTTTAGACTTCTTGAATTGATAAAAAATAGTGCATAAAACATTGTTTACCCATTGAAGAGCTTGAAAGTAACATAACCGTGTTTTTCTGAATAAAGTTCGCCATATTACACTTTTGCAGCGAAAAAATATTTTTTGTGTTTCTCAATATTTTTGTGTTGCACGTTGATTAAAAAATAATGGAGGACACATTTACTGACGGCTCAGTTTTTTTTTTTGAAAAACGCTCAGACCCGTCGATTTTGTTTTCGAGGGGGACACAAGTTTGGCAAAAAATCACGTTAGCACGTGCAGCCCCCTAAGCGGGGGTGGCACCACCCCCAAAATCTTAAATGGAAAGGGGGGTCGAGCGATACCTTATTTTAAAGGTCTTTCAATTCCCTTTATAATGATATAAAATTAATGTACTTCAGTTCAGTAGTTTTGAATATTTATTGATTTAAAGCTTAAATAAAACTAATACATCATCATTAATGGAGATCAATACATTTGGCAAAAATGAAGAATGAACTGACACGTTAGGCAAGTAAATGTTGAAAATGGCCACCATGACTCTCCATGCAATAGTAAAGATTTTGCTCAAAACGTTGCCGCACATTTTGCAATATTTGAAGAGTAATTTGAAGGCACTCATTCACAATTCTTTGTCGCAGGTCTTCTAATGATGATGGCTGAGTAGCATAGATTTTGCTATTTAAATGACCCCACATAAAGAAATCCAAAGGTGATAAATCTGGCGATCTTGGGGGATATTCAATGGCACCTCTTCCACCAATCCATCGATCGGAAAACGTCTGATCTAAATATTGTCGAACACGTAATGCGTAATGTGGTGGGGCACCATCCTGTTGGAACATCAACCTATTCCCAATGTACCGCCGATCATTCTGGTTTTCAATTGTGGCTGTTAATGCAGGATCTATGGCGCCTTCCAGTAATTCCAAATACATTTCACCGGTCAAATTTCCAGGAAAGAAAAAAGGACCAACTAAATGATCGCCAAAAATACCAGCCCAAACATTTAATTTTTGTGGCTGCTGTGTATGAACCTCATGATAAATCCTGGGATTAGAATCGGACCAATATCGGCAGTTATGTCGATTTACTACGCCATTTAAGAAAAATGAACATTCGTCGGAAAAGCAAGTGTTGAATAGAAAATGTTCATCGTTTATCATTCGTTCACTCATATCTTCACAAAATTGTAATCGCCGATCAAAATCGTCTTCATTAAGTTCTTGTACCAGGTGAATTTTATACGGATGAAAACTGTGTGCCTTCAGAATCCGTTGGACAGTACGTCGACTTACACCACACATAGTTTCCAATTTGCGGGTACTTAACGTAGAATCTACATAAACTTGCCCTAAAACCCCCGACTTCTATTGCTTCGTTCCTTATGGGATTTTCAATGTTGCCTTTTTTATTGGCGACTGACCCAGTTTCCCGAAATTTAGCTACAAGTTCTAGAACATATTTTCGATGCACGTTACTGTTCTGATATCGCTCATTTAATATTTCTGCTGTTCTATTAGCGCACTGATTATTTCCGAAAAATATTTCGATAATTTCAACTCTTTGTGGTGTGGAATATACCATGGATAATTTATGTAATAAAGCGTTACAAGTTATTTTAGCAACAAAGTTTGGTCAAATCAATCGCAAACTATGTACTAAATTCCTATTTAAAATAAGTACGAGATATTTCCTTATCTTTCTTCAAGAAACGCTCCAATAGCTATTTTCAACAACAAAATGATAAACAAACCATGGGCGTAGTGAAGAAAAGCATTTACTTATTAAGTAAATTCTTTTAGTCAAATTTCTTCTGAAAATAGCACAAACTAATCTGATGTACCTATTAAAGTCTACTTTAAGCTTTAAATCAATAAATCTTCAAAACTACTGAACTGAAGCTCATGTATTTTACATCATTATAAAGGGAATTGAAAGACCTTTAAAATAAGGTATCCCTCGACCCCCCTTTCCATTTAAGATTTTAGGGTTGGTGTCACCCCCGCCCAGAGGGCTGCACGAGTTAACGTGATTTTTTGCCAAACTTGTGTCCCCCTCGAAAACAAAATCGACGAGCCTGAGCGTTTTTCCAAAAAAAACTGAGCTGCCACTAAATGCGTCTGTTTCGTTTTCGATGCGCCACCCTGTATATGCTCAGTGTTAGACCCAGAAAAAATAATAATAATAAAATATAAGTTAACAATATTATCAAAAAAAAAATAAAAATAAATGTGGGGGTTCCAAACGGAATGTATTATTGGTAGATCTCTTCTGTCTCACGAAAGTATATTGTGGTTCTGAAAAGAAACGATTTTTTTTTTCGTTTAACTTGTTTCGTAGTAACTGCTGCCAAATGTTTAGCCACCGAATCCGTACAAAATGCATGCTTGTCTCTTTAACGCATATGCAACGTCTAACAGTCTTGCTTTTAGCGTGCTCGATGTAAGTGACTGCGTCCCTGATCACGTTTTCTAAGAAGACTTTCAACACTCCTCGAGTTTCTTCGTAAATCAATCCGGATATACGTTTCACTCCTCCACGTCGCGCTAATCTTCCTATGGCCTGGGTCGTAATCAACCTGGATGTTCTCCCTCAAAACTTTCCGACTTGTCACGGCAAAACATGAACGCCTGCTTTTCGAAGAAAGTTCGTAATACGACGAGCAATATGGGGACGTGTGGTCTTGCTGAAAAGGGACGTGTGGACGGCCCTCTAGATACGGCAGTAAAGTGGTTTGTAGGATATTGTCAACAAAACTCGCAGCAGTCATATTGCCTTGAACAAAGAGAAGGGGTGATCGGCTACCATAGGCAATAGCCCCGCAAATCATTACTCCAACAGTCCTGTGTACATGCCTCAGCAAATTCAATATCACGCCGCCGTTCTCCACGGCATCTTACCCTTCTGCGACCATCGTATGTACCTAGACATAATCGCGATTCGTCGCTGAAGATGACATGATGCCGTTCTCCGCTCCAATTCAAACGTTTATGACAGTGGTCCGCAGTCAGAGATAGCACCAACCGTGGTTGGTATGAAAAAAGCCTATCTTGACGCTCTGTGGTACTCGTTGGTGGATCAGTTTGCCTTCTTCGTATTTCTCTACCTTCTTCTATCCACACACGTATTACTGTCAACCAACATAATTTTACCCCTGTCAAAGTTCCTAACATGGTGATAATTTGGACGTCTTCGAACTCGTGGCATTTTGTTATGCTTAACGCTAGTAAATGAAAGGGCAATAACTAAAAATGTACTACTCGGCTCTTAGAAACTGCTTTCTTCACAAAAACTAAGAGATAACATTTTAACAAAGGTAAACAAAAACAAAGATAAAACGTTGACATGCATGCTTTATATAGAGTCATTATGTTGCCAAAAAACAAGTTGAAGAAATTATTTTTTCTGGGTGTGATGTCACTGAGAATACTTATAGTTTATTCAGTTCCCCAAAAGGTACGAAAATAACGCTCTTGAATTTTTGCAGGGTATTGCCATTAGAAGACGTAAAATACTCGATAGCAGTCGACTTCGATCCCTTAGAAAAGTACATTTACTGGTCAGATGACGAGGTGAAAAAAATCCAGAGATCCAGGCTGGATGGCAGTGAGCAAGAGGACGTGATCGTTACTGAAATCCAGGATCCAGACGGCTTAGCAGTCGACTGGATATCACAGAATATCTACTGGACGGATACAGGCACTGACAGAATTGAAGTTGTGAGGTTGCATGGTGGATATAGGAAGGTTGTTGTCATGGATAAACTGATAGATCCGAGAGGTAACTTTGTTTTTACGTTTTGCTGTCATTTATGAATGAAACTCTTCAAATGTATGTACCAATGCTTCTAAAGATACATAATTGTACCTTTGTTAATAAGAAGTACAAGTATATCCTGCTTTTATGGAAGTTTTGCCAATGAGCTAAAAAAATTCATCTTGTTGCTATTTGACGGTATAATTTGCTGCCACTGGGAAGAAGCTGACTTCCAATAAACAAAGGTCCTACTAAAAAACCTAAAAACTAGAATCTTAAAGCTTCAAAATGATATTTTTAAAGTCTACAGACGATCATTTTTCACCGAAATACGACCTGTCAAAAATCACTGAAACATTTGGATTTTTTCTTGCTCTCTTAAGGCGGCTCCGACGCAGTGAGTTTCAAGCCATTTACAAGGGTTCAGCTGCTTCCAAACTGACACTCCATTTTTCAATATTTTCGAATGAAATTTATACAGTATGTTGAGAAGATAATTGCCCAGGGTGCTATAGGACCCCTTTTTGAAATTTTGTTTTTACACTAGTTTTATGGTGGGTTGAAGTGCGCACTTTTTCTACTCAACTCCGCGATTTTTTTAAAAAGAACTTAGTGAAAAAAATGAAAAAGTGGCTCTATAGCACCCTGTGGGGTTTTGTTTTCAGCACTCTGGGAAAATTTCATCCAAAAATATCAAAAAATAAAGCGTCAGTTTCGAAGCGCGCAAACCTCTACAAATCGTATTTTGGACGAATTTTGTCTACTGTTTCGTGCTGCCAACCCAAGCGTTGCGGCGCAATGCACGGACTAAGAAAGGACGTATTCAGATAATTTGTTGGCCCTATTTCATATAATATCGCGTAGATAAGGTTCTGCAAATAGGTACTCATAATCGCGATCTCTGATACTCCTCGATTTTAAAGCCGTTTTACTTCCCACGTCATTGGCGAGGAAGTATTGTAATCGCGAAAAATTTCTAAAATGAGATGTAATGTTTTTTAAGTCATATGAAAAACTGTATCACTCATCAACTTGTAAATAACCGCTCAGATTTTTTTATGAAATTTCCACATGGGGTTACTAGTATGCCAAAGCTTTGTAATTTTAGTCCAGTAGTAACGGTGCTATAGGCAAAAAAGAAAAAGTAACAATTGCTGAAACTCCGTTTTTGACGTTACAGGGGTTCCTTATCGTTGACAGAAAAAAATTGTACTGCTTAAAAAGTGGGGGTTGGGGGAAGGGTCTAAATGTTGCATCTTTGATATCAGTGAAACACGTTCTATTATTAAGAAGCTTCTGATCCCAGTGATTACAAGAAATTTAAGTAATTAAAATCCGACGAATAATGTGCTCACGATTTGAATAAATCGGTACCTGCTCTATAGGTTTGAGACCAAGAGCCAACAGATCTATCTGCAACTGCCGACAGTATTGAAGAATGAATTCGAATATCACTCCAGTCAAGTATAGGGGAATTTAGAGCGGAACTTTAAAATTGTCGATATTTCAAGGAAATATGTTTTTGAGAACCATAATAACCTGCATTTTCATTTGAATTTCATGACCCGTGAAATGTACTCATTTCGCCGTTATCTTCAACTTGTGTTCTGCAGTTTGTGATGTTTTTCTGAATATAAGCAGGACATAATTGCCTAAGGTGCTATCAGAGCTTTTTACAAAATTTTGTCTTTGCGCAGGAATTATGGTGGGTTGAAATGCTTACTATTTGTCCTAGTGGATAAAATTGAAAAAGTGGATCGTTAGCACCCTGTGGACTTTGTTTTTAGCACGCTGCAAGAGTTTCATTTGGAAATAATGAAAAATGAAACGTAAGCTGTGAAGTGCAAATCGGTTTTTGGGCGAAATTCGCCTACTGTTTCGTCCTGCCAGTCCAAGCGACGCGACGGTGCGTTCCGACTAAGAAAAAATGTATTCAAATAATTTGATACATTTCCTAAAATAAATTCAAGAACTCAAATTAAAATTCGTTTATTCATGTCAGTAAACACAATTATGTTTACAAGGGTCATGTGGTACATGGTAACAATTCAATGGGGGTTATAAAAATATCTGATGCCCTCAAAATAAGAGGAAACAGTTAGGTAGTTTTTGCAAAGCAATAAACAGGTAGGCTTATACCTGGATTAAGTACATTTCTTGTCTACTGTAATAGGTAGATGGAGGCGATGCTGCCAGAAATGGATGTGTGCGATCAATAAACAAACCACAAGACTGAACAGCTGTGTCCAATGATTTTTGTATTGCCTTTTTTATTGCCTGACTAGAAAACTCTGTTGGGTATATGATGTAGTTTACTAGAACTTTACAGCTTGTGTCTGCCTTCTTCTACAAACTTCACCAAATCGAGACGCTGTCAACCTTATCCTCCGATGAAGGCGCGACAAAGTACAGTCCTGTGATTTGGTGACTTGTTCGATCTGCAAAATCTCGACGTCACTTTTTTAAGTTTCCCTAAAAATTTTCGCTTAGCAACCTCCAAATCAATGTAGTTAATGTCAGGTTTTTGATTAAATTCGCCATAAAACTATTAATTTTCTTTGGAAGTGCTATCCGAATTGTTAGTTATTTTTATATCATCTTTTTTTGGTCTGAGTTTCTTTTCAAGATTCTTGCGTTTGAGTCTTTGTTCCATCTTAGCGATAAGCGAGGTTGAACTATGTTAAGCTTAGAACGCAAATCTATTTAGACCACATATGCAGACCGCTGGATATTCTGGCTCACTACAGCTGCAGCACATCTTCCATGGTATGACCTCTTCTTGCAATAATTTATTCGCTTACCCCAATGTATTTTGCGATTATAGAGTTGACCAGCTCCACACTATTGTTGACCTCATCATGAATTAAACTCACTGCATTCGTAATTAAAATGGTCGCATATGGCCCTTTATTGTCCATTATCAACCTTGATAAAAAAAGGCACTCAAGAACAATCACACCAACAACAATTCAACAACACAATATGACGAACAGTAACAAGGGGAGAAAAATATTAAATGATCACTTGCTGAGTATCAAAATAAGAAACGATTTACATTCTAGATCGCTAATCGAAATCCGACTCTGTTATTATAAAAATTTACCTTGGTATGTACCCGCAGTCATCCTTTCCTCTTTTAAGGTAGCGCCGACGACCGTCAAGGGCCAGCCTACCCTCGTTTCCTTTTCACCCCCCGTTACCTCAGAGATGGTGCTCGTGATTGTAAGAGCCCCGTTAATTCTTTTGAGTAGTGCATATTTGTCGCAGCTGTCGTTATAAGTTAGTGTGAGAGTAATAAATTAGCCTTTGAACAGTAAAAATTATGTTTTCGTTGCAGTATTTACGTGAACATACCTAGTCAAATTTCTATTCCATTTGAGTCTTTTGGATAGACTTGACCCATTATTTCGTGTCAGAAGCTGTAACATTGATATGGCAAGTATAGAGGCAATCTGTTTTACACATTTTTTTTCTTTGTTGCAGGTATTGCCGTTGCCGCAAGCTTAGGTTGGCTATTCTGGTCAGACTGGAACGAAAAAGAACCCAAAGTGGAGCGCTCCAACTTGGACGGATCGGAAAGGACCCAAATCGTCACGGAAAGGCTAGGATGGCCCAATGGGATCACTCTCGATTTGGACACGATGAAAATCTACTGGTGCGACGCGAAATTGGACAAAATCGAGTACGCTAATATGGATGGTACCGAGAGGAGAGAGTTGATCAATGATAATGTGCCGCACGTGTTCGGTTTCAGCTTGATGGGTGATTACCTGTATTGGACTGATTGGCAGCGGAGAGCTATCGATAGGGCGCATAAGCAGACAGGTAAGGTTTGAAAATTGTTGACGATTTTAATTTTTGTGATTTCGATATGTAATTGTATAGCGAATGGAAGTCCGAATTGCGATATTTGAACAGTTTTTATAGTCGGATGGTTATAATTTATACAGGGGGTACTTAAAGTTCTAACTTTCTTTTATACAGTGTACAGTTCTTTTAATAAGCAAATTTTCTTACCAACACATATGTATATCAAAACATTGAGATAACCGAGATATTATCTACCGGAAAAATCTGAACATTCCAACCTGGTCCAAAATAGTACGATGTGTTTTTGTACCCAAATCAGGCACCGCGCGTTGGGTAGATTAACTTATTTTGAAATCGGATTCGTAAAACCGAAATTGGCACATTCCTACATAGTCCAATAAAGGGTGAGCTTTTAGTGTGGGCTCGGTCAATAACTATGTTATTCCTGATTCTTTATATAAAAGTTTATTACAAAAATTGTAGCCAATAATATGCTCCTCAACTAGAAAATATTTGTATGTCTACAGGGCGATTCAATGCGGTGACCCAAATATGCATTTTTTTTTATGGAAAGCATTACCTTTTATTGCAGATTTGGATACAACTTTTTAAACAAAGCAATTTGACAATATATCCAATTAAAGACTGTAGTTTGACAATTCGCACCCCTGCAACTGTTCCTAATCTGCTTGCTCTTTCAGTTTATACAGGGGTGGTCATAAACGCAAAACGAAAGATTTCTCAAAAATTTAAACGGAACACCCTATGCATTTTCATATTCCTTTCCACAAGCTTTTTTTATATAAGGCTATGTCCGACCGGTTTTTTCAGATCGTTGGGATATTGGACAATTCATGAAAAAAAACACTCAACTTTGACAACACATACCTCGACAACTGTTATAGCTAGAATACAAATCTTTCCTTTAAAAAAAATTATGATGCCATATTTTCTTCTTGACCGTTTGCTCTTTCGGTTTTTTTGGACAGTTGATACAGGGTGGTCATAAACTCGAAATGAACGATTCCTCAAGAATTTTAAATGGAACACCCTGCGTATTTTCACACTCCTTGATTCCCCTTTAAACAAGCTTTTTTATATGGCTTTTGGGGGTTTGTAGGACCGTTTTTTTTTCAGACCGTTGAGATATTGGAAAATTAATGAAAAAAAAAACACTCAACTTTTACAACACGCACTTCCGCAACTGTTATAACTAGAATTCTGAATTTTTCGTTAAAAAGTTTTATGATGCAATATTTTGTACCAACCCTCGTGCTCTTTCAGTTTTTTGAACAGTTATACAGGGTGGTCATAAACGCGAAATGAACAATTTCTAAAAATTTGATATAAGGCTTTTTGGGCTTTGTACGACCATTTTTCGATATTGGTGGGATATTTCACAATTAATGAAAAAAAAAACTCAACTTTTACAACACGCATCTCGGCAACTGTTATAACTAGAGTACTGAATTTTTCTTTAAAAAATATATGATGCTATATTTTGTCCCTATCCGTTTGCTCTTTCAGTTTTTGGAAGAGTTTATACATTTATCAAAAATTTTAAATGGAACGCCCTGTGCATTTTCACATTCCTTGATTCCACCTCCACAAGCTTTTTTAATATAATGCTTTTAAGGCTTTGTACGACCGTACGACCGTAATTGAGGGGCCTGGAAGTAAGAGGGTTTAAGTACATTTTTAGTAGTTCTGAGATAAATGGCTTCAAAGTTTACTTGAATTTGAAAATTCCAGGAATAAATTTATCAAAGTGTGATACTATACTAAGTTTATTTAAATTCCAATAAAACATTACAAACAAAAAACATTTTCTTAATTTTGCTTTTTTATTGTCATTTTTGCAAAAATGTACTTGAATCATTATACATGTTACAAAAATTATGGTGGTAACATGATTCAAGTGCAACTACCGTACTAAACCAAACATTATTTAAAAATAATCTATAACAAAATTTATTATTCATAATCAGAATCTAATATTTGGATGTCTTCATCATTTTCTTCATCTGAGTTAGCTGGTCTTGGTTGGAGTTCATCTATATCAGGTACTTTTTGGCTTGATGCCAGGGTCTGTGTTTGTTTCTTTTTTCCTTTTTTTGTTAATGCTTTCCCATTGTGCTTCATGTTTTTATAAAATGTATGGTGAATGAGCGTAATGTATTCCAATAAGCTAAGCAAGTTTTTGTACTTGGCAATTTTAATCTTTATTGAAGTGCCATTCAAAGGCGTATTGAAAAGTTAAAACACGGACGCCCAACTTTTGAGGTTGCCATTAAGCAACTGCTAAACTCTACATCAATGTTTAGGGTACTCTTGTATCGAAATGTTAGTCTTTCACTTTTATAGTAAGCAAACCAGCAAATTTCTTTCCATTTTAAGGGGTAACCGTCACTATTTTTTTTTTTTTGATCATTCATAATTTCATTGAACGAAAGAGTAAACATCGTCTTTGTTCATATTGTACACAATAAATTTGGGCGATGTGCCTCTTATTACAGTCTCCCAATCTGCGGGGACAAAAACTTGAGGGATTTGCCTTTTTTTCTTCTAGATTAAGCCAAAACTACGGTCACATTCCATGTAAGTGTGCCCGGTTTCAAGGAACTTGTGATGAATCTCAGATATATGCGTAGCTTGAACAATAAAACTAGATAGTTTAGCAATGTTTTTATTCTTATTTTGTCCTCCACATGAATCACTGTATGCAATAATCTTCGTAACTGTAGATGGAAGGCTTTGCACAAATTTTATTAAACATGATCCTATCTCCTGTGAGCCCCTGGATGCAATAGTTTCGTTCCATACATACATATAACTTTTTCCAGTCAGTAAGTCAAAGACACAGAAATTATACGTCCATAATTGACGAAGATAAAATACTTTAGAGGTGGTAAACAATGGCGTCGGCAAGGCCTGTTGCAAATCAAAACAAATTACAGCCGTATTTCTGGAATCATTTATATTTTCAGCAATATCAGCTTTTTTGGCATCTGTTGCTTTCTGGGCCTTTCTTTGGTGCAGCTCGAGGTCTTGCTTGGCATTTTTAATCACGTCTTCATTTGTGGAATATTTTATTAAAATTTTGTAAATTGTCACGACTGCAGGTATCACTATAGGGCTTGTGGAATCTTAAATTGAATTCCGTATTGAAAATATGCCTGGACTCTTTTACCGGTAATTCTTGTTTGTCAATATAAAACTTCCCAATCAGTACTCATTTTGTTTATTATTATAACACTACCAACACTGCAAAATGCGTATTTTTAACTAAGAATAAGTAAAACGTTGAAATCACGTCACACGTAAAACATTAAAAATAGTTGCCAAAGCCTTAGAAGTAAAATGGTTCAAGTGTACTTGAATCATTTTACCACATACTGTATTAGTGGATATTTTGATATGTTCTCAAAGACTATGAGAGATGGCGCCAGGGAACGTTGCCTGCATTTAAATCATTTTACCACCAAGTTAGGATATGCTTTAGGTATGATATTCTGCACTTAGACCATTTAATTAAAAAAGTGCACTTGAACCTTTTTACTTCCAAACCCCTCAATTGATGAATTTCTCGTTAAATCAATTTTATGATTCCATATGTTATCTTATAACATTTCCAGTTTTTTATGATAGTTTATACAGAACCCAAAACGAACGATTTCTCAAAATTTTCAAAAGGATCACCTTGTATATTTTCACACTGTTTGATTTCCAGCACAAAAAACTCACCCTACTGATATATTCACGAAACGGGATTTGGTTTAGATCGAAAATACCCATGTTTGAACTTCTTTAGGTATAATACGCCTTAAAACTTCAAATCAATCTTCTGATTTACCTTGCAGGCGCCAACAGGGAAGTGATAGTCGACCAGATGGAAAACATCATGGGCTTGAAAGCCATCAAACTGGATCCTCCACAAGGCACCAACCCATGTCAAATCAACAACGGCAACTGCTCCCAGCTTTGCTTGTACCGTCACAACCAGTCCAGAATCTGCGCGTGTCAGATCGACTTCGAATTGACAGAAGACATGAAAACGTGCGAGAAACCTGAAGCATTCTTGCTGTACGTGAAGAAGGATAGTATAGGAAGGATTGGGATCGAGAATAAGAATAATGAGGTGACTATTCCTATTGCGGGCATCAAACAGGCCAGGTAAGACTCATTTTTGTGTGGACATTAGCATGTTTTTATTATTTTCAGTTCCTAGGGCACTGGGCAAAGAAGTATTGTAATCGCGAAAATTGTTGAAAATGAGACATTATGGTTTTTGGATGTTATATGACATGTACATCACGAAAAACCATGTCACTCATTTCCGTCGGTCTATCCGCTAATCCTTGTACTGCCTATAACTTGGAAAGTACATTCGGACTAAAAAAATATTTCTCAAAATCAGGAGCTTCGGAAACGACAAAAAACGAAGTTTGAGCGAAGTGTGTTTTATTTCGTTTTTGCCGTATAGCTATGCCGCCCCGGACCGATTTTCAAGAACTACAGAGCTTTTTCGCCCTTTGCATCGTAGTAACCTTGTGCGAAAATTTCATCCAAATCGGAGCGAAGTTATAGACGGGTCAAGGATTAGCGGTCAGACAGACGGACAGACTGACGGAAATAAGTCACATAAATCTCATTTTCGAAGGTTTACGTGACGACAATACTTCTTCCTCGGTAAGCGTGGGAAGCAAAAAATGTATTTTAAATTCGTATATTTTTAAATCCCCTGCACTTCCAGCCAAATAAATCAGGTGATAGGATGTGATTTTTATTTCGAATAACGAGAGAACTTCAATCAAACCTCCTTGGTAGAAGTACAATAACATTAGATGTTAGATCTTTGTGATAATGTTATTAGGACAGTTGACAAAAAGTTAGCAACAGCAGTGGTATCAATTGACTATTCCAAAGCATTCGATCGTATAAATCATAAACTTTTGTGCGCCAAGCTGAGGTATATAGGCTTCGATGATGCTGCTGTCAGTTTTTTTCCGTAGCTATTTGTCTGGTCGCACGCAATGTGTCGCAATCAATAACGATCAATCCAATATTACGACTATTCCGTCAGGAGTTCCGCAAGGCTCAATTTTGTGACCTGTGCTCTTTTTGATTTACACGTGTGACCTGCATAAAGCAGTTGACAATTCAGGGATACAAACATTTGCTGACGATACTCAAATAATATTCCATTTCGACGCCTCAGATACGCAAAATTCATCAGACATTTTACAGCTTGATTTAGATAAGGTACATCAGTTTTCTATGGAACATAATTTTGCTATTAATCCAGATAAGACACAAGTGTTATTGTTTTGTTCTGATCAGAAGAGGAAAACTGTCGAAGATTCTTTCCATCTGACTATTGATGGCATAACATTACAGCATACTCAAACAGCTAAGGTACTAGGAGTGGAAATTGACACAAAATTAAGATTCCGCAGCCAAATAGCTAATTTGATGAAAAAAACTAGGGCTCTTTATTCCAATCGCTACTTGCTTAACTTTAAGCTCAGAAAAAAACTGTGTGAATCGTTGGTGATGTCAATGCTCAGTTACTGTGATGTCGTTTATTATCTATGTTTGGATCAATTGACCAAAAATCGTCTTCAAATCATCCAAAATAACTGTGTTCGCTTTATTTATGGGTTGCGTAAATACGATCACGTAAGTGATAAATATAGGGAATTGAACTGGCTTAGGTTAGGAAGTTTAGTTAAACATAAATTCTTAGTTTTAGTTCATAAAATAATATTATCAAAGCCTGAATATCTAAGAGGTAAGTTAAGATTTAATTAGGGCTGTTAGGAATCGTTATAGTATCAGAACCACCCCACACACTTCTGCATTATTCCAACGAGGATTTACATATAATGCAGCACTATTTTATAATCAGTTGGACAACAGTATTAAATTGATGTCTTTGGAAAGTTTTCGTAAACATACTAAAAGCATGTTGCTCGCTATTGATTAAATAATCATTTCTGCTACAGATATAGATTGTGTCTATTTGTATTTTATACTTAGGTATATATGTGTTCTTTTTTTCATTGTTCTTATATTTTTTTTCCATGTTTTGAACATCAGATGTAACCGACATAAACAGTTAAGTGTAAGAGTAGCCTTTGCTAAACTTCGCAGTTTATGTCCCTCCGGGTTATCCAATAACGACGTTATTATTATTATTATTATTATTATTATTATTATATTAGCAAATTTCCCCGAAATAATTGCGGTTTTATTGGTGAAAATTGTTCAAGTGCGCATTTTAAACATGGACGCATAAAATTATTACACCAATTTTTGTCACACCGAGTCGCGGATGCGATATGCATTGCGTTTCTGGAGTTCCTCCGTGAATGCTTCAAAGTTATTTCGAAGTCAAAAGAGAATTATAAGGTGCATAGCAGGTGTTGACAGTATATACAGGGTTTGTCCGGAAAGTAATAGGACTGAATCGATTTAAAAAAAATTTATTGAGCCAATCGATGCAGCGCTGGCAGCGCGATTTCCAAGCATTGAAGGCGTCACGGAAGGCATTTTCCGGAATAGCCTTGAGAGCCGCGGTGCATGCTGCTTGGATCCCCTCTGTCGTCTCAAAATGCTTGCCTTTCATCGGCCTTTTCAGGCGAGGAAACAAAAAAAATTCCGGGGGCCACATCTGGGCTGTAGGGCGGCTGCGGAAGCGTTGGGATGCCGGCCTTGGTCAGGTAGCTGTTCACAAGGGGGTGTGAGCCGGGGCGTTGTCGTGGTGCAACTTCCAGTCGGCTGCGATGTCTTGTCGGACCCGACTGACCCTTCGTTTGAATCTCCTGAGCACTTCCACGTAAAACTTGGCGTTGACGGTTTGTCCAGGAGGAACAAATTCATGGTGGACGATGCCTTTGATGTCAAAAAAGACAATGAGCATCGTTTTCACTTTGGATTTGCTCATTCTTCCCTTTTTTGGGCGAGGAGACGCCGTCGTGTGCCACTCGGAAGATTGCCTGTTTGTCTCGGGATCATACTCAAAGATCCATGACTCGTCACCTATGATTACGTTATTCAAAAATTGGTAGTCACTTTCACACATGTTCAAATTTTCTTGGCACACTTCCACTCGCCGCAATTTCTGGTCGTCAGTGAGCACTTTTGGGACCATCTTCGCGCACACCTTGCACATGTTCAAATGCGGTATCACAATGTCATGAACCACAGATTTTGGTAAATTTAACATCTGGGCAATTAAACGAATACTTAGTCGCCCTCTACCGAATCCAGTCGGTGCGCTCATGCTCCGAAGTACAGTCATAGCGGAAGAAAATAAGTCATATTACTTTTCGGACAAACCCTGTACAGTTGCAGATACTTGTTTCGGAAATTAAAAATTCTAACACTGCACTCGTTGTTTCTTTATGAAATGGTAATATGACTTTGAAGTTGAGTCATTAATTTTCAGATAATGATTGTAGAAGGAAGATAAACCAAAATATGTGTGTAAAAATAAAAAAAAAATTAAAAAAGAATGTTACCTTGTTTTATAAAGTATCCTCCCCCCACAATTATTTCAGTGCGGACCTGTATTTGATCGTGCGGTCTTGGAGCACCGGCATGCGCTCCCCTGTGAGGTCTTAAGTCACACGAGCCCTTTGTAAGGCACGAGGGGTTGGTTGCACTCGATTGGGAAACCGATCCGCATAAATCCGTGATGCCGCGTAAATAAGAATCATGTCCACAAGTTCAGCATTTTCGTAAACATGTGCCATTTTTGATTTCGTTTGAGCCACGCAACAGACACCACTATTCACTCACGCGTTACCGACTGACACTGACTGTATACAACTGAATAAAATAATTGTAAAAACATCGTTCCAAATTCTTTCGCTTTTTTGTTTCCGATGCGATGAACCGATAAGGCGGATTATATCCGTTATTGCCAAACACGAGCACATAATATTATTATTGAGACAGGGCGGTACTCAAACTTCCAAAGGGCTATAACTTTGTTACTTTAATTTTATCAGAAAAATGGTAAAGGAAAAAACATTTCTTTTGATCAGATCTACTCACTGTTAAAATAAATGACTCAACTTCGAAGTCACCCTGTATACGTATATTAACAGACATAATTTCACCTTGAATAGTAATATACATACATTCAATACTCGTAGGCAGCACGACATTCATCTACCCTTTGCTCGATGTAAGGTGGGTAGTAGATCTCCCTATATTTTAGGACCAAATATATTAAATAAGCTGCCTGAGTATATTAAGACAATTAGCTCCTTAAATAATTTTAAAGCTGAGTTAAGAACCTACTTTATTAATAAGACTTGTTACGCCATCAGTGACTTTGTGGATATTTAGATGTTCTTTTTTTGCATTGTTTGTTCTTTTATATATTTTTATATTGTATTTCTGTTATTTTATTAATTTTAACTGCTGGAAAGCTAATCTATTTTATCTGCTGTTGTTTGCATATGGTGTCCACAGTCAGAATGAACGCGGAATAGTTAAATTTGAACAAATGGGTGTTGCTTGCAGCAATGTCAATAAACTCGTTTTTGGTCAGTAAAAACATTCATGTGGCTCCTCAGCCTCCTTATTCGGCTGACTTGAGTCCTTGTGACTTTTTTCTCTTCCCGAAGCTGGATAATTACCTCAAAGGACCAGCTGAAAACTATTCCAGTATTCCAGCACTACTTTGAGGAGTGGAAGAACCATCTCCAGCGCCGAATGGCTTCGGAAGTTAAAAAGTTAAAAAAAAATCAGTCTCATTACTTAGTTTACATACCTCGTATGCTTTTTGGAAGCAAAAATATTGAAATAGCAAATGCGAGATAATGACATACAGTTATCTTAACACAGAAAGTACATATATTATGCCATTTTATCTAAATACAATTGCTTAACCTTACGAATAAATATATTTACAGACGTCGCTTCTCTAATTTCTGTAGGTAATGCATTAAAAAGTCTCAAACCATCACTAAAAAGACATTTTTGCATATGGGATGTTCTAGCGAATTCTATGTCAAAAGTGTTACGCGACCTGATATTATATGCATGCCTCTCGGTCCTCGGTATTAGATATTCCTGCAAGTATTCAGGCAATAAATGATTTTTTGTTTTAAAAATAAATAAGACATTTGACATTTCAACCTTTTGCTGTATTGAAAGCCATCCGAGGGTTTTTAACATTAAATTAATAGGCGTATAACGTGTACAAAATAATATAGTGCGCATAGCCTTATTTTGTAGTAACTGGAGCCTTTGAATATCAGTTTTTTTGCATGATGGCAACAATGAAAAACAATAATTAAAATGTGGATATATGATGGTATTATATACAAGAAGACGACTCCAGTGACTAAGACTTTCAGATATTCGCCTAAAAAATCCTATTTTTTTCCCAATTTTTTTACTAACATAATCAACATGCAATGAAAAATTTAGCTGAGGATCTAAAACTACGCCCAAATAATTCATACTAGATGCACTTTCAATTTGAATATTATCTATCTCAATACAAAATTTCTTTTCTAAAAATGTATTACAGTTCTGCTTTGTCCCAAAAACCATGTATTTTGTTTTTTCTACATTCAACTTAAGCCTATTCACACATAACCAGTTATACAGAGTTTCCAGTATTGAGTTCATACTATCTACAACTTGTCTAAAATCCTTACCGTACACATAAAGCAATGTATCATCTGCAAATAAGCTCAGAAATGTATTTACTAAAACCCTGTTCAAGTCATTTATATAAAGTAGGAACAAAAGCGGGCCCAACACACTACCCTGAGGTACCCCAATTTCACTATCAATTGAATTTGACGCCACATTATTAATCTTCGTCACATGACAATGGTCTTTCAAGTAGTTCATAAACCATTTTAGTGCACTGTCTGTAATCCCATAGGTCTGCAATTTCTGGATCAGTCTTTTAATATCAATAGTCTCAAATGCACGTTGAAGGTCGATGAATACACTTAACACAATATTCCCGTCATGAATGTATGAACGCCATTTCGAACACACATACTGCAGCGCCGACTCGCACGAGTGTTTTTCCCGAAATCCCGACTGTCCCTTAAACAACAGTTTTCTTGCCTCCAGAAATTCCCGTAACTGCGCACAAACCTCCGTTTCCAAGATTTTGTCTATCACTGGTAACAAGTTAATGGGTCGGTATTGTGCTGGTTTATTTGGTGAGGACACTTTTGGAATAGGCACTATAACACTAGTTTTTATTGCTTTTGGAACTTTTCCTGTTGTAAGGGATGCATTGATCAAGTGAAGTAAAAGTTATCCGAGTACACAAAAAGCCGTTTTCAAAAACTTAACAGTACAAATATCATCCGCTGTTGACTTGTTTTTAAGTTCCATTACCCTTTTTCTAAGTTGATCAATGCTTATAGTGTTGAAGCTTGACAGACCATCACTTAACTGTGGCAATTCTTGAAATGTCGGTGCAACTTTTGGTATTTTGTCGGCTATTTCCTTTATGCTTTTTGCATAAAAATTGTTAAAATTGTCTTGAACAGATCCAGCATCTTCCTCAAATTCAATATTATCATATGACAGAACATTCTTGTTTTTGCTGCCTACAACTTGCTTTAAAGTTTGCCACATTTTTTGGCTATCCCCTTGCATTGGTCAATAGTAATTTCATAATATTTTTTCTTTTCGTTTCGAATAACACGAGCGTAAATGTTCCTTTTTTTCTTATACAGATTCCAGTCTGAATTTACTTTGGTTATTTTAAACTTTTTATAAGCTTCGTCCCTGTCTCTTCGGGCTTGGATTACGAACCTATTAATCCACGGTTGTTTGCGGGTTTGAGTGTTTTCAAGAGGTACAACTTTATTTACAGTTTCTGTAATATTTTTCATAAACTTTTAATATAATAGGTCCACATCTGTTGTTGAATAGTCCCAATCTTTTCCGTAGAGTTCAGCTATAATAGTGTTAATATTTTCCTTATTAAATTTTCGTTTATATTTCATTTCCTCTGTTTTAATCTCATGTTGCACATCCAATACGCAGCCTATAATTCGATGATCTGAAATTTGTGGAAAATCACCCGTGATTTCTTCAAGCAAGTAATTGTTAGTCACAATTAAATCAATCAGGGTGGCTGACGTATTTGTCACTCTAGTGAACTCTTGAACTATTTGTGTAAATCCTGCATCTGATACGATGTTTATTAATTTTTTTGGCTTGGGTTCTCGGTCTCTAAGCGAATATTAAAATCTCCCAAAAAAATACTTTGATGAGTTGTAACCAAATCATCTTCCAGTAATTCCTCAAAAAATTGGAAAAATAAGTCCATGCTACCGTTCGGAGATCTATACAGTGATCCAACAATTATATTTTCCAATCCTAGCTGAACATTTAAGCATAAGAACCAAAAATGGCCGTGACGTACGACATTCTTTACAACTGTAGAAGTAACATTGTTTTTTACATAAATTATCGTTCCCCCTGTATGACAACTTTCAGCATGGGCAATGTAGTGACTATAGCCATTAATATTCAGTTCGCTATCCTCAAAATCCTCCGTAATATGGGTTTCATTAACACATAATATAAGAGGATTCTTATCCAGTACCAGCTGTTTCAATTCATCAACTTTTCGTCTTAGGCCCTGTACATTTATGGACAAACAAATTTCTTGAACATACGTTGATGGCTATTCATATTTTGTTTTAAGCCTAGTCTTTTCCACTTGCCGAAGATATGAAGTACAATTTCGATCAAAAACAGTATGATTATATTCTATATTTTTTATCTTTAAGACATTGCTAATATATGATATTCCGATTTTTGGTAAGTAATCCGTTAAGGTTTCCTGCTAAAAAATTTTTACTGGGTGCGTTCGTTTTCGTCGCCCTTTGTATATATCAGTTTGTGAAAGCATCTGATCGGTTCAACGAACTCTTTAAGATATTGCATTAAGCGCGTATTTGCATTCAAGTTTTTATGGGTATTATGTCATACAATTTATTTAAAGCTGATTACCATACTTGCTAGTTTCAAAAGTAGGATATTGTGCTAACGGAATGTATGTATTACGCATTATCTAATTAACACAGATTTAAAAACGGCAGTTGAGATATTTGGCTGTCAATGAATTGATAGTTTAATTTAATATTTTAAACTGGTGCAAAAAATGCATAATAACTATTCTAGAATTTTTTGAGTTGAATATACAGCACTTTAGCTTGTTTAGTCTGAATTAGAAGGAGATTATTATTATTTGACGCTTACTTCAAATGTAAACCATCGACAAAAAAAATATGCAATATATCTGATTACCAGAACAATAAAACACGCAAAAACTTAAATAAACGTATATTAACAATAAAAAATCATAGCCATCCATTCATCTAATACTCAAATATTCATTAATAAAGAAAGCTAATAGAACTTGTAGGACCTGCTGAAACATTAGGCAACTTTTCATTATCAACAAAATTGACCTTATATTCCATAAAGAGGGAGCATGATGCTTTCATTGATATTCATATATATTTATACATTTTGAAAAAACGAAAAGTTCGTCCCCTAAGGTCTCAGACTTTTGAAATCATATTGTGGTTAAAGTTCAATATTGCCGATCGATTCTCCATGGGGTATTTTTTAGAATTCACGCTTTCTCTTTCTCCTCTCTGTTCATTCCAAATGCCAAATCTTTCATTCTACAATTTTCTCACATCTAAAACCTATGATTACTGTTTTACTACGCTTGAATCACCAAGTCACTGATAGGTAGTTTCCCGAACAACTTTTGAGCAAAGGTCTCGTAAACCTTAGCGTACGTCAGGTCGACATCAGCTTTCGCCTCGTCCCAAAGAACCTTCCAGTTGTCGTTCACCACCTCGTGAACTCTTTCGGATAATGCTTCGTTTCCGTTGAACAGGTTGTCGACTTTGAAGCTAGTCTTTGACGGATTCGTCGATATAACGTAAGAAACTACTTTGAAGTAGTCTTTGTCCTGTTTTTTCACTGTGTCGAATTGGATCGTGTGGTAGACGGTGACGTTGGCTGAAAAAATATTTATTTATACAGGGTGCCCCAGAAGGTGATGAAAAGGCGGATACAGGAATGGTTACAGAAAAATATAAAAAAAATCTAAGTCGTGTATGTTTGAAATTATAGGCTTTAAAAGAATGTGATGACGGACAGTGTCATTCTATGTAGTGACAGACAGGTAGTAACGCTAATTTTATTAATTTATGATTGTATAGTGCCGTACAGGAATACGTCAACATGCACTTCATTTATGAGGAACGTAGATGCAATGCTAGTACTGCAGCTAGGCTTTATCGTGAGAGGCGCCCAAATGCTGCTCGTCATCCCGATCACGGAGTGTTTCTTGACTTGATTCCTGCCATTGTACTAAAGAGGGTGCAGCGGAGCTTGCTCCAGTTCTTTCGCGTCTCTTCAAGATATCTTATGAATCCGGTACCTTCCCAGAAAATTGGAAATTTGTTCATGTCCAACCCATCCCAAAAAAAGGATCTAAGACCGACCTTTACAACTACAGGCCTATAGCTCTGCTTTTTGTTATAAGTAAGGTGATGGAGAGGTGCATAAATCGCGAGCTTCTGGACTACCTCGAACGTCACAGCTTGATTAGCGACAGGCAGTACGGTTTCCGGCACCAACGATCCACAAGGGACCTCCTAGCTTACGTTACGCAATTGTGGAGTAAACTCATCCAGTCTTATGATGAGGCCCATGTCGTTGCTCTTGAGTACAATTTCTTCAACCCCTGAATTATCTTCCAAATGTTATAGACACAAGGAAGATCCGCGATTCTTAGAGATATTTCTATGGACTGATGAGTCGACATTTGAAAAAGATGGTTACACGAATCTACACAACTTACGCGAGTGGCATGTAAAAAATCGACATTTGATGAAAAAAGATAGATCACAGTCTCGTTTTAAAGTAAACATGTGGACCGGGATTCTAAATGGGAGAATCATTGTACTCTTTGGGCTGCCAGAGTTCTTGATTGGCGAAATTTATTTAGACTTTTTACAAAATCATTTACCAAATCCATTGGAAGACGCTAAGCATATACATAGACATAAAGTTAGAGACGTTGCTATGCCTTGCTGTCACTATAGAGAATGCTGTTTTTCAAGTTAGTCTAAGAAAAAAAATGAAATTTGTAGTAATGGCAACTGAAAGATCATCACAGGCATAGATTTTTCCGATTTTTTCGAAGCCTATAATTTGAAAATCCACCAAATTACCAGTTTAAAAAAAATTAGATGTGTCATTCGTCAGATATTTGATGCCTTCCAAACTTTTGTTACAGTATGTATGTTAATTAATTCGGCTAGAAACACATTCTATAAAAGGTGTATCTAGGACAGGCTATAGGGTCAGTCATAAAAAAGTAGTTTTTTTCTAAATGAACATATTTAAGTAAATTGACCGTACTATACAGGATGTCCCAATACTTTGTGGACATAGAAGTTCCACGTATTTTTATACTCAAAATAAGTCGATTGTACATGATTTACCTCTATGCCAAAATGTTTGTTTGTGCGTTAGAGAGCGTCAGTTTTCTTATTAAAACTTTTTTTCAGAAATTTTTGGAAGCGATAGTCCGATTTGAATGACATTTGGAACACATGCTGCTTTGCCAGACGTTCTAATATTTAACCTTTAACGAAAAACTCTAAGGGGTTCGAGAAGGGTGGAAACTACTACTACTACTAGATAGTTTGTAGCAGAATTTTTTTTCCAAAATACGTGTACTTCGTCCTCGGAATATTGGGCACCATGTATTACCGTTACCGTAAAATGGTTCGCCGTATGTTTATACAGGGTGTCCCAGAAGTCGACGTCAAGCCGAAACCGGGTGATAGGCAAAGTCATAACAGCTATCAGAAAGATATTTAAAAAATTTTATGTGTGTGTTTTGAAAAATATAGGTCTTTGAAATAAATATAGAAATTTCACACCCTACGGCAGTCTGTCAACTCCTGCTACTACAATTATTAACTTTTTTTGGATTTTATTTTTACAATGTAATGATTAATAATGCATCTTCAAACTGGTGTCTCAACCTTACTGCCAACTTTTCTCGTTCAGGAAAAATTGCCACTTATTTCCCAACCAAGTATTCCAAAGTAAAACTTTGCTCAACTTTAACTGGCTGTACTGGAAAAAATGTACTACGAGAGTTTGGCAAGTAACCTGAACAGTTGGCGCATTTAATAAGGATTCCAAAATGGTATAACACTTAGAAGATTACTCGTTAACTTATGCACAATTTTTATTTGAAGAAAAACTGATGAAAATTTTTCAAAATTTCCTAATTAAACAGCGATTATGAAAACGCACAAGGACCCTTAAGGATAACTGTTTGCACAACAGTGGGCGTCAAATGCTGCTGATGATGATTTACCTTTACAGCAAATGCTCAAACTGTTTTCCTTCAGCCGCAATACACGCTAGACATCTTAAAAAAGATCGGGTTATTAAACGAGCGAATCCACGGTTATTAACAAACTCAGCTGCTTCCAATAGTCATTGCCGTAGCTCAGCTACATTTTGAATCGGCTTGAAATACACTTTTTCTTTTACAGTTCCCCAGTAAAAAAAAATCTAACGGATTCAAATCAGGTGATCGGGCTGGCCACGGTATTGTACCAGACCGCCCTATCCATCTGCCTGGAAAGTTTTGATCGAGATACTCTCTCACTGAGAGTGCATAGTGCGCTGGGCAACCATCATGCTGAAACCACATGTCCCTGTAAATACTCAGTGGCACGTCCTCCAATAAATTTTCTAAATGAAAATAAAAAAAGTCGCACGAGTCAGTATCTGCAGGGCGCTAAGAACAAAGCAGTAGGATATAACTAGGCTGAAGGCAAGAAAAAGAACAAAACAGTAGCGCATTTGATATGAGTCAAGGTGTAAGAAAAAAAAATAAAAATCAAAATCATTCAGAAGGAGAGGAAGAGAAGGAAAAAGAAGGAAAAGCAATACAATGTAACAGTAATACGCGATACCGCTCGGAGATGCCGGCCGGTGCAGATGTCGCTTTGAGCCGGGACGACAAAATCTGTGAAATTTGTGGCGATGAAATACGTAAATCGGGTGGTATTACGTGCGATGCAGAAAATTGCAGTATATCTCTTCATACAAAATGTTTTGAGAATATCGCTAAGTTATTCTTCACCGAAAGGAAAAATTGGAGGTGCAAAGGTTGTACCACAAAGTGCAAGTCGACACCTAATACTCCAGCGACTGACGTTATAGTGCTTCGTCATGAAGTAGAATGCCTCAATCGTGAGAAAGAGTTACTAGTGAACCTTAACAGTGAATTAAAATACAACAATGAGCTCCTCAAGGAAAAATTATCATTTACAAGCAGTGAATCATCATCCTACGCTGCAAAAACAAGGGGACCATTTCTTAACCAGGCAAACACAGGTACTGTTTCTTGTAACACAGCCAAAAAAAGTCAAAATCAACACATACTATCATCAGCTGGGATTATTGTTAAATCGAACAATAACTCGATATCTAATGGCGGATTTCCACCAAACAGACAAAACAGCAACAAAACAGAAACTCGTGTTTATCTCAACAAAACTGCAACTTTTCACCAACATTTTGTAGACAGGAGTCGCCGGCAACTGTTTTTGTTGAGTTTTTGTTGTGTTTTCGAAGTCCCGGTCGAAGGCGGTAACTTCAAAGGGTTTTCGCGCAACTAGCAACACAGTTGGTTTAGTGGAAACAGCTTGCGACGCGTCTCTGTTTTGTTGTAGTCTGTTGTAGTGTGTTGCAGTGTGCGCAGTTTGAATTTATTTGTGCTATTGAATACCTAGCAGTTAATTGCAGGATATGACTGAAGAAAAGAAAAAGTGGACCACAGAAGAAGTGGGAAATTTAATAGAAACTTATCGCGATTGTCCAAATTTATGGAACCCCACAAACCTGGAGTATAAAAATCGAGTGAAAAAAATGGACACTTACAAACAAATAGCTCATGTATTTAAAACAACTCCACATGAAATAGAGAGGAAAATAAAAAACTTAATTACCCAGTACCAACGGGAAAGGCGCAGTTACAAAAAAATGAAAAAATCAGGAGCCGGTCATGTTTTCAAGGCAAAATGGTTTGGTTATAGTGCCATGAGCTTCCTTCACGACAAAAACAAACCTAGGAAAGGAACACAGATTGGCGTAGAATTGGAGGTGAGTAGGTATTTTGTTTTTTTTGTGTTTATTTAAAACTCTAGCATTTTAAGAAAATTTACAACAAATAATTAAGCATACTGTGATTGCCATGGTACTTGTCCTAAGTCCGATATGAAATATTCGCTGAATTCGTCTCTAATTTCTCGGGCTTCTTGAATTGGTTTCCTTGCTATTCGTCTTATAGGCAAAAGTGAGTGACATGGTTCCGGATCATTTCTCCACAATCCTCCACTTACAGTACCAGAATCTAAGTGTTCGAAATCAAAGGAGCCTGGCGGTGTATATCTATCTTTCGATTCCACATCTCTACGTAAATAATTGTGCAGCAAAACACATGTTTGAACAACTTTCTCCACTTTGTCCGGCTCTAGTAACATAGGCTTGCGAAGGACCCGAAAAACAGATGCTAGTATTCCGAATACGTTCTCGACGACTCTTCGAGCTCTACTTAGACGGTAATTAAAAATTCGTTGTCTTGACCCACGTTCTTGGTGCCCAGCATACGGCTTCATTATATTTTGTGACAAGGGGAATGCATCGTCTGCTAGTAAGACGTATGGTACCAGTTTTTCTCTTCCAGAAAGTGCCGCCTTTTGTGGCAGATTGAGCATATCTCTTTCCAATGCTTTGGCAAATCCAGTATTTTTGAAAACTCCTCCGTCTGATATTCGGCCCTGGCACCCAACGTAAACAAAAATAAAATTGTAACTGGCATCGACTATGGCAAACAATACAATACTAAAAGTCCCTTTATAATTGAAGAATTCACTTCCACTGTATTTTGGGGATTCTATGATTACATGTTTTCCATCCAT